CCCACAATCAAACAGCCGCATCCCTCAACGCGACCAACTCCCACGCCTTCAGCGCCTCCTCGGCCGTCATCCGCGCGCTCGCCGGATTCGCCCCCGTCACCACCCGCCCGTCCGTCACGGCGAAGGCCTCGAACGGCCGCGGCGGCCCCACATACGTCGCGCCCGCCTCGGCCGCGGCCTGCTCGACCGTCTTGCGCCCCCAGCTCCCTCCGATCGTGTCGAGCACGCCCAGCTCCTTCTCCCCTTCGGTCGTGAAGCCGGTGACGCGCTTGCCGGCGATGATGGGCGTCCGGGACGTCGCGTCGTCGAGGACGCCGGGGAAGATGGCGGCGCCGTGGCAGACGGCGGAGAGGACGCCGTTGCCGGACGTGTAGATGTGGGAGGCGAGGGATTGGAGGCCCGTGGCGGTGGGGTAGTCGATGAGGGAGGCGTGCCCGGCGGAGGCGAAGAAGATGCCGTACTGGGTTGTGCAGGGGTTGGCGCGGGTGTTAGTTGTGAGGATCGTGGGATTGATTGGCGTTGGGGGGGGAGGGAGATGTTTGGGAATTGACTTACGTCCTTCCAGCTCACGTCTGTTGGCTTGAGCAGCTTGTCGAGCTTGCTGCGGAACTCGCTGTTGGGGTCTTCCCACACTTTGCGGTCTTCGTCCGGTAGCCACTCGTTTTGTTGGCTCAGCCAGTCGGGCTGGTACGTTCCCGTCTCTGAGACCAGGTCGACTTCGAAGCCGGCCTCTTTGAAGACGTTGAAGGGGTGCAGGGCTTCGGTGATGAATAGACCTGTTGGGTTTCGGTCAGATTGAGAGCTGGGTACGAAAGCGAAGTGTTCCATGATGTACCGGTTTCCTTGCCATCAGCGTACAGCGGCGCGTGCGCCGATGTGATGGCGATCAAGGCTCTGCGGGGAGGAGCCATTGCGATTTACTGGAGTTGAAAGGGATGGATCTTTTCTGCTACCTCGACCTTATAGTGGGGTTCTTATGTCTCCAGAAACTACCCCGCAGCTGGAGGTAGCTCCATGGAGACTCGTATCGAAATCGGATCTTGCAGTAGATTATAGTGGATGCATTCAGGGCGCTAATGAGGAATCAAGGAACCGGACTGAAGCGCTAGCCAAGCTACCGCCGCGCTAAGTCGTGGAATATTCTGCTGGTCTCTAGACAAGGGTCCCCTCATATCTCGCTATTCAGACTGGATGTTTATTGTAGTAGTCTGGCAATTCGGACTATGCTAACAATTTTTTTAAACGGGCTCGACCTCTTGAAGGACAACCTACATAATGCTAGTATTGATAAATTCTTCCCCATCTTCAGTGCGAATTCTCACCATCATTTCCGCTTGCTATCGGCGCAAGAGCGAACATCGGTCCCCATGGGCGTGGTGGAGATTCTGAGACCCACTTGTGGATCTCATTGACTCCCCCGCGAACAGCTCTGACGTCATCATAATCGAAAAGTTGGTCTCGACCTGGCCAGTCCGATCTGAATCTCGATGTCCACACTCAGATGCCGACCGTTAACGACTGCTCCCCGCTATTTCGCCGGTGCAGCTGGGTAGACGAAGCCAATGTCTGGACGAAGATGCGAGTTTTGAAGCTTTTCTATGCATCCAGACGAAGCATCCAACTACTCAGTACTTAGGCTAAAGTGTCAATCGTTGTTGCAACCAGCTATGCAGACACATTCGATACTGGGAGAAAGTCGACAACGCTAGATGACTCTCGGCCTTCTTTGTTGCCATATACAGCCTGTTTAAGCAAGGTGGTTAACTCGGCACAATGACAGCTCACTTTTGGCTCAAGGGGTCCAAGGAGCATATATTGCATGCCTCTGTGGAAGCTCCAGTGATTCACGGCCTGGAAATCTGGGAGGCGGCTACCCATGGGGCATGACGAGGACCTCATCCTCCTCACTCCCTCACGGCCGGGTAGAGTTGGGGCTAGAACTTCTTCATCCCGGGGACCCAGTTCCGAAGGTAGGAGATGGTCTACTTCATAAACGTTCCCGCCCATCCTATTGTATGTGCAAGTGGAAGGTTTCAGAGGTGCAGCTCGATACACAACAACTCAAAAGCTTTCGCTCTGGGCAGGTGCATTGGAGGACTGGCATGAAGACGGGTCGGTTCCCGATGAGCATCCTAAATGTCGAAATTCCCCAAAATAGGATAATCCATGTCGATCAGTCAAGCCTTGCATGACTCGCGCGAACAGTGAATCGACGGACCCCCGACTCGCACTGCAGCAATCCTCCACCTCTCCCTACCAGAACATTATTGCGCAACACTCAACGCGCCTCCCACCCTCCACCGCGACTGCGAGGCCGACATTCTTTCCCACCGAAGCATTGCTCAGCGCATCCTCCCCTCCAACGCAATTGACCCCCACGCCCAAGGCATGTCGCAGGAGCGCCGCTACTACTAAACGTCCCGTCCTTCCTCCCCTCCTCGCGGCCTTCTGTCCTTGCCCCAAAACCACCACCACCAACGCAGCGCTCGACGAACAACAACCCCAGCAGCAACATCACCATGGACACGCAATCCTCGACGCACCTCCGCACCACCTCCGCCGGCTCCACCTCCTCCACCGCCGCGGACAACAACCAGAACAACAACAACAGCCTCGCAGGCGGCGGCATGGCCGTCCCGCTGGTGGACCTCTCGTCGCGCACGCCGTCACCGTACCCGCGCAGCCGGGCCGGCGCCGGCGCCAGCGCCAGCGCCAGCGCCAGCGCCGCCGCGTCCGAGGACGAGTTCGACGACGACGTGTACGAGCCGGGGCCGTCGTCGCTGGTGCGGCCGCTCGTCTCGGCCGACATTGGGGCGGGCGGCTCGTGGAGGCGCGTGCTGGGCAGCGGCGGCGGCGGCGGGCTGGGCAGCTTCTTCTTCGGGACGTGGATGGGCTGGCAGGTCTATGTGGGGCTGCTGGTGTTTTGGGTCGCGGGCGCGGGGTTCGGGCTGTTGTTGATGAATCGGTTCATTTTGCTGAGTATGACACCACATCTATCTCATTTACTGCTTTTGCTGGGGAGGAGGGAGGGGGGGAGCTCAGGCTGTGGACGAACGAGGAGTGCTGACTGAGTGCTGCAGCTGGTGTCTACAAATTCCCGTACCCGTTGACCATGACTTGGATACAATTGGTGCTGGAACACATCTTGCTGATTGGGTTTGCGGGCCTGACGCGCCTGCTGTCGCGCCCGCTGCAGAGTCTGGGACTCGGTTCTGTCGTGGCGCCGGCGACGCCGTTGTCAGGCGGACAGGGATTCAGGGCATCGGCGAAACAGCATGGTCGCGGCGGCAGCGGCGGGATTGCGGGCGGTGGCATCCTTGAGTTTGAGTGGCCGGTTGCGAAACACGTTCTTCCCTTGGCCGTCGTGTACATGGCAAAGGTCGTGTTGAGCAACATCTCGTTTGCGTAAGTGGCCCGGTGTCTATGTGTGTGTAGACGGCAAGCATGACTGATCCGTCTGTAGGTACGCCGCTCAAGAAACTTATACACTGGCTCGCATCGGCGTGGTTCCCATTGCCTTGCTTCTTGCCGGCAGCTCCTCCGTCGCGGCCAACTCGGTTTCCACGCAGTCCTCGGCTCTGACGGCCACCTTCAGCCTGCTCGTCGCTTCCATCCGCCCCGGCGTCCGCGTCACCTGGGAGAGCATCGTGGCCGGCGTCTTCTCCGCCCTTTTCGTCGCCATCTACCCCATCGTCCTCGTCCGCACGTTCCGCACGCTGGTCAACGACATGGTCCCACAGGGCGACGTCCTGACCGGCTTCGCCTCGACGGCCGGCACCGACGAGTCGGGCTCGGGCAGCCGCGAGGAGACGCGGGCGTACTGGCGCACGCTGCACTACACGTCGGTGCTGACGCTCATCATCATCACGCCCATCGTGGTGCTCTCGGGCGAGCTGGGCAACATCCACCACAACTGCTACTTCCTCGACGTGCCGTTCTTCTGGCTGCTGACCGTCTGCGGCGGCATCGGCGGGTGGGCCGTCTTCTCGAGCACGCTGCTGCTCGCCAAGGCGACGAGCCCCCTCACCGTCAGCTTCATCGGCGTGCCGAGAGGCGCGTTCCAGCTCATGGCGTTGAACAAGTTCAAGATGCCCGTGCACAGCTGGCTTGGCGTCGGCTTTTGCTGGGTGGCCAGCGCGTGGTTCCTTGTCGCTAGGAGGGACGAGGGGAGGGCTCTGGGTAGGCTGAGATTGGAGGGCCGGGAAACGGTGAGGTGATTGGGCATTCTGGGGCATTGGTTGTTAATAGAGGCGGGGGCGGATCATTGTAATGACAGCTGCGTAGGGAGCCTTATGACGTAAATGAGTGTAAGGTATAGACGTTTCAGTAAATAATATTGGGCTCCTATCATTATTGCCTTCCTACGCCGAGTCTGCCATCATTCACCTTTGCTTGTTTGAGAGGTTTCCGAGAAATTGCTCTGTTGGGAGAAAAGCTTCCGTCAGTGGATGCCCCGCACCTGCCCCACCATGACGCATCATAGCTTCACGCCAGATAGGTGCTGTCGCGTCGAACGACACTCGATCCCTCCAAACACGTCAATTGACGAAACAGCACCTCTAGACACGGCAATGGCACCCCCCCAGAAGCTCCGCGTCGGCATCATCGGCGCCGGCGAAGTCGCCCAGGTAAGCCATCACCCGCACATACCCAACGCACCCACCCACCCCCTCTTCCAACACAGCCAAAAAAAAAATAAAAAACCCCCCAGACCCTCCCTCTAATCAAACCCCAAACAGGTCATCCACCTCCCCACCCTCGCCCTCCTCTCCCACCTCTACACCGTCACCACCATCTGCGACCTCTCCCCCACCCTCGCCGCCCACTGCGCCGCCAAATTCCACATCCCCACCACCGCCCCCCACCCCGCCTCCGTCTGGACCAGCCCCGCCGTCGACGTCGTCTTCGTCCTCGCCGCCGACGAGTGCCACGCCGCGCACTGCGTCGCCGCCCTCGCCGCCGGGAAGCGCGTCTTCGTCGAGAAGCCGTTGACGCTGTCGGTGGAGGGGGCGGGGCGGGTGGTCGAGGCGGATAGGATGGCAGGGGGTGGCAGGACTTTCGTCGGGTACATGCGGCGGTATGCGCCGAGCTTCGTGGGGGCGTTTAAGCGCGAGGTCGTCGCGGGCGTGGGCGAGGTGTTGTATGCGCGGGTAAGGGACTTTAGCGGGCCGAATGGGGCGTTTGTCGGGGGGAGCGGGACGTTTCCGGTCAAGGCGGCGGAGGGGGAGGGGGTTGCGGCCGGGCGGGCTGCCGGGGAGGAGAGGAAGGCGTTGTTGGAGGGGTTGGTGGAGGAGGCGTTTCCCGGGAAAGGGGTCGTCGTGGCGGATCAGGCCGGGCGGGATGAGAGGTACGACTTGTGTCGGTTTTTGGGGAGCTTGGGCAGCCACGATTTGTCGCTGATGCGGGAGGTGCTGGGGTCGCCGGAGAGGGTGGACGGCGTCAGCGCGAACCATCCGTTTTATTCGGCGATTTTCGCGTACAGGAACAAGGAGGAGCTGGGGGGCAGGCCGTTCGCGGTCACGTATGAGAGCGGGATTGATGGCGTGCCCGAGTTTGACGCGCATTTGGCCGTGTATGGCAGGAACAAGCGCGTGGAGATCAGGTACGATTCGCCGTACGTGAAGGGGTTGCCGATCAAGGTGCGGACGGTGGGGGTGAACGAGCATGGCGAGGTGGAGACGAAGGAGGTGCTGTCGAGCTATGAGGATGCGTATACGGCGGAGCTGAAGGAGATGCACAGGTGCTTTACTGAGGGAGCACCCATCAAGACGACGCCCGAGGATGCGATGGAGGACTTGAAGCTGTTTGACATGATTTACAAGAAGTACGACGAGTCTGTGAAGAGGTAGAAAGTTGGAGCATCAGAACGACGTCGGTTAGGACCTTCTCTCAATGCTCACTGGAATCAACTGCTGACTTCGAATGAAAGCTCTCAACGTCGAAAGGCAGAGTTGATAGTACCTCCTCATCCATCCGCACGCACGAGTGCCCATCTGTACTCTTCATCATCACATTGTCTGTAACAGCTCTGCCTTACGTCGGCTTTGCATCCATTATTGGCTCTGTTGGTGCTCACCCTCTGCGGCGTCTGAGTGATGGACTCACGGAGTAGGATTTTCTGTTGTACAAAAGTCTCCGCCTTCTGACAATCAAAAATTGAGCTTTGATGGTTTGTTTACTTGGTTGATTCTCACGAGGGGTCAAAGCAAACGCATTTCCTCGAAACCCCACATACTTTCCCAAAGTGGCAAACGGACAGCCCGTCTCGCCGAAGCGGGCCGCGTCCGCAAAGTTTTACGGGGTACCGAAGTTGCTCGCGTGTTATCCCGTCGGGATCCCCGAGCAGCCGATGTGCAGTACTGCGAAGCGAAGACGGGAGGCAAACCCACAGACCACTCATTCATCTCGCTTGGTACTAGCTGACCCCCTCCCCGATTTGCTCCCGCAAACGGCGGCGCCGCTTGGAAGCAGATCAAACGGCGGCTCGAAGGCGCAAGGAGAAACATCAGCCCACCGGGAATTTTGTGTCTTACTGCGTAAGGCTGGGTGGTGGATCTGTGGAGATTGATCTGCCTCCCGTTTCAAGACGGACGGATGCGCCTACTCTCCGGGCGCGTGTACCCGCCAATCTCCGCGGGAATAAGTAAAGCGGGAGCTTTTGCATTCAGGAGTCGTTGATTGGTGCAAAGTAGGCCCTATTGCTTGACTATTCGATGCTACAACGCCCGAAATCAAACACAGGACTGGAGCATAAACACTCTCTCTCGCTTCTTCGGGCACGCTCCTCCTACCCTACCCAACCACCAGCCCCTTGGGCTTTCAATAAGGCTCCGGCCCCGCACCGGCTTCCCCCGCCTTGCGACAGGAGAAACCTTGATTCAAGCACCCACGTGGATGTAGGTACGCGTGGTCGACGGAGCTTGGCTTGCCACTGCGCCGGGGCGAGGCGTGCTGCTGTTGCGTCAATTAAGGGATACGGCGGGGGTCTGATGCTTCCTCTGCCGTGCCGCTCGGCTGCGCCAGGAAGCCGAGCAGAAGGATCCAAGCCCTTAGCCTTGACGTCCTGCCAAGTGTTCGTACACACGGAAAAGAAGCAGTGTAGAATGCAAAGACTCTTCACGGTGTCTGTCTCCTTTTCAGAAGTGCATTGCAAATTAAGTGAAAAAGTGGCACATAAACCAAATGCTTTTCTTGAACTTCGATCGCTGTTAAAGAAAAAGGCTTTTTTTGGACTCTCTAAGAACCATCCTGTCCATGCTCGCTGCTCTAGGGGGTATTTCAAGATACGAAAGCAGGGAAAAAAAAAAAAGAACCAGCAAAAAGCCGCCAGCAAGTTCTGTTTCCAGACAGTAGTTTTCAAGAAGCCTCACGTAAGACTTCAATTCTCATAGCGCATATAATCGATCAGAGGGGGGAGAGAGCCGGCCCGTCCCGCAGTTCCCTTCTCTTTCCCCCCCTTCCTTCCATCCATCTCTTCTCGACCAGCTGCTCACGCGTCCGGCGCCCGATCATCTATTGTTCAGCGTGTGTATCCACTCGGCAAAGTCTCTCCTGTGCTCCTTGTAGCCGTAGGTGAGGGCGTTGGCCAGGCCGACGTACTGCGTCGAGCACTGCATGATCTGCAGCCACTTGTACTGGTGGCCCGCCGCCTCGACGAAGCGGTTCACGATGCCGGGCATCCACAGCAGGATGTACAGGATCGGGTACGCGTTGAGCAGCAGCATGCGCCAGATCTCGCGCTCGACCACCTTGCTCTGGCTGCGCTTGCGGCGGTGCAGCGCCGACGTCGCCGACGTCGTGGTGCCGCTCGTCGGCGCCGACTTCGTCAGCGTCGATGGCGAGCGGGCGGCGTCGAAGTGGGGGGAGGCGTTGGACTGCATGGAGAGGCCGGTGTTGACGCCTAGGAGCTTGGCTTGCGTGTGTGTCGGTGGGGTCAAGACTACTTTGCGTGGTGCCCGGTTAGTTTTTCGAACTGCTGATCATTTTGCGGATATATGCAGCTGCGTGTTGTGTTGCAGGACGTGCGCGTACCTCTGCTCGGGGCTGGGTTCTCCTCGTCGATGACCATCAGGCCGCCGTTCGGGCCGTCTTTGAAGTCGCCTTTCGTTTGCGGCGCCGTTGCCAACGCGCTCAAGTCGTGCAGGCCGCGCCCGTAGTCGTACGAGTATGCGCGGCTGGTCTCTTGCAGGTACGAGAGACGCTTTTTCATGTAGGTGAAGACGTAGACGTAGATGGAGACGGTGATGATGATGATGGCAAAGCGCCAGCCGTGGCCCAGGGCGTAGCGCAAGTAAGTCTTCTCGGCAGAGATCCAGCACCAATTGCCGCTGACAGGCTTCATCTGGTGCATGGCGACGGCCGTGGTGCCTGCGTGGTTTTCTTAGCGGGCTGCACTGACGGATCCAAGGGTGCGGACGGCTCCTTACTCGTTGCAAGCGGGACGAGCCATACGGACAGACAGATGAGAATCTTCTTGTCAAACGAGGCGTTGAGGATGTACGACTTGAGCTTGATGGTGAGTAGCGTCACCAGCGCTATGGCCAATATGGAGAAGTCTGCCGCCTTGGGAGAGTCAGTCCACCATGCCGCAATACCGATTGGATGGAAACTCAATCCGTACCTGAACCGACATCTGCCCTATCCAGCCGTTGAAGGTGCACGCGCCCCCCGCCGTCAGCACGCCCTTGTGCATGACGGCAATCGTGCCAGACACGGTATTGTTGGTGGAATTGACCCATTCTGCGCGGCTCTGGTCAGAATTGCGAGCGCAACGGAGCAGTGTGCGTGATCAGGCATACCGGCGAATGTAAGGTTCAGGACGAGGGCATAGCGGAATGATCGCTTGCCCTGGCCGTAGCACATCCACGAGATGAGCACGCAGGTCGTGGCAAAGCACGACAGGGCGCTGCCGACCAGAGTCGGGATGGCCACTCTGGGGTCGTAGGTCATGTTAAAGGCGGGCATGGGAGGAGCGTTGCGTAGAAGGGCGGGAACCCTGACCGAAGACGCCGTCTACGGCGCCATAAGTTCGGGGCGGCTGTGGCGTACATATCGTCTGCAGAGATTGGGGAGCACCGGGCCAGAACCGCTCTCGTCATCTACAGGAGTCGCCAGGATGTTCAGCCCTGTCTCGCCCGCCGGCCAGGGTAGATTGACGGCCAACGCCACTTCTATTTTGCATATAGTTTCAAGGTGCAATGCCGCCAGGGGCGTCCTCGGCGTGAAACGGGGCGTGTCGCAAGTCCCGAGCGCAACTGCGTGTTCACGAGTCAATGGCAGCCAATTAGCGCGCCTCCTTTACCTAAACAGACCAAAAGCCTCGACCGCGACTCAGGCAACAACGCAAGCTATATGAAAGCCGACCTCCGCTTCAACTGCTCTCGGATGTCTTCACCCGACCCGAGCGGAGATGGCGGAAAATCATGCATAAGCTCCTCCAGCAGAAGCATGTCAATTTTCCAATCACAACCCGCCCTCACTTCCGGTCAAGCCACGACCCGCTTACTCAGCCCTGCAGATCCGATTTTCTGCTTCTTCATGCGGTGGGGTCTTTTTTTTATAGACTGTCCTCTTGCGGAGAAAATATGATCGGCTGTCCCTGAATCGAGAGCCAAGCTACTGTGTACGCTTTGGCCTTTCGGCATCTTCCTTGGAGCACTACTATTGTGCACTTTTGCGTCGGCTTCTCCACATCCGCACCCGAATCACACGCATATTCGAAACTGTTGGTTTCTTGTTCCCGGCAGATTCGAGCTTCAGACAAGGAGGCATTCGGCATTGAAAGAAGATGTCTTGTCGTCTGCAGGAATGAAGAGAGAGAGAGAGAGGGAGATAGGAAAACACAGCTGACACTAACTGGAGAGTCAGTCGAGCTACAAAAGACCAGCCATCAAACCCCAGACGTGGCAAAGGCCAAACGAGGGCGAACAAAAGCAACGAGGCACACCGGTATACGTCTCAGTTAACGATGCGGTTCGTGGACCATATGATCGTCGCGGGCTGGCCCATCTGCACCAAGCGTCAAATCGTCTCTTTATAGAAGCGCTCGTGGCACCCGGCACCGGTACGCCAGTCCCGGAACGGCAATTTTCGTGGTGATGATGGACGGATCCGACGAGACGCGCAACCTCCCGTCCACCCCCCCGTCAGCAGGCTCAGCCCACCACGAGCTCGATTCCGCCTTGGCTCTGTTTTGGATGGTATAGAAGGATGTGGGCTAAGATGACGCCTTTCTTTTTTTTTTCTTTTTCCTTTTTCAAAATGAGGAGCGAGGCGGACAGTGCACGGCGCATATCCCGCCCCACCGCGAGTTTTGGGAGATCCCTTTCATGAAGCGGTAGTGGAATCCATCAAAGGAGTGGAGGCTCTGACAGCAGTAATTGTGAAAGGACTACGTCGCTGATACGCGTGTGGGAAAGAATGGCTTTGGTTCGGATAGCGAGGCGCATGCGTCGTGGCGGCGGCATTCTGGAGAGCATGAGAGGAAGAAAGGCAACGAGGGCGACATACTGAACGTCATAGGGAAACGTGCGATGGCCAAGCCTCCTGGTTCCGATGCCACGCGTCCGAATATCCACCACAGACTTGACGAGTGGGGTGCTTACCAAGTCAAAAGGCCGGATTTAATCGCCCGCAGCGTCGGTTTCACATACTTCCCCCAGGATTTGACTAGAACACAGCAGATACCACCTGATTCAAGCCGTCACTTCATGCATACGACAAGTCATCTTCCGTCATAAAGATACCGCCATTTATTTCACACCAACTATCGATTGCAAGGGGATACTGCACTAGACGACACCCATGAGTTCTCCCTCTCATTCTACTCCAGGAGCAAGCTCCCCTCCTTCCTCAAAGTACCACCCCTCCTCATCTTCCTCCCAGCCGCTGCGCCCGTCTCATCCGGCAGCGGCGGATACGGCTGCGTGTGCGTCGCATTCGCCGGGCCCTCGCTCTGATAGTCGTCGGTGATCCGACTCTTTCCGTCCGCGAGGACGAGATCGCCCAGGACGCGGCGGAAGAACTCGAGGGTGGCGACGGGCTGGTAGTAGGGAGTCTCGTGGCCGGCGTCGTACAGGCGGGTGAAGCTGAAGTTGCCGTACTGGCGCACCACGCCGTACTCGGTCCCGTCCACCAGCAGCGGCGCGTATCCCGCTGCGCGGAAGGCCTCCGAGTCTTCGTACTCGACGGCCAGCGACACGGCCTCGCCGCCAAGCCAGTTGCAGATGTAGTCCGCGTCGCCGTACTGCAGCGCGACGCGCACGTTCTGCGCGAGGATCCACTCGAGGTCGGCCTTGAAGTCCGGGAAGACGAAGTCGCCGGTGGATTGGAAGCCGGCGTTGACGTAGCGCGAGTTGGTGGTTGTGTAGTTGATGTTGACGCCGAGCGCTTCCTGTGTCGAGGCGAGGTTGAGGAAGTCGACAAAGTAGTCGGGCGGCGTGGGGTCATCGTACGGATGCCGGATGTCGTAGACGCCGCGGTTGCCGTAGACGTAGTAAGGCTCTTCGACTTCGTTGCGGCAGAAGCTGGTCGCTTCTCGGCAGATGGTCCAGCTGAGAGCGGTCCGGTTAGAAAGAAGGAGTGCATGGATTGAGGAAGGAAGTTGCAAACTAACCCTTCATTCGTGGTGCGGTCGGCCGCAGCACAAGCTGCGACTTGGTCAGCGCATCCGCCTTCGCGGTAGTACGCATCTTTCATCTGGCTGTAGATGGTGTCATCAACGGCCTTGATGCCATAGGTGTTGTTGACAGCCATTTCAGGGTAGTACGGCGCTTGGATTGCTGGTTTGATCTGTTAGTGCGGGTTCGAGCTTGGTCTAAAGGGGAGGCCATGCAGACCCTCGTCAATGATGCCATTGATGATGCCGAGACTGTCCATCTGGAGAGGATAGCCGTCGGCACTACCATCCTTGATCGCTTCGCTTTGCTCGTAGAAGTACCTGTAAAAGGTGGGGCCATCTTTCCAAAAGAGTCAGTTGATGGTACCTCGACTGCTCCATATTATCTTACAGTGACCACCGTACGACTCGGTCCAGAGGTTGAAGGTGCGGTTCGAGATGTCCGGGTCCAGTCTCTCAGAAAGCTCCAGGAACGTCTGAATGAGCTCCCACGCACCGACAGCCGCGGCGTATGTGGTGTTGGTCGTGTCCGGGTCGACAATCGAGTACCGGCCGTCTTCCGTCACTTCCGTCGTCTCGTACGAGAAACCTACTCCGACGGGCTGAGAGAGGTAGAGCATGTTGGACTCTTCGTTCCACGAGTATGGGTTCCATTGCGTTTTCAGGTCCTCGGTCACATTGCAAGGACCGTGCTCTGATAGTGATCATCAGTGTCACAACTTCGAATTGAAGATGTGAAAGACAAGAAAGAAGAGGGATCCGTAAGGAGAGCAGTAGTAAAGATCAAAGCCCATAGGAGGAAGAAGAAGATCTTCATCCCACGTTGGCACGGGAGACTTGGCCGAACATGCTTGTCCGAACAGATGCCCCCATTCTAAATGGACGTTCAATCCATGATTGTAGAAGGGATAAGGATAACCAGGCTATTCAGTCCGGCCTGCATGAGCCTGCACCCAGCTCCTAACCTGGTGCGGCGTTCCCAGCTCTTATCCAAAGCGAAACTTTTTGCTGAAACGAGAGAAACAAGCTTACCTTGAAACAACCCAATCAACGAATCCGATCCCGGACCGCCGTTGAGCCAACTGCAACACGTCACGTCAAAGACAGATACCCCGATACTACACGAAACGCTTACAGTGTGAGCTGCATAGCACCCACGTCAGCAACGAAAACTCTCTCAAGCACCATCAAGGCCCACCAAAAAAACAAACACACATCTCAAACTCCCATCCCGCCCGTCCCCCTCGCCCCATATCCCCCACCACAACCACAACCACAACCACCCACCAAAAAAAAAAAAGAAGAAAAAAAACCTCACAGAGCACACTCACCGGCTTCCCCGTCGGATCCTCCCGCGCCTCGAAGAACCAATAAAACACATTGTACTTCTCGTTCAGCGAAATGTACCCGGCGTAGTCGTCGACGCCCTCGGCCGTCTCGCACACGCCCTGCTTGCCCGGCTGCTTGTACGTGACCTTTGCGCCGCCGGGCGACACCACCTCCTGCACGCCCGTCGGGTCGGCGGGGACCTGGCGCCGCTTGAGCAGCCCGCGGCGGCCGGCCGCGACGAGATCTTGCTGGTCGTGCTCGCCGGCGGTGGCGGTGGCGGCGGCAGTGGCGGCGGCGGCGGCGGCGGCGGCGGCCAGAAGTAGGGCGCGGCGGGGGAGGAGCATGGTTCGCTCGCTCGCTCGCTCTCTCTCTCTCTTTCTTTTTTTTTTCTTTCTTTCTGGGGGACCCTTGTGGCGGCAGACGGGCAGAAGGGAGGGACGGGAAGAAGGATCGCAAGAAACAAGAAAGCGTGGGTTTTGGGCCGGACGGTACCGCTCGGGGGGGAGATTTTAAACAACCATGGATTTACTTTTTTTGCTCCTCCCCTTGCACCTCACTTGCGGGGGTGTGGAAGGTGGCATGGGCGGGACGACTCGTTCATGCGGGATGGCTGTAACGGCGGACTGTGCATTAGGGGCATGGCTGCCTGTATAGGAAGCTGTGTGTGGGCAGAGCAGGAAAGCGGAGGCCAAGACTCGACTCGGAGGCGCTTCGGCGGTTGCGATTGTTGGTTTCTGGGATAAGCTATCTATCTGCTTGCATGGATGTACGGCGGCTGATCGCTCGTGTTCGTCGTTCGCTGGGCGGCGCCTATGTCGATGTGACGTCGGAGCGGAGCGGGCGGGATTGGTTGGAAGCTTGGCGAAGAAGGTTGTGACAGCTGTCAATGGCGATGGCGATGGGATTCTGTCTTTGCAGGTGGTGGCAGCTGGAAGGTGCGAGTGTTTTGCAGGTCGGCCGAGCGGCACGGCTGCGAAACGGCATTGTCGAGTGCTAGCTTCGACCAGCCAGATGGAGGAAGTCCAAGACAGCGCCAAGGCGGCCAAGGACGGCGACCCCACTCTGTCCGCCGTGGAGATAGGTACATATCGCCTTCCTAATGTAACTTGTAACTTGGGTGAATCATGTCATCGTGCTTGCCGTTACTGTGCATCCCTGTTTGGTTGGTCATTGGATGGGAAGTTGTTGCCGGTGTTGGGTTGCCGGCGATCGGCAGAGTGCTAACTGTAGTGCACCAGGTGGTGAAAGTAGTAATAAAAAGATCAGAGTGTGAACGTGACACGGCTCGGCGCCGACTCCGTGTCTGGACGCTTGGATTGCATTAGCTTTCCGTACAAGCCGTTTTCCCGACCCCAAACTCAAGAGTTTATTCTTGAGCCTCACTCTGCAGCTCCAACGCCGGCGTCCCGCAATCAGCCCGTGTAGTACCCGGCCGATCTGATAACTCTCCCTTCACTGATCACGCTCGAACACGCTGCAGGTGGCGATTCCTCCGATGAAACCCCCAGAACCCGTCGAATCAGCATGCATCATCCATCTGACTTGCAATTACGTCCATGTCGTCACCACCATCTGTCGAACCCTCCGGAAGTCTGTGAGTGCTTCCGCGGAAAAGGAAGAGTGGGAATCGATTGTCGGTACTGTCGACCGCTCAAAATGCCCATCCCGTTCGACATGTGGCTTCATGAGAGGATACATTGCGTGATGACATTTGTCTGGCACACGTCGCGGTTGCTTCATCACATGCAAATCCACGTGCACGCGCGACACCTGATTAGCACTTCTCATGTGTGACATCAGTTGAAGGGTCCAACCACTGATGTAAGGCAAGCAGCAAGTAGACGGGTCAAACAGATAATCCTTTACAAGCAACCAGCAGTGCTATGTCAGCATCATGATGCCCCGGTCGTTCGAGGGCTCATTCATTTGGAGCGCAAGCTGTGTCGAGCCATAGGAAAATAGAGGTGGTGATCTGTGGGTTGCACATCGAGGTGAACCTAGCCCATGAGCAAGCGGAAATAAATTAGAGTGGCGAGGGAATCTGAACCAATATGGCCATCACATATAACCCGTAAAGTCAAGTTGACAAAGCCAAAGATGGGTGCGCGGGACCGGTGCGCTTCACGACGACGATGATGGAAGATGGGGTATTCCGTTGGGCTCGAATGAGGTCTGAAAGCTTTGCTGGTGGGCTTTGGCAGAGGAATACTCGCTCCTGCATCCTGCAGATTGCGTAATAATGTGAAAGTGTACAGGCACTGTCGAAGAAAATTTTCGGAACTGAACCCTTGATCTGCTGCACCATGCACCATGCAGTGTGGCGTTGCTTCGCCGCAAAATCAGGCCACCGGGTGCGGCACCGTTGCTTCAGCCTGGACATTTCTTGGGACTTAGATATTCGGTGAGTGTTTAGGGCACTGGCCTACATCGGAACGACATGCAAGTAAACTTACGCAACAGCCTTGCGGTATGAAATCGCCAGATCTGAATTCGTCGAGGTGCATGTAAGCACAGATGCAGCCAAGTGGAGCAACAGAGGCGCAGCTGCATGAAATCGCCGGCTGGCTTTGGCGCAGCAATTTGCAAGGTCTAGTGTCAGCGCTTCGCCTTGGTCCACTTTGTTTTCTTATTCGGACGCGAAGCTTGGGGTGCCTGCTGAAAAGTCTCCAATTGCCCGAAAGGGCAAGCGAAGAGAGCTGTGATTGTTTCAAAACTCCCGATGCGCGTATTAACACGGACGCGGACAATTCGTTGCTGAGGCTGCCGCGCGGCTCATTCCGGAGCGAGGTTGTACAGGCATGGGTCATGACAGGGTGATGACTCCACGTTACTTGCTTTTGGCATCGTGGTACCGCACATGATATATCGTCCAGGCTTTGAGATAATCCATGAAACTCACCCTATAGAACAGTGAGCACCCATGCCCGTGATGCACGCACACAGGCGTCTTGCGAAAGATAAGAGGAATGCTGTGATGAAGGTTGCACCGCTCTAGCTTCCGGCAAGTGCATGGAATGGTGGGAATTCCAGAGGAGCGGCGGCAAAGGATGCTCTCGCTCCACCCAGAGGTTGTGCAACCACGAGAGATGGAGACGTTTTGGGCCGAGAGACTGGGCGCGAGTGGTAGGAGCTGGCCCAGGATCCATGGCGGTGCTTCGGGCAGTTGCAGTCCACTGGGACCCGCGTAGGCCCGGATGGCCAGACTGAGGCAAGACATGCCTGTGGCCGAATCGGGCATACTACGACAGATTAATTTGTGCACGCGAGACAAAGCGGTTGCTCGGCGAAGAGCATGTAGCACAGGCTAGGCGACAGCTCGAGCTCCGTGTCCGAAGTGTTTGGTTTGGTTCCATGGCCATGTCTGGAGGCGAGCATACCACGCGGTCCCGAGAAACATAGCTATGGACTCGGCCAGGGATGACAAGGCACCAAGGGTCGGGCCAGAGACTGGTCGGTGGGTCGTGGAAGGGTCTGCCGAGACCACAAGCGTGGGCGCTATGGATGGTGACAGCCTCGTGTCTGGTCGAGGGGGCGCCACGGCCGCCGCGCGGGCCGGCGGGAGCGAGCAGCCTGATTCTTGGGAAAGCGTTAGGATGGTGGTCCGGTGTGTGGAGTTGCAGGAGTCGGTGGGTTGTGGTACCGGAGGAAAGGGCGACGGCCAGGCGGGGAACGGCCGAAAGGAGCCTAGCGCGCCGCTCTCTTGTCGCCTACCATCTTCTCCGCTTCCCAAGCCTGACCTGACCTGACCTTATCTGCCTGACGCCCGTCATCAGCCCAGTCATGAGGTCACCAACCAACTGCGTCACCCTGCGACTCACCACTACTGTGCAGATTCTGCATGCCACCTGTCAAGGACGCCTCCACTGACTCGGACTGGCAGCCTACTCGATCTGCGCCGTGACGATTTGGCTGACTTGCAACCACTCGCTCGCCCCGTGTCCAGAGTGGCTCCTCTAGGGCGTGGCACCTCTAGGCCGTGGCGACTTCCTTCCTGTGGCTTGGCCGCCCTGGCCCTTGGAGATATGCTTAAGCTGGACTTCTTGGATCCGTTCCTGCAACTCAATTTTAGTTACATGACGGCAAATTCCAACCTTCGGAACCTCTCTTCACCCACGCCGCTCCATGGCGGCTGTTTTGGGGTCCGCGCCTGCTGGATTCCTCTCTGTATGACTCGCGCCTTCGCCGTCAGCACGCCGCTTCTGGGCCCAGCTCTTGTCATCGTCTGGCTGTCTGCCTGGATGATGTAGTTGCGTGCTGATGCTGCCGAGGCGCCGCCATAGGAAGCAGTGCCTCGCCTTGACAATAATCCTCAACGCCATGTTTTCTGACCTGGCTCCTGCCCGACGCCCTTTGCTGATCGTCATCGACAGCCTGGCTGCCTCTCCCATGCGATGGCGATATGCACCAAGACCAATCCTGAACATGCTTTGCGAAAGGTCCCCTGTCGCAAGTGCGCGTGCCGTCAGCGGCTACACAGCCTTCCAGAAAAGGCTATCGATTTTCAGGCCGCCGACGTCTGTATGTATGCGTGTGGAATTACAAGGACATAGCCTAGCATGCGCCAGACACCAGCCTGACGCAGAACCAGTGGCATGGCTAGTCTCTGCTAAATGAACCCAATGTACGGTAGCCTAACCAGCTATCGCGGCAGCCATCCTGTGTCAAGAGTCAGTGTCCCTTCAAACCGGTGTTTACAGTTAACGGGATGTACACTACTTTTGGCATCATCGTTCCTGGAAAATCGCATGCGCCGAGTCGTCGAACAAGTACGGCTCCTGCCTAGGACACTCTTCCGGTAAGTCCAATCCTTTTAACCCGTGTTGATCGTGGATGATCTGCGGATCCCCGCCGGCGTCCCGAGTGGTGCATCCCAGCTGGGACCGCTGACAAGGGAACCCAGCCCATCCTGCAGCTCACATTCCCGAAGCTAGACCTTGTCTCAACACTTGAGCCTCTCCACCACGTTCCCGCTCGTATGAGCAGCCAATGGCAATTTGCAGCCTCGAGGCGACCAGCCGAGAACGGCGGCAATGATGCAGTAGCCGTGGCGGAAGCCACGGCTGCTCCACATGTCATTTCGCTGCACTTGCTGAGTCGGGCCATGATTAGGTACTTCCTAAACGGCCGAGTTCAATCTATCGATCCTATCAAGGGCTTCTTGGTGAGGGGCTGCGGTCAGTCGCTGTCCTGCGAGCACGGTGGCCAAAATGCAACATGGCTGGCGGCTCGACGCATGATGGGTACGAGCCTTCACCTCATATACAAATGCGTGTGCCTCCTCGAGCCCTCTTGACCTTCAAGAACACCTTCCAGTCCTATCTGCATCTTCTGTACATTTCCTCGCTTCGCCTTGGTCTTGGCTTTGCGATAGCTTCCTTTCTTGTTCATTTTAGTCCCCCTCCTCCAACCTCCCCGACCACCCCCCCGGCTCACACACGCCATGAAGTTAGCTGATTGGCTTGTCGTGTGCATAGCCGGTCTCGTACAGGGCCGTGCTGTCACCTCTACCGACGGAACTTGCGGGGGAGACTCAGGCGTTACGTGCTTGAGCTCTATATACGGCAACTGTTGCAGCAAAGATGGCTTCTGCGGCGCCACCTTCGACGCTTGCGGCGCAGGATGTCAATTAGACTTTGGTCTATGCGAGAAGACCGAAGGCACAGTATCCCAAGATGGGACTTGCGGCGATGCCCTTGGCTACACGTGCGAGGGCTCAATATTCGGCGACTGCTGCAGCCAGTACGGCTTTTGCGGCCAGACCAATGCCTACTGCGGCGAAGGATGCAGATCTGACCTGGGCAAATGTGGCGCAGCACTGGAAGAGAGGGCCGCCGCCAGTTCAAGCCTGAGAGCCACCGGAGCAGCTGCAAGTTCGAGCGTGAGGGCGCAACCTTCGTCACAGCCTACGAACAACTCACAAAGTTCAGGTCAAGGCGGTGGTGCATGCGCGGCAAAGCGATCAAGCTCCCAGGTAGCCAGCCGGGACAATTCCTGCATTCGGTGCGAGGGCCAACCTGGGAACGATCAGTTCTGTGGCTACGACATCCATACTGACTACTACAAGTACGCGCCGAAGACGTGTAAGACTGTCGAATACACGTTTGAGATCACCAACACCACAATCGCTCCCGACGGCATCTCCAGAATCGCGTTACTTGTGAACGGCCAGATGCCCGGTCCGCTTATCGAGGCCAACTGGGGCGACACTGTGCAGGTCACTGTGATCAACAAGATGCAAGACAACGGCACCACGATACACTTCCACGGCATCAGGCAGCACTACAACAACCAATACGACGGAGTTCCATCCGTCACCCAGTGCCCAATTCCGCCCGGAGAGTCGATGACCTACACCTGGGTCGCCGAGCTCTATGGCTCCTCATGGTGGCACTCGCACTACGCCATTCAGACCTGGGAAGGAGTTTTCGGTCCCATTGTCATCCACGGACCCAGCAGCTCAGACAGGCAATACGACGTTGATGCCGGTCACGTCATGCTTCAAGACTGGAGCCACTGGACCGTCGACTCCCAACTTCCCCTGGCCGAAGATGCGACCCGTGGTCACAATGGTGGGGCCCGCGTCATGGACAATGGTCTGATCAATGGCATGAACACATGGGGAAAAGATGGCTCCTTCAACCAGACTGGAGAACGTTTCAGGATGTCGGTTACCAAAGGCAAATCGTATTTGCTCCGGGTCATTAATGTTTCAATTCAGTCCACCTTCAAGTTCTACATTGACGGTAAGACTGCTTCCCGAAACACAATGGCGAAGTACCACTGCTAACGGCTCCTCCAGGGCACTCTCTCACTGTAATTTCCACTGACTTCACACCCATCGTCCCTTACGATACCAAAATACTTAACATAAATATTGGTAAGAATAATTTCACCCGGTGCTTGACAATTTGCTTATAACCAACAAGGCGAGCGCTATGACGTAATTGTAAATGCGGACCAAGAAGTTAGCGATTATTGGATGCGCTCCGACAACCAGATCACATGCTCCGGCAACAAGCAGGCCCTCGACATCAAGGCTATATTCTGCTACGAAGGCTCCAACGGCAGTACACCAACCACAGCCCCTTACCAATACGACACCGAATGCACAGACGAAGACCACACGCTACATTTACCCATTGTACCATTCGAAGTCTCGCCACCGGACGTCACCTGGTACGGCGACGTTTCCATCGGCCAACAGAACGGCCTCTTCCGTTGGTTCATTTCCGGCAACACCTTCCGCGCCAAGTGGGACGACCCGACGGTGCTCGGCATCCTCGACGACGGCATCGCCCCCAACTACAGCGGCAACCTGTTGATCGACGCACCCAACCGCGGCGAATGGATCTACGTCGTCGTCGAGAGCGGCATCCCCCTGCCGCACCCGCTCCACCTCCACGGCCACGTAAGTCGTCATCTCCACCGCAAAATCCCCGTGTCCTCCTCATATGTGCTCCACAAAACGCCGTACTAACCCGCGAAACCGCAGGACTTCTTCATCCTCGCCACCGGCACGGGCAGCTACGACGCCGGCGCGCCGCTGCGCCTGGAAAACCCCTCGCGCCGCGACACGGTCCTCATGCCCGGCTCCGGCTTCGTCGTCGTCGCGTGGCGCGCCGACAACCCCGGCGCGTGGCTGATGCACTGCCACGTCGGCTGGCACAACGCCATGGGCTTCGCGGCCCAGGTCGTCGAGCTGCAGGACCAGATCGTCGGCACGTGGGACGACGACGGCTGCGACCTGCGCAACATGTGTGCCGCTTGGGACTCGTGGTCGGGCGCGAGGGAGTTGGTTACGTCCGATTCGGGCGTGTAGATTTACTATTTTTCTTTCTTCTTTTTCTCGTTTTCTTTTCGTTTATTTTTGGAGGGAGCAAGCGCGTGGATTTTCTTTTGGGAGTGTGTGAGTGTGCTCTGTAATGATAATCTTAATGCTTAGATATTGAGCGTTTGGGGTCCTTTGCTCACAGACATGCATCGAAGATCGAGTGAACTGTCTGAACGGCTATTCCAGACGTATGAATTCCCTAGATTGGACAGGCCTCCTTGACCAATAGCAACTACCCAAAAAGAATTTCAAATGGGAGCTTATGATAGAGTTGGTAATCAATATCAGTACTCCACTCCAAGATGAAACACTTGGTAAGGCCAATGATAGCTTGTGGGCTCAATTCACTTTCGTTCGTCCTCCAGAAGTTTGTTTCATCCATCTCTTCCACCGTAAGCCCACACTGGATCTGAACCAAGTCAGTGACCGCTCTCATCAAATCAGCAGACTTTCCCCCTCCAGCCCGGATGGCGCTAGCAACTGAAGCAGCCATGATGGTCCGGACATAGCTCTGCTTCCATCCCCTGGCCTCGAGCGCTTCTCTGTTTTCACACACAGCATTTCCGAGGAGGTCGGCCAGCTCAGCACGATGGCGGTCCATCCTCGGCCGGGCAAATCCAACAAGTATATCCTGCATGCCTCTATGGATGCTCCACGGGAGAGACGACCACGGCGCAAGATCCATGGCTTCAGCAAGAACGTATTGCTCCCCCCTCGGCACGAACATGACGAGCGTCTCACCCTCCTCACGACTCTGCAGGGCGAGCCTCAAGGAATCGGGCGGCTCCTCATCCTCGGGGCCCAGCTGAGAAGGCAGGAGATAGTCGACTTCGTAAGCGCTCCCGCCCATCGTGTTGTACAGATGGCGGGCGCCGTGTGCTCCATGGAAGCCTTTGGGGGTGTGTTTCAACCGATACCGACCCGGCGGCTTGCGTCCCGGGAAGGCGCATTTGAAGACCGGCGTGAACACGACACCAGTGGTCATTTGTACGCATCGGTCGACTCTGCGCTCGTAGGAGAGCGGCTGTACGTCCTTGCTGGCGAAGACGGGGTCCATTCAGCCTTGTCGGCTCCTCAGCTGAGGAACCCACATGGCATGGTGAACGGCCTCATTTGGCCAGCCACTGTCGTAATTCGTGTTCATAGCCTTGTATTCAAGACCGGCTCTCCGTGGAAATATTGAGTGAAAGACCCCCGACTCGGCAGTAAGTACCACCCTGCCAAGTGTATGTCTCCCGCCCTTTGGCCTTGTTGTTGGCCTTCTTAACCACAGAAATACCTTTCCTTCGAGTTAGCAATAGAGGAGCCAAGCGATAATCTGAAGATACCAAAAATTGTTTGCTTTGCGCCGTTATTCAAATACGAAGTGCAAAAGCCCAGTCCGCGAAGAAGGTACTAAAACAAAATAAACCCCAATCCTCACACGTATCCCTCTCTTTCATACTACCCACAAACCTCCCTCATTTCGGCTCCGTCATCATCTGCACCTCCACCGTCCTCACGATCCCCAGATCCTCTCCCTCCCCACCACCTCCCCGCCGCTCATCCCCCTCGCTCTCCCACGGCTTCCCCCCCGCCTCCAAATCCTCCCCCAGTCCTCCCCTCACACACACCGTAACCCTCCCGCCACCACCACTCCCCCCCTTCGCACCACTCCCTCCCTTCACACCGCCCACATCCGGCGGCGGAATCAACATACTCTCATCCGACCCATCCTCAAACACCTCCGCACGCTTCATCCCCGCGCCGCCGCCAACGACGCTCACGCTCCGAGTCGTCGTAGACGACAAGTGCGACTTCTTAGCAAGCTCGATGCCGCTGGCGCCACGTCGGTGGCGGCCGTGGCCGCTACGACCTGTGTATGTCTGCGAGCGACCGTGACTATAAGTGGGGTAGCTGCCGCCGGTTATTTGGGACGGGTGGCGGTTGCGCAGGTATTTCCAGAAGGCGGGCATGACGGGGAAGCAGGCGCAGATGAGGCCGATGCCGACTTCGGCGATGCTGTGGGGGGGTGGCGGTGGCGCGGGTTAGTGGGTGGCTGGGTTTGTTGGGTGGGGTGTTAGGGGGAGGGAGGGAGGGAAGGGGTGGTTTGTTTTCTTGTTCTTCTTTTTCTTCTTTTTTTTTTTGGAAAGGAGAGAGGGAGGCGTGGAGGGTTAGGAGAGGAGGGGAGGGGAATGTGCATGCAGGACTTACCCGAAAAGGTTGATGAGAGTGAATGAATACGTGGAATCCGAGCTGCCTCCGATTTTGACGATGTCGATGAGTCGGATGAAGCTGCAGACGCACGCGAGACCACCGGCACCGAAAGCTGCGGCGATGCGCAGCTTGGCTGTCAGTGCTACTTTGAGACCGCCTGCCAGGGGGCAGGGGATGATGAGGACGGCGATGTCGGTCACCAGGCTGATGATGTTGTCGGCGAGGATCAGGGAGCGCTGGTCGAAACATTCGCCCTCGCCCGACGGGTTCCAGAAGAGGGGGATGGGACGGCATATGAAGATCTTGAGGGCGCAAATAAGGGTGTAATAGAAGCCCATGAACCCAATGAAGAAGTAAATGAAGCGGCAGTAGCGCTCGAACGGGGCAAAAACCCGGGTGAGGAAAAAGAGGATCGAGGCCTTTGTGGCGAACACAGTAGGACAGTAAACGATCTGAGTCGAGTATACACTCTGGTGGAAATGAGCATCAGCGGACCTGGAAATCCCATTATACACTTCGGTGGTCGTGTCATGGGTGGAGGTGTGCTTCGCGTGAATACCTCAGACACCCTTCGGCGAATCTCGCCTCGGCACCTTTCGCATGGTGACGCTGGAAAAGGACAGGCGCTTTACCTGGAAGAAATAGGTAACCTCCGTCTCAGGGACGTTCCACTGATGTGTTCCACCGCCATGGTTTATCACTTGGGAGAAGTCAGCCACAACCTGGACAATGTGGGGTTTGCTTGCAGACAGCCACTTACTTATAAAATATATCGCGCAGTACCCTATGAATCCCACCTTCAGAATGCCAAATCAGCTTGAATCTTCCGAACGAAGGTGCGTTGTGGCCTACGTAGGCGACGATGCAGCAAACTGCAGATAACTCAGTTTCAATGGCAATTTGCCACACGGGGTCTTGTAGACTCACTGTCGTCAAGCGCATACATGCCGGAAATGAGATGCCTTGCGGTCATTCGCATCGCAAACAATGCCGTCGTGGCTACAATGGCAAAAACGTTGACCGCGAGCGCCGCGGTCCTGACCGAAGTGGACGTTGCATTGAAGTCCGAAACCTCACCATCCGGTGGAGCCAAGCCGGGAGCGACCATTGCAACGGTTCGTGTAGGGAAGAAGCAAAAAAAAGATAGTAGCACTGCTAATCGACGTTCTGCGCGGCAACCAAGCAAGGCTCGGTTTGAAAAAAGGCTGCAGGTATCCAAGTGGAGACACCCCGAAGCTCTTAGGGGTGGGCTTTGCAGTTAGATTAAGAGGAGTGGCCCGACTGTCCCGAGTATGTTGGCACCCTCCCTTTTTCTCTATTTCTCGCGTGCGATCCCAGGTGCCCAAGCATCGCGCCGACTAAGAGTGTTCCAACTGAACAATTGCTTTTGTCGCTCTAGTCTTGCTCGGGAAGAGTTCCGTAGCAAGTGCTATCACCATTTGACTATTGCGACTTCCGCGGTGCAGGCCCGGCTGTAAGGACGACGTACATAGATGCATAATGGATTGGGGGATCTGCGATCAAGAGCGGCCATGGTAGGCTGCGACATATCATGCGCTCCGTCGCCACGGCGCGAGCGAGGCGAACGTTGATCCAAGCAGGCCTGAGCGTGTCAGACCCCTGGTATCAACACCCAAGACGGGCAAAAAGAGGGCGGCGCGAGTGACAGCTCGTGCAGCGCGACTGCTGCATCGCCCTGATCGTTACGGGGGAGGTGACGCTGCCTGCAACGGCCGGCGCAGGGAACCTTCAGCCGCAGGCCAGGGCAGGGGACTGTGGGCCTCTTCTGAGGATCTGACAGGTCAGATCATGTTTGCTGCTGCAAGAAGTCAAATTTCCACGTAATCCGTTGCACCCATCAGCCTCGGTACTGCCGTCCGCGTCGTCCGAACCAACAACACCTTCTCGCTCGTTCCTCGGTCAAACACATGATTTGTCTTGCCTTGTATGTATGTACCTTGTCGTTCCCTTGTGCAGCAGCGGGACCTCGGCAACCAAGGTGTTGGTTTGAGCCATGGCCAAGGGGACAGGAACCGAAGTGAAGCGGTGGAGATCCATCCCGAACACAGAGCTAGGCCGTTTCCGATGAACTGTAGCTATACGCACTAAACCTGGCCCTCAGTTATAGCAACGGATTTTCGCCATCCGGATCGGCATTCGATGCTCGAAATGTTTGCCTTCGACAGAATGGTGGGAATTCCCTATCTACACCTAGCTTCGCACGAGCCAAAAAGCGCGGTTTTGGAAGTGCTGTGCCGCATGGCTCGGGCAGTGGTGAGGTCCGATGCTCCCTTTTACCGAACCGCAGTGATTTCCCTATATGGTTACGCCATCTTCTCTCCGGCTTTGTATCTCCTTCGCAACGAATTGAGCCCACTGGCATCCATCTCACCGCAATGTTACACCCGACTGATAGGGGTAGTGAAGTCCTATGCCTTGATGTATAATCAACACCTATATATAAGCTGCGGCTTGAGTGTTTGGCAACCCACCACGTACCGCGAGCACTCCGGACGGTCGGAGCGGATTGGCGGCGCTGATCCCTTGGCGAATGTCCCCGCCGTTCGGGGGACCAGGCTCGACAATCCGTCCGAGGGCGTTGATACTCATATTCGGCTAACGCGAGGCGGTGTGTGAAAAACAAAGTTATTGAGGGGGCGGTGCCAACTGGCCGGAAATGGGGTGATGTTGGACGGGGTACCGCACTATCCAACGGCGTGTCGACCTCGGTGGCTGCGGTGCCGCAGCGGGCAGCGTGCCCCGTGGGCCGTCCCGGACTCGGCCTTGCCACATCAAGTTGGCAGCCTTCCCTTCCTCCCCGTTTGTATCTTAATGCGTGATGATTGCGGCAGTGTGCTTCGTCACACTCTGCACGTTTCAAGACCAGACCCACAGCTGCGCTACTTTTGTGGAGTATCAGGCCCGCCCGTTGATTTGCGAACCTCTGCGCCTTTCCGCTGCCGCACGCGAGCGCCTTGGCGTTGGGTCGCTCGCTTCCTGTCCGGGGGGTAGGTCGAGACCACTAGTTCTCATCAAGGTCGGAAATGGAGTTGATCTTTCTTTAGAGCGCGTTATAACTGAGCTAGCCCCCACTGCCTTGCCCACCCACGGGGAACATGCTTCGCCGTTTTCGCTAGAAGATTGCCATTGCGTTCGGCGGCGACGATACTCCACCGGGCATATTGAGCGGGACCGACGAGACGAAGAAGGTCCACCGGTTGAGCTGCTTGCACATGGCTGCAAGTTCCTCCAGATCGAACATCTCGCCTGCAGGAACAAGGACAGGAGATTGTTAGTGGACCGGAACCATCACCCGCTGACGGGGCCAGGACGTACCGATGGGAACCCCCCATCCTGCGAGGATGTACTCGTGCATCATTATGCCTCCTGGCTTGGGCGGATATACCTGAAACCGCGTCAATTAACCTGCCATGCCATTGCACACGAGTCTGGAACGACCTACCTCCCAGCTGATTGCATCACCCGCGATGGCTGAGAAGCCCGAGTCCCAGAGCCAGCGAAGGACGTCCGTCGTGCCTTCAACCCCGGCGTGCTGCGGGCTGTTGCTTGCCGCATATGCCTTCTTGGCCGACTCGTCCATGACATGTTCCCACTCTTTCGTCACGCCAATGCGCACCAACAGAATATCACCTTTCTGGAAGGTGATGTTGCACTCCTTGGCGATCTCAAGAATCTCACTCAGCTTGATCTCATGCTGGGAGAAAGTGGTGTACTTGATACCCCTTTTCTCAGCCCAAGAGACGTAGTCGATGAGGACTCCGCGGCCTAGAATAGTCTCGTGAGTGTTTGGCCAAAGGTGCACTGTGCGATGCGTGACAAACCAGCAATTCCCGCCCTGCCCCAGTGCTGCATCCCAATGCGATCATTCTTGGGATCTAAAATCTCCTCCTTCGTGGTGCCGCCATAGAACACACGCTCCGTGCTCCCTTCGCTCACGGGTTGGGAGAAGTGTCGGAGACCATCCCATTGGCTGCTCTGCTCTGTTGGCACCGTTAGTTTTTCGTTTTCTCCAGGGCGTGGATTGTAGACGTTGAAGCCGGATATCTGATGCAGGCCGAAGAAGGCGAAGTGAGAGGCACTTACGAGGGTTGAACTTGTAGACATCATCAAAAGCAACCCCACCAAGCAGCGGCACAATGTCCAGCTGGCAGGGCTGGCGATTGAAGGCTGCATACTCAAGCTTGTTGAGGTCCCAGCCGAGGGTTACCCTCCTTCCAGTCCGAATCTCAGACGCGGCAGCCTTGGCGACGCACTCTGGAGTCAGCAATTGCAGCTTTCCCAGACCTTCATCGCGGCTTCCGGGCTTTCCAACCCAGACGCGCTTCGGGTCTGGAAGCTGGTCGAATGGGGTGTCAAGGGTTGGTGAATAAGCCATTTTGCTCCAATGACTCCTGTGCTCAGTTCCAATGGCGATGGGACAGAGTAGCGGCTCAAGATAAAGCAAGGATGGAATGGGGGCAAAGAGAAGCGGGCAGCGCTACGTTGACCCCGCCTGGCGGCCTGAAACAATAACACTGCAGCGGCCCATCATTGCTCCGGGAAGTCATGCAGACGGGGAACTATGCGCGACGGAAGACTGGGCCTCGACTATGCCTTTGACAGCAAGCTGCGTAAACGGTATGAGGATGTGCGGCGCATGTGGCACGACTGCTGGATGCGAAGCGAGCGCCGATGCTTGCCAACCTTCAGACGGGGACCGACGGAACGAGGGTTGCACGGTGCACTCGCCCTCGATTGGAGTCGATCAATCCCGCTTCGGCAGTAGCCCGACTAACGCTAGTGTGGTCGTGCTGCATGCCGCTCGAGTGAGGCATAGTTTAGGGATGGCTGACTTATACCCAGGTCCAGCTCCTCTTCACCGAGCTAGCTGTCGATAAGCTCTTCACACTCCCAGCCCGTCCAGTCTCTCTCTGAGTCGCACACGAGCTTCAGGAACCGAGGTTAGGAAAATCAGTCACAAGTCCCGGTCACTCGCGAGAGCCATGGCGAAGACTGGGTCCCATACCAGCGGCTACGGCAAGCTTGTCTTTGCCTTCATCGCGATCGGTTCGCTGGTACGGCTGACGACTCCCTGCGAGCTCCGAAAAAGGAATGCCCGGATGCTGACCTTGTTGTCCAACAGACATACGGCTATGCTGCATCCATCATCAGCTCCACCATCGGCCTGCCGGGTTGGTACCTCTACTTTGACCTTCCCCAGAGTGGTGAGACTGGTTACGACAGCATAACCACACCCGCAATCTCCACGGCCAATGGCCTCTTCAGCGCCGGTGGAGCGGTGGCTGCCCTCATCGCCATGTGGTCTTGTGATGCCTTTGGCCGCATCCGCAACATTCAAGTTGCCTGTCTCCTCGGCATCCTTGGAGGTGGTCTCCAGGGAGGAGCAACTAGCCTAGGGTAAGTTCTGGTTGGTATCCGAATGCCAGAGTCGAAAAGCTGACCCCGGCTCTTCATGACAGCATCTTCCAAGCGGGTAGATTCATCATGGGAATGTGTGTCGGTGCCATGGTCACGGTTTGCCCAATGGTAAGACGGATGCGCGGTTGAATAGAGACAGAGCTAATGGTTGTCAGTACTTTTCCGAAATGGCTGATCCTGCGTCGCGGGGATGGCTTGTCGGTCACCATGCCATCTTCTTGGTGTTCGGATACATGCTTGCGGGATGGATCGGATTCGCTGTCTACTTTGCTTCCCCTGAGTTCAGCTGGCGATTCCCACTCTGCTTCCAGATGTTGCCACCACTGGTCCTGCTCGCCGGTTCGCCTTGGGTCCCTCGATCGCCGCGCTGGTTGGCGTCCAAGGGCCACACGGACGAAGCCTACGACGTGTTGCGGCGGTTGAGGATGTCGCCCGCTGACCCGAATCACCTGGCGGCGAAAGAGGAAATCTTCCAGATCAAGGAGCAGCTTCGCATGGATGCCGACAAGTTGTCAGCATATGGCGGAAGCCCCTGGAAGGCGGTCCTCCAGAAGAAGAGCTACCGCAAGCGCATGATCATCGGCTTCCTGACCCAGTGGGGTGCCGAGTTTGGAGGGCCACTCATCATTGTAAGACCCAGCAGGCTCTCCGGTGGTCCTGGCAGAATGCTGATGTGGACGCGCAGAACAACTACGCCGTCATTCTCTACACCAACCTTGGGCAGACGGGCTACATGCCGCTTCTGCTTTCGGCCGTGTGGCTGACGACAGCAGGCGTCATCTACAACCCGCTGGGCGCGTGGCTGCACGACAAAGTCAACTCGCGACGCAAAATGTACATGACGGGGTTTGCAGGCATCGTCGTCACCACGTCGATCCTCGCGGCCATGACGGCTGAATACGTTGGCACGACCAACAAAGCCGGCAACGCGATCGGGGTGCTGATGATGTTCCTGTACCTCGCAATGCAGGGTAAGCAGAGCGATTAGAGCATGGGCAGCGAGAGGCTTACCAAAGGATCAGGCACATTCTGCGACACGACCATGTACCTCTACATTTCCGAGATTTTCCCAACGGAGATCAGGTCGATCGGGATGGGGTGGTCTCTCTTTGGACAGTTCTCCGGTAAGGCTTTCGCCCTGGATGCGGGGTAAGCTGCTGACGCACCATGACTGCAGCCACCATTATCCTCTTGCAGACGGCCCCTCTTGGCTTCGCCGAGGCGGGCTGGAAGTACTACCTGGTCATCATCTGTTGGAGCGCTTTCTTCCTGCCATGCATCTACTTCTTCTGGCCCGAAACGGCGCGGCTGTCGCTGGAAGAGATCGGCAAGAACTTCGGCGACGAGGTTGCCGTGCACATCACCGACGCAACTGACGAGGAGAAGGCGCGTCTTGACCGCGAGCTGCAGGGCGCCGATGTCAAGCACAACGGCGGCGTCGTCGTGAACAGCGAAGCGTCAGGAACCCGGGGGAGCGGGAGCACGAGTGAGCGAGAGACGCAAAAGCAGGAGTAAGACGAGTCGCATCTTGTGGGTGCGACCAGGTGTAGACGATGACTTGAGACTTCTTAGCGACTGCTTCACCAGTGTCGCGAGGCAGGTGCGCTCATAGGGTGTTTTGTGTTCGCGCACGTCACGTGCAAGAGGTATTCAATAGCATAATTTAATTTCATTGGCGCGATTGCCGAGCTGCTCCGAGACGCGACGCGACGCGACGCGTCAAATCGCCCGTCCTCCGTCGACATCAAGGTTGACTCCGGTCACAAATGACGCCTCGTCGCTCGCCAGCCAGACGGCCGCATTCGTGACGTCGCGCAGCTCACCCAACCTTCCCAACGGCACCCCTGACACTATCTTCGCCTTGACCTCTTCGGTGATGGCTGTGCCCATGAACTGCTCCAGCAGCCCCGTCATCGTCGCCAGCGGACAGATGGAGTTGACCCGGATCTTTTTGGGCCCATATTCAGCCGCGAGGCCCATGGTAGCCTACTACAAGTCAGCCCTGATCCATCTCCCTCTGGCCGCTTGTCACTCACGTTTGCAATGGCCGACTTTGACGCATTGTACCAGACGAGCCCTGGCCTGGGACGGTGCGCCCCCACTGACGCAATGTTGACAATTGCGCCCGGAGTGCCCTGCTTCAGCACCTGCGCCGTATAGGCATTGCAGCCCAAGTAGACGCCCTTGACGTTGACTGCGAACACTCGATCGAACTCGTCCTCGGTCACCTCGTTTGTTGACTGCGGTAAGACTTGTTAGCGACCAATTGCGATTGCTCTGGAGCTGTAACCGACCTTGTTCTTGTACGTCGTGCCGGCGTTGTTCACGAGGATGTCGACTTTCCCCCACAGCTCAACGGCTCGTTGAATGGCAGCATCCCAGTCCTGCTTCTTGGAGACGTCGATATGCTGGAACGAGAAAGCCTCGGACTGCGCTGCCACCTTCTCGCCCGCTTCGTCGTTGAGGTCGCAGACGAGCACCTTGGCACCCTCCTCAGCGTAGTGCTTCGCAATCGCCTCACCGAAACCAGCCCCCGCTCCTAAAGACAAATGTCAGCGCTCTGCATGTCGGTCGAACGGCACTTGGGCGAGATACCGGTGACGATGGCAACCTGGTTGTCGAGCCGACCCATTGTCGCCGATAGATATTGAGAATGTGGAGTTCTCGACGCGCGGTCGGACAAGTGCGAGGGGCTATGGAAGCTGCTGCTGACTGCGCCGCGGTTATCAGCGCTTCCCGACTTGTATGCCGCCGGCTCATTAGCCTTTAAGCCGTGCATGCTGTTCCACCTCCTCGGTCCCTGGCTTGGCACCCGATTCCCCATTCCCTGAATCCTTCAGGGTGCCGATCGCTCCACCGTTAATTATGCATGACCTGGTGCTTGTTGCAGATCAATGCTGCCTCTCAGTCTCATACTTCTGGTCCTGCCGGCACTTTCAGCTCGTTCTTCACTTTCGGCCTCATCTTCAATCGATTCCCTATTATTCAGAGCATCATCTTGAGCAATGGCATACGCAATTCCCTTCAAAGTGAGCCCCACTTTCGTTACTTTCTATTAATAGGACTATTCGTGCTGAAGCTGCCAGCTCAATCGCCCCGATTTACTCGAGACCAATGCCTACGTTGGAGGCCAGTTTGTGCCTTCGCAATCGGCTTCCACTTTCGACGTCATCGGTGAGCCGCCGAACCAATTCAGCGCGGAAGCCGACTGAGTGCTCAATTCGTCTCGCAGATCCTGGTACGGATAAGCCGTGGGTTCAGGTCGCCGACAACGCCGCTGCCGATGTCTCCCCTGCCGTCCAGGCAGCGTATGACGCCTTCTTGAAGTACCGAACCATTTCTCCCCGTACTCGCTCTCAGTGGCTGTACAAGTGGGACGCTCTCATCAAAGAGCACAAGCAGGACATTGCAACTATCCTTGTGTACGAGACAGGAAAGCCATTTGCTGAAGCGATTGGCGAACTCGACTATTCCCTGTCCTTTACCTGGTTAGTTGTGGTTCATCAAATCCACAGCCCAAGTTTCTGACATATCTTACAGGTGGTTTGCCGGCGAAGCAGAGCGTATCCAAGGCACTGCATTTACGCCTGCGCTTCCCGGTCGGCGAGTGTTGACGATCAAGCAGCCCTTGGGCGTGGCTGCCGCTCTCGTACCATGGAATTTCCCCATCGCCATGGTCCTCCGCAAGGCGGGCGCGGCGCTGGCTGCCGGCTGCACCATGATCGTGAAGCCCTCGCCTGAGACTCCCATGTCCGCCCTGGCCGTAGCCAAGCTGGCCACCGAGGCTGGCTTTCCTCCAGGGGTGCTAAACGTACTTCCAACCAGCCTCGAGAATACGCCGTCCCTGAGCGAAGCCCTCTGCCGGCACCCGCTCGTCAAGAAAATCTCCTTCACCGGTACGCTCCCCAACCCCAAAAACCTCACTCGAGCCTACCACCACCACCACCACCACCTCAGAACAGCCATCACTAACCACCACCCCAAAAAAGGTTCCACCCGCGTCGGCAAACTCATCGCCTCCCACTGCAGCAGCACCCTCAAGAAGCTCACCCTCGAGCTCGGCGGCAACTGCCCGGCCCTCGTCTTCGACGACGCGGACCTCGACCGCGCCGCGGCCCAGCTGCTCGCCCTCAAGTGGCGCCACGCCGGCCAGGCCTGCGTCACCGTCAACCGCTTCCTCGTGCAAGCCGGCGTCTACGACCGCTTCGTCGCCCGCTTCGCCGCCGACACGGCGCGCGCCGTCGTCGTCGGCCACGGCGCCAGCCCCGCAACTACCATGGGGCCCGTCACTACGTCGCGCGGCGTCGAGCGCGCGGAGCGCGTCGTCGCGGATGCGCTGGCGAGGGGCGCGCGGCTGGTGTGCGGGGGGAAGAGGGTGCGGGTCGGTGGTGTCGAGGCGGGGTGCGAGAGGGGGTATTTCTTTGAGCCGACGATCCTGGCGGACATGCCGTGGGATGGGGCGCTGGTGGGTTGCGAGGAGGTCTTTGCGCCTGTCGCGGCGTTTTATCGCTTCGAGACGGAGGAGGAGGCGGTGCGCTTGGCGAACGATACGCCCATGGGGTTGGCGAGCTATGCCTTCACGCAGGATGTGGATAGGCTGTGGAGGCTGTTTGAGGTGCTGGAGGCTGGCATGGTTGGGTTGAATACTGGTGAGTTTTGCCCCTGTCCCCTCTTCGCCTTTTTGTGTGCGAGATCTCTCTCTCTCTCTCGGTGTGTGTTTGTGGTTGTTGTTGACCTCTTGGCTGTGGGTAGGTAACTCTTCGGCTGCCGAGTCTCCTTTTGGCGGGATGAAGGATTCTGGGTACGGGAAGGAGTCGGGGAAGGATGTTGCGGTGAATGAGTACCTCGTGACGAAGACCGGGACTCTTACGGTTCAGGGCGTGTGAAGTGGAAGGGACGAAGGCCGTGGAGATGAAGTGTCGCAGACTGCCAAGCATTGTTTGCTGCAGTGACAAACAGAGTAAGCAATGCGCATCATTTCTTCGATCATTGTCTTTGCATGTGCAGTTTCTGGAATGTCGTTGATACAGGAATTCAGTTACCTGGAGAGCAATGTGCACTTAAGGGAAGTCGCCTTTAGGAGAAAGTTCAATCAGACCTACTATCTGTAGAACGGTAGAGCGGTTATCTGTGTGCACGCCTGGCCCTTTCCATGAGCACTGGGTTCACAGGTTTGAGTATCTGATCAAGCAAGAAAATAAATTCAAAACAGAAGCCTCCATTGCGGCTGCGCTGAACACGAAACTTCCCATCGCCCCAAGACTCAGTCTAGGATAAGATATCTTCCTGGCATAGATAAGCCCGGAGGCTCGCAAGTTGACCACAGGTATCATCACATCCCTTCTGCAACTATCTTTTCAGCTGCAACCCAAAGGCTTCCTTGGCGACCGTCGAGTACTACGTAGTGGTACAAATTCAAAGGAAATAGCAGTCAAATAGGTAATCTGGCCGGGCTTGGAAAACTCACTTGCGAGGGGTCTCGGACGTTGTTCTGTCGTTTCCACTGGCTAAGAAGCACGCAAGGCTTGGTATCAATCACGCTCGCCGGCTACGATTCTTGGCGCACCGAGGGCGTTCTTGGTCCCAGAACCCCAACGCTGCGAACACACGGTTTTGCCAACGCGCTCAAGCTTTTTGGCTACTCAGCTGCCAAAACACAGAGGCGTTTGGAGGCGGCGACGGCGGCAATTGCTGCGCATGGCGCGATATGGTGCAAGAGGCTCGGAGCCGGCAGAGCCTGTTTTTCTTTCTTTTCTCTGCAGTTTTCTTGCGTTGCTTGTTGCGACGCTTACCTGGTTCCTGGGAGAATACAAAGCTTTTTAAAGATCCGTTCCGCCCTCATATCGCCCGTTGCCATCGATTTGCTACCCCACTTCCGGTCCCCGGTCGCCAAAATGGCCACACCTGAGAACAAGGAGATCACTGAAATCATCGCGGGCAGTGACAGTAAAGAGGAATCAGTCGGCGATGTTGAGATTCAAGGAGACTATGGATCTGGTAGAGAGCACATCTTCTCCGATCCCAAGGTGGCGGATTACTGGAGAGATGTGTACGAAAAGGCACATTACGAGGGTCGCCACCGCTTCGACCCAAATTTCACTTGGTCGGCCCAGGAAGAATTGAAGCTAAAGCGAAAGGTAAGCTCTATCGGTGTCTCGGTGCAGAAGTATGCTGACAGATGTACCAGGTGGACTGGCGTATCATGGCTTGGTGCTGGCTGATGTTCGTCGCACTTGATTTGAACAGACGCAACATCAATCGAGGTTTGTATTGTTACTTCTTCGGCAAAGCGCGCCCACTGATGATTTGTAGCTATCAGCGACAACATGCTGGCGGATCTGAACATGGACACCAATGACTACAACTATGGTCAAACCATTTTCCTGGTATCGTTTCTGGCGGCAGAGCTTCCCTCAGGTCTGGTCTCCAAGAAGCTCGGTCCTGACGTGTAAGCATCCATCGGAAATCACACTTTCCTCGGCTCACGTCTTGTAGCTGGATTCCATTCATCATCACTGCATGGTCAATCATCTCTGCGGCACAGGCCGGGCTCAAGAACAAGACCGGATATTACGTTTGCCGTTGTCTCATTGGCCTTTTGATGGGGGGATTCATCGTATGTTACATGCGCCCATTTCACAGAAGACTATACTAACGAGCAATAGCCTGACACTGTGCTTTACATCACTTACTGGTATAAGTCGAAGGAGCTTCCGATTAGACTTTCCTGGTTCTGGACCGTCCTGAGCACGTGCAACATGTATGTCACCAAGTCACTGCCACTGACTGATGCTGATGAAATTGCAGCGTCGGATCCCTCATGGCTGCCGGTATCTTGCAAATGAGAGGACTACAAGGATGGGCGGGTTGGCAATGGCTGTGAGTCCAGCCCTCCTGATTCTCGCTGAAGCCAACTGACAGGAAACGTAGATTCCTCATCGAAGGCTGCATCACGGTAAGCGAAACAAGTCTTCTGACCAACTCCACATGCTAACAGGCATAGACGGCCATTGGAATAGCCAGCTGGGCGCTCATGCCACCGGGCCCGTGCCAAACAGCCGGTCGCTGGAGAGGCAAGGGCTGGTTCAGCGAGCGAGAGGAGAAGATCCTGGTCAACCGCATTCTCCGCGATGACCCGTCCAAGGGCGACATGCACAACAGGCAAGGCGTCGACCTCACGCGTCTCTGGAAGTGCATCAAAGACTATGACTTGTGGCCGCTCTACCTCGTACGACCACTGCTCCATCCCCCCTTGATATTTCCTGTAAACTAACCCTTAGGAGGTCGGCTTGACTACCTACATCCCGCCCAACCCGCCGTCGAACTACCTCTCCTTCATCCTCCGCCAGATGGGCTTCAGCACCTTTCAATCCAACCTACTAACCATCCCATCCCAGTTCATGTTCGGCGTCAACGTAAGCCCTCTCTCACCCCAAGAACCCCGCAAAAAAAAGATGTCACACTGATCTCACGACACCCAGCTCCTCATCATCTCCCGGCTCAGCGAATGGTTCAACGAGCGCGCCCTCGTCGCGTCCATCTCCAACATCTGGATTTTCCCGTGGCTGGTGGCGCTCGTGGCCCTGGGCGGCTCCGCCAGCCAGTGGGTCCGCTACGCGCTGCTCACCGGCCTGCTCTCGTACCCCTACTGCCACGCCATCATCGTCGCGTGGAACTCGCGCAACTCCAACACGGTGCGCACGCGCGCCGTGTCCGCCGCGCTGTACAACATGTTTGTACAGGCGGGCAACATCGTGGGGTCCAACATCTATCGCGAGGATGATAGGCCGTTGTGTAAGTTTTTCTTTTTACTTCCTCTCTTTTCCCCCCTCCCCCTTTTTCAGTCCTCGTGTCTGGAGTAAACCGGCAATGTGTTAATCAGGGTGTTGCAGACCAACGCGGAAACAAGATCCTGCTCGGGATATGCAGCTTCAACGTCGTGCTGTTCGTTGTCGTCAAGTACTACTACATCAGGAAGAACAAGCGCCGGGAGGAGGCTTGGGCGAAGCTGACGGGAGAGGAGAAGATCGACTATATCCACAACACGAAGGATGAGGGTGCCAAGAGGCTTGATTTCAGGTTTGCGCATTGAGTGCATTTGCTGTCAGACTTGACAATGAACGATTCGCGATGCTTGCTCGCAACCGCGCGCGACGTTGGCAGCGCAAGTAGAATTAGACATGTGCAAACGCATTTTACACCGGCATGTGTGCCGTATGGATTGACCTCTAATTTTTCAAGACGGTGCCTGTAGTGACGAATGAATCCGCGAATGATTCAGCGGAAGTCTATGATCTGCTTCCCAAGTCCAAGTCCAAATCCCAGTATCAGAGACACGTGGTAATAGTCCCTGTAAACTTGACTTACCAAAACACCCCAGTATACCCCCTTACACAACTGCACCCATCCCGTCAACTCAACCCTCCTTCCTCCCCTCACAAAAGCCCTCTCCTCTGACACTCCTCCTCAAACGTAACCGCATCCCCCGTCTGCGCAACCACGTCGCCAACCGCAAACTGCCTCACATCGCCGCCCAGCCCCTTCCACTTTGGCCACTCCACCCCATCCAGCCCCTTCTTCGGATCCTTCGCAAACGCCAACCACGCATCCTGCATCGCTTGGCCCACCTCCTCCTCAAACGTCGTCGACTCCCCGCGGAAGTCGCCCGCCGTCCCGAAAATCTGCGGCAGCTCCGACGAGTGATACGCGCCGTCGAACCACAAGGGGGAGACGTTGGAGAAGTTGCCGGCGTAGTAGTAGCGGTGGGTGGCGAGGCCGGCGTCGTCGCGCTCGAGCGACGTCTTGGTGGCGGGGCAGTAGAAATACTCGTAGCCGAGCGACGCGACGGTGGCGGCGTCGGGCCCCGCGACGGCGTCGTAGTCGGCGAGGAAGGCGCCCTCGTTGCGGTTGAAGCCGATGACGGCGGGCAGGCCCGAGACGAGGTCCGAGTCCTTGATGCGCTCCGTGTAGTTGCCGAAGACGACGACGTTGTCGGCGCGCGGGGAGAAGGAGAGGGTCTTTTTGTTCGTGGCGGTCGAGTCTTGGTACTCGGCGATGAAGTTGGCGATTTTGGACGCGGGGGCTTCGCGCATGCAGGCCAGCTCGGCGGCGGCGGTCTGGTTGGCGCCGCAGCCGAGGCCCTGGGCGACGGCGGTGAAGTTGGTGTGGCCGAGGTCCCAGCTGGTGAGCTGGTCGAGGTGGGCGGTGCCCGAGTCCATGATGAGGCCCTTGACGATGGGGTCCGAGGGGTACGCGAAGTTGTAGTAGTCGACGGCGACGGCGCCGGCGGACTGGCCCCAGATGACCATTTGCTCTGGGTCGCCGCCGAAGGCGGCGATGTTGTCGCGGATCCATTCGACGCTGGTTTGGGGTTCGGTCAGTTCGCGCGCGTTCGTTCGTGGCAGAGAGAAACGATGGAGAGAAGACTTACGCGAATCGCTGATCCATCAGGCCCACGTTCTGCTTCTTTTCGTCCAGCCCCGCGGCGTTCGGGAAGCCGAAAATGTTGAGGCGGTAGCTACATTTCGTCGTCAGCACTCACTCACTCACTCAGACTCTCCACGCACAAACAACCCCCATCATCAAACCCTCCCAACGACAAGAAAAAAAAAACAAAAACGAGAGAAGGGAAGGGGAGTCAAAAGGGCCACTCCACTCACTTAAACGCCACAACCAAATGCTCGCCACTCCTCTCCACCCACCGATCCGGCAACTGATACGGCACGTCGGTCCCGCCCGTCGCGAAGCCCCCGCCATAAAACCACACCACGACGGGCAACAACCCCTTCGCGCCCTCCTCCTCCGTGCCGCCGACCAACCTCGTCCCGTTGACGGGCGCCCACACGCTCACGGACAAGCAATCCTCGCTCATATTGTCCGCCGCGTCGGCGATCATGAACTCGGGCGCGTCGGTGCGCAGGATGCCGGGCGCGGCGCTGACGTGCTGCCAGCAGCTCTTGGCGGGCCTGCTCGCGTCGACGACGGTCGTGTCGACGAGCGACGCGAACGGCTCCGGCGGCGCGAAGCGGCGCGCGCCCGTGGGCGGCGCCGCGTACGGGATGCCGAGGTACTGGGCGACCGAGGGCGAGCGCGTGGTGTTGATGGTGCCGTGGAGCTCGAGGCCGGAGGGGGAGAGGGTGATGACGGGGGGCTGGGCCGGGGCGGTGCCGTTCGTGGTGGTGTTGGTGTTGGACGTGGTGAGGATGGGCGAGGCGGTCGTGGTGGCGGCGAGGGCGGCGAGGCCGCTTAGCACGGCGGTGCGGGTGGTGAGGTTCACCATGATGTTTTGTTTTGTTTTTCTTTTCTCCCTGTTTCTTCTTTCTTGTGTTGTGCGAACGATGGACAGTCCTTCTAAACGAAGGATGGAGAGGGGCAAGGATGGCGAGACGGGAGTGTGAGCGAGCGAAGTGCACTACCGTGGAAAAAGAGTGACGCTGCGAGACCTGAACAAGCTCATCTGCCAGGGAGGACGGCCGAGAGGATTTATACCCATGATGCGTATATATCTCTGGGCACGCTAGATGGCCCGTGGGGAGGACGAGTGTGGTGAGGTGCAACAGGGAAACACGATCGACCCACGGACCCGTCGTCGGTTACTGGTACAATTGGTCAGAGCAAGCAGGGTGGACACCCGACGGTTTGACCAAGAGAGCCGACAAGGGCGGCCGTGTCGCTTGGTGGCCGTCAGGAATCATGATGGGCCCCTTATTGTCAGCGCCAGCCGTGCTGGGTTGGGGCGAATGGGCCGACGACTCCACGAGTCATCCTCGCTCTCTGAATCTTTAGCATCGCATTGAAATTCTTCGTGCTTGGCAGGGCGTTGAAAGCGATTCTTTTGTTTCAAGGTCCCTTCGCAACCAGCTAAGCGCTTCGTATTCGCCCTATAGGGCTGTGCAAGGAGTTCGGGAGCCTCCAGTCGAAGGCCGTCAAGACAACTGAGCGTGAAGAAGATTTGACTGGGCACCTTTGGGTGCTTCAAGCCCCCACAGCGGTCCTGCCAGGATACGTTTCTTGTTCCCCGCTTTTTCGTTCCTACATTAGCGAACGGCCCGGGACCTATGACGCTTTGGTCTCTTCACGCGGCTACTCCCGGTCGAAAGGCCTGGCATTTGACGAAGGCCGCGTACTGCGCCAACTGGGTTCCCGGTGTAGCTAACCATTAGAAGTAACCCCAGGAACTGCGACGAACGAACACTATGCAGGTGTCCGGCTTCAGCGTGGACCGAGGACGGGGGTGATGAAAACTGCAAATAATTCCGAGTAATACAGGCGTACACCAGCCCTTCTCTCCAGTCAGCGAGGTATAAAGTGCGAGATTTATCAACAAAGGAGCCGGCAAAGACGGCAGAGGAATACGATATAAGAGAAAACCACATCAAACCGGTGGTGGGGGTAAGCAATCAAAGATCGTAACTTTCGCAAAAACTTCAGCCGTACAAGTCCGTCCATGTCCTTTGGTACGATGCGATGTCCCTCATCGCACGCACATTGCTCTTCTTCCTAATCAGACACGACACCACCAACTTCCTCTTCCTCTTTCTCTTCCTTTTTCCTCGGTCCGGGGAAATCAAGCCGTCTTCTTCCACACGGACCAAAGACCCAGAAGGGAGCTGAGGGTCCCCGACAGACCAATGATGCCGTCGTCCAGGTTGACGTAGCCAAGGGCAGTCAGAGGCACGGTCAGATCGCAGACGTCGCAGATGAGCTGAATCTTGGCAGCGTTGCCCTCCCTACAACAAACAGTCAGCCAACGTCCCACACAGCGGACAGCGCACCGACGGCGGCGGATCGCACGCACTTCTGGATCTTCTTCTTCTCGACCACGCTCTCGGCCTCCTTCTCATCCACGGCCCCGCTGCGCTTCCGCAGCTGCGCCAACGTATACACGCCGGCCACGACGCTGAACAGCAAGCCCGTCATCCACGCGCGGCTGGCCTGCTCTCCGATCTGCTTGATGTTCGCGCTCTTCCGGAAGCCCACGACGTCGGGCTGCGACGGGTAACAAGAAACACACACGCAAGCAATTAGCCTCTGACTTTCCGCATCCCCATCACGAGAAACCACGTTCTCTCTCTCCCCCCAATTTCGACTTACCACCGTGCAGTTATCCAGCCCCATGTATGCAGCATACCCCAGCTGGCGGCCGACGGTCAGGTACTTGACGACGGCGTCGCCGCCCTTGGCGTCGGCGGCCACGGCGGCGGCCTTGAGGTGCTCGACGAACTTGCCCAGCCGCAGCAGCTTGCGCGCCATGCCCATGTTCTTCTTGACCGCATCGTACTGCGCGACCTTCGCCTGCGGGTTGTTCGTGCGGTACAGGTACCACGCGTAGAAGCGGGACCAGTATTGCAGCGTGCGGAGGAACTTGTCGCGGCCGACTGTTTGTGGAAATCGTCCCGGGACTCGCAATTAGTTTATGTTTTCGTGGTGGGCTTCTGCGCGCGCCCGCGCCCGCGCCGGCGCGTGCAGGCGCGTGTTTTTTTCTTTTCTTTTCTTTTTCGGGGTGCAATGGGAAGGGCTGAGGTACCGGTTGTTGCGACGAATTTCAGGTAGTGGGCCACGGTGGGGTGGTAGACAACGGCGTCGGCGACCATGATGGGCAGCTGGGAGCAGCGCGCGGGCTAACGGGCGGGTGGTGTGGGTTGTGCCGGGCGGAGGTGGAGATAGAGTCGGAGAATACGGCGACGAGGCAGTGGCTCGAGGGAAGACGAGAGGATTCGGTCGATGGGGACGTACGGCGGCTCGGGGAGACGCGTGTCGGGGAAGAAGGTCGTGTCGAAGGTAGGGTTGGCTGGCGGATGACGGTGGTGAATGTGAATGGAAGCTCCGAGCCCAGGCCTGTGATTGCCAGCCAGCCGTGATAATCGGGACCTCGGCAGACTCACGGGCAACCGATTCCCGCAACACCCGGTGCCCGGCCTTTCTCGACCTCCAGAGATGCGCAATTAATGCCGCTCTCGACCCATCATCGCCTGCTCTCTACCACCGTCTTCCCAGACAATGATAATGCTCCCTCCCGGCCCTTGGACAGGCGGTGAGTGCTGCCATTCTATTCGCGAAAGACAGCGCTGGTGCTGCGCTGTAGCTCTCCCCACATGCTAGAATCCCGCTTCCAGCGCATGCGGATACTTTTTCCATTCTTGTTGCCATGCCGTGCTCTTTCCATATCGGATCCCCAGCCCGTGGATTTCGGGACGTCGCCCGAGAGCCTGGCACATGGAAGAATTGCCCTTCACGTCATCTCAGCCATCATTCGCGCGCTCGCTCCCTTTCCACCCAGCAATAATATCAATAATGCAGCCAGACAAATAATTGATCTATGTGTTCTCTCTCCTTCTACCGTCCCGTCCCGTCCCTCCACAGCGCACTACACACGCATAACAACTCACCTTTCCCCACGACCCCGACCCCACACGGAACCGGCCTTCCAGCCGAAAAACGCGCGCGCGCGCGCGCCTCTCCCCCGGCTGAAACCACCCGCCTCAGCCCCCTGACTAATCCCCCAAACACCACTCGTCCGCCTCCCATCCTCCACGAAGACGCACCGGAACGGAGGAACGCGCGCGCGGACGAGCGGACTCTGGCCCGACTGAGGAAAAAAAAATAAAAAACGCTCGGGGCAAGCGAAATCGAAATGATCGACGTTCGCCCCAGCCAGATAGTTTGGCGCTGCTGGGGATATTATGTATCCATGGTCCCGGTTGTTTCGCGGCTTGACTAGCTAGTAGGTAGGTAAGATCAAATACGCACGCAGGGGAAGGGGTTGGGTTAGGAGGAGTAGAGACCCCATCATCTTCGAGACTACCTACTGGACGAGGAGGGATAGAGGGGTGCTGGGTGAATAGAAGCGTGGCGGTGCTGCTCTTTTATCGTCTTCTTTTTCCCTCACTATCCGTACATATCCTGTTCTCTGTTCTTCGTAAAACAGTACACGTGCACCTAGATCGTAGACATCGAGACTTCCAGTCCTCCCCTCTGTGAACTCATCCATATTTCCTTGCCCAATGGATAGGGTAGGGGAGCTCCAACAAACAACAACAAGGGGAAAAGGGCACAACGGGACTCGCTCGTCTCCAATGCTACGTACTAGATGCTCGCCTCGAGTCCCGCCATGCCGTACAACGTAGGACCAATTGAACGGGGAAGTAGAAAAGCCACCACAAGCGCAAGCGCCGCACCGCATACGCCTCGTGGGTCGAGTATGATGCACGGATGTATGTGCAGGAACCATCTCCGCAGAGACGCGCCGCCGCCGCCGGGTGCCAATCGCATAATAGATAGGGCGGATGGTTGGAATATCACTACAACGGCAAAACACGTGCAGGCACACGCAATCATAACCTAACCCAAACGTGACGATGTACGAATACGAAGAACTACATCTCAGCAGGGATTCATCAAGTAAAAATACGTAATGAAGTAGAAAAAGAAGAAGGGCTGAAACATAACCCCATCCCATCAGCCTTTCTCCATGCCGCTCGTAATGCATGAGCCACGCGAAGACAGCAGCAGCACTACCACCACCAGCAGCGCGAACAGTCCAAAGCAGAAAGAAGCGCTGTGTCGACGCAGGATCGACGCAGCCCGCTTCCGTCCCTCGTGCTTGTCCACCCGCCTGGCAGCCCAGCATCGCTGAAAAACACCCATCCCGCACGCTCTCTCTATATCGACAACAGATGGACGGCGCTCCCAACATTTCTGTACTATCCCATCGCCTGACAAGCGCACCGCCACCAGAAACCAACCATTCTATTCACACCTCTCGCAAAGAAGCCCCATTGTCGTTTGCAACAAGAGTTAAAGACAAAGCGATGGGCGTAATATGTGTTTCATTATCGGCGGACTCGTAGGCGGCCCATTTGCAGGTCTCAATGGGGGGTGCGGGGAGAAGAGACAAGACGTGTCCCCTTCTACTGGGGCGTCTTCTCGGCGTTGGCCTGGAGGTACTGGTACGCGGCGAAAGCGAGGGCGCCGCCGAGCAGCAGGATGGCGTACAGGCCGACGCCGAAGCCGGCCGCATCGGGGGCGTTGCCTCCGGACGACGGCGACGAGTGCGCCTTGGGCTCCGGGTCGCCAGGCTGCGGATGAGAAGAAGAAATAGCGCGTCAGCTCGTCCGTTCAGGCCGTCTCAAGCAAGTTTTCGTGGGCAGAAAAGCGGTGGAATGATTTGTTGGGATGCGCTCGGCGTCGCTGCCCCAGCAGTGGGGTCGCGCGCCGCTATTACGTTGGAATCTCGGTGAAAGAGGCTAGGAAAAGGGGGAGACCCAAAGCCGCGCAGCGCGAAGGTCGCCGTATTTGCGAACGGGTTGACATTGGCATTGGAAAAAAGAAAGGGTCTAGCAGAACATACCTGTCTCTTCAGGGTGCCAACAAGCAGGCCCTCCAGGATCTCGCGCGCCTCGTCGCTGTGGCCGACATCCTCGAACGCCTCCGTCGAATCCTGGCCGCCGACGTCCAGCAGAACCTCCTCACCACCGCTGTTGTCATTCTCTCGTCAGCACTTGCTTGCGAAATAAGAGCCAAAGGCTGAGCCAAAGGTGAGCGCAGCCGGACTCCCCCAACCCCGTAGTTCCAATCGCGTCCAATTGTTGCTCCGGCTGGCATTCGTCGCTACCGCACCGCTCCTTCAGTCGTGCTGACTGCTCGACAGCGATCGGAGAAGCGGCGGACGCGAGAGAAACCACGGGCTCGAGGACGGCTCGCATAGCAAGAGATCCACTTACGGGTGCTCGTCGACGAAGCTGGTGCAGTTGTAGACCTTGTCGTGGACGACAATGTAGAGGTCCTTCTTGGAGGCGTGCTCCGAGACGTCGGAGTAGGTGAATTCCTTGTCGGCGGACATTTTCGGGGATCTAGGCGCGTCGAAGCAGAAGAGAAGCCGGCGGCGAGGGTTGGGTGGAAGGGCAAGCGAGAAGGAGCGGGGGGGCAGGAAGAGAAAGCTATCGAAGGCCAGGAAGCGGATCGACGTGGAGTTTTGATGTTGGTGAGCGGTGGAGGGAGGGACGTGCTCGGAAACCCGTAAGAATAAGAGGCCGGCGGGAAGCACAGCAAGCCCGGCCCCCCAGAGATAGGCCAGGTGGTGCTTGCGGACCTGCGCTGTAGAAATGCACGCGCGCCCATTGGCCGCAGCCCTGGGCGGTGACCGCTCGGCGGACCCTGAAGCCGGCTATCAATGCGCCTGCCTCCGAGCTCCAGCGCGCCTTCCCCCCTGTTTCTGCCTGAGATGCCGGCTCCAGGCGCTTCCGGGCAGTTGTGCATCGCCCGATGCGCCGCTTCTATTTCACTGTATTTGCTGCAACGACGCCGGCGCACCCGGGCCCACGCGCGCCGGCGCGGCCAAGTGCCAGCCTCTCTCTCGGCCTTCCGCGAACGCTCCCCGAAACAGGCGAAACTTGCCGGCAGGTGGAGCGGGGTCTATCACCCGAGGAGCTTCGGCTTTATCCCTCCAGACGGTACTCGCTCAAGGCAAGCAAGGCAAGCAAGGCAAGAGGCCGCTGCAGCCCTGGCTTAGTAAGAGCAGAGTACATCACAAGTTCACAACATTAAAATATCGGCCAGCCAGATTCCGTGTTCCGAAGCCGCGGAACTGATGCCATCTACGTGCCCCGCGATGCCCGCGGCCATGACTACCCCGATTGTTTCACCCCCCGCCCTACTGAGCAAATACGCCGGTCCGCGATCCCCGTACAGCCGACGTTCCCGTGGCCTATGACGTGACAGCCCAAGGGTTCGTGATGCAGGCCGCGACTCGAGGCTTGCAGCGCTGACAGCACGCCCGGAAGCAGCGGCAACCATGGTGAGCCTCGCCACTGAGACGGACTCGCCGATAGATCAAAGCAGAGAGAATTCGGTTTCCTATTTCTCCCTGAGATGCGCGGCGCTGTGACTAGTTATACAGAGACTCGCCGTTCTTTTGCAATGTGCCCACTGCAACGTGGTGTTGCAGGTCGCTTGAGCCTTGGCCAACCTCTGCTGCCGGGCCACCTGATTCGATCACCGAAACTGGCTCCTCGCAGAAGAAAGCACGCTCCAGGCCCATGTGAATCGAACACTTTCAGCTCGCGCCCACTTTATTGTCCGGAGCTCTGATGTGTCCTGGCCGATGCTCACGTCCGCACTGCCACTGCCCTGTTTTCATCTTCTGCCTCAAGCCCTCCATCTCCATCCCATCAACAGCGGCCGCCGTCCTCGTCCCCATGGAGGTGCCTCCAGTTACTTGCACAAGCCGAGAAATTCACATGCAAAGACACCGATCCGACTTCGACCTCGAACCCCCGCAAAATCCACCTGCCCCCGCTCCGCCCCCATCCGGCTGTCAAGCCGGAGCAAGAAAACAAATCGGCACCCGAAAACCATTTGATTTTGAAGGCTAGAAGGATATCCCATGGCGACAACCTCAAACACCCCACCGTATCCATAAGGAACCGCTGTCATTCATCACAATCTGATGTACACAACCACCCTCTCTCGCAGAGAGGAGAGGTCAACAAGAAAAGCAAAGAAAAAACCGATCGCCCTTTCCAAACAGCCGTTGCCATACCCTGCCGACTATGCCCTTACAACCCACACTGAAAACAAGGATGCTTGCGCGCTACAACCAGACCCGATTACCAAAAAAAAAAAACACTGCCCCAGACCACCTGAAAATGCGTGTACTTGGCAGGAGAATGAGACATGAAGTTCATACCGGTCATCAACACAAGCCGAACCCGTAAAAGCAGGCCGTCGAAGAAGACATCCTTTGAGAAGAGTTCTTAGAAACCTGCGTGAGAGGGAGAACAAAGTCAAAAAGAACAAAGTGGAGACTCGAAGCGGCGGCTCCGAACATTCACACCCCGCCGCCGGCTGGAAACGTTCCGATTGCGGAAGGAAACGACGACGACGACGACGACAGCCCGAAAAGGGATAAAAATGCATCTATAGCTGTGGCCAGGGACGTGCGCCTCCCTCTTGACTACCTGCCCATTTGAGACCAAAGACTGAACAAACGAAAAAATAAAAACTCCAACCAAGCGCCGCGCTACAGAAGCTCGGCTGCCAGCAACAAAACTCGGGCGCACAATGAGGAGCCACAAAGGGGGGGGACCGTCGGTTGAAGCAGACAGTGCAAAATGCACACACACGCGCGCGCGCGCGGGTACTCCTGAATCGGCGCCTAGTCCGGCTCTCCCTTGACTGTCTCGGACGAACCAGAATCTTCCTCGCTTCCGCTTCTTGACCTCCCCAGGTTGGGCGTTGATCTGCTTGCTCGAAGCTTACGCGCTCTTGCCTGGGTCACTCGGAGACGAGCCTGTTCTCCTGTCTGGCGGTTTTTTGAATCCCCGGCATCCGGCTTCTCTGATTCAGCGGCTGCTCTGAACTCCGGTGATGCGACTTCGGTGGGAATCTGCCCCGACGGCTTCGTTTGCGCCGCGAAGAGATCCGGACTTGCTGCTTCAAACCATCCTCCTCTTTCCCAGTCGCCGGGCTTGTAAAGTGCTTCTCCACGGACATCGGGGTCCACGATCCCAGCGACCAGTTCTTGGAGACGAGGAAACGAAATTGGCTTCAGGATCCAAGCGTCGAAACCTGCGTCAATGTAGACTTTGCGCTTGCTTTCCTCCAAAGACGCAGAGACAGCAATAATAGGTATCCGGCCGTTCAGTTTGGCTCGGCGCGAGAGACAGTCTGCCGGGTGCGTTTTCTCGAACGAGCGAATCATTTTGGTTGAAGCGAGCCCATCGACGATTGGCATCTGCAGAAGTTAGCGGTTTCAACTATCAAGACCAAACAAAAGCGAAAAACTGACCTGCATGTCCATCAACACGACATCGAAGCTCTCAGGGTTTTCGTTGTGGATGGTTGCACATTCTTCGCCATTGACAGTAAGTACGATGCTGTGGCCAAGCTTTTCCAAACGCTTCTTGATGATCCTGCTGTTCACAGGGTCATCTTCTGCGACGAGAACGCGCAGATTATCGGCTGTTAGAGGTTCCTCAAGGGCAGGCCTGTTTTCGTCGACTTCCCCAATAATGCCGGACTTGATGCTGCTGGAGTCCTCATGCTGCGGTGTCTCGTCTTCCCCCATTCGAACTGGCCGGATAGGAAACCCTGAGCCGGGCACCTCGGCCCTACCAGGAGAGCTGACGGCAAGCGTGTTTGGTTGACTGCGCCGTTTCGACTCCGCGGTGTGTAGTGAGCGCGGTCTCTCTGGTGGCTTTGCCGCACTGCCCGTCGCAGACCGCTTTTCCAGGCTTGGTCTCTTCTCCAGGCTGGGCCTGCTGTTTTGTGACGTTCTCCGCGAACGATCAGCACTGCTCCTCCCATCCACCAGATGAGGCTCCTGGATGGCTTCGATCAGCCTGTCGACATCGCTTCTGCCGCTATTGTTACTCGAGAGGCTGTTGAGGCTCTTGCGGCTCTTTTTACTACTGACGCTCTCCGCACTGTCTCGCCGGAGCAAACTGTTGGTTCCTTCCCTACCCTGCGAGCCGCCCTTTTCCACAAGGGTAACCTCACGCGCAGCATCTGGAAGGCCCTCCGCCTGCGGAGTTGACGAAGCACTCATCAAACTCTTGTCATTACCATCGGGCAGATCGAACGGCAGTTGGATGATGAATCGCGATCCTTTGCCTTCCTCGGACCTCAGTCGCAGCTGGCCATTCATGTTCCGCACTACTCGAGATACAACGGCAAGCCCGAGACCAAGAGTGCGCTTCTCGGCCGCGGGGTCGTCCTCAATCTTCTTCGCGTCGGGTGCGAGACTTTCCTCCAACATCTCCGTCGTCTCGCTCTGAACTTGTTCGAGATCGCGGAACAAGGCGTCGAGCTTTTTGCTGCTCATACCGGTGCCAGTGTCCATGACGGCAATCTCGACATTAACGCGGTTTTCTTCCCAGTCGGAAACGTACATGTCGACTTTGACTCCACCCTCGAATGTGTTCTTGATTGCATTTGCCGTAACGTTGGATATCGCCTGGCGGACTCTGCGCTGATCACCTATGACCTTTTGAGGCACGCCGGGGTGCTCCATGACCTCGTAAGATATTCTCTTGCGCTTAGCGTCGCCCGAGAAGGCGTCTGTGGCCTCCTGGAAGGTGGTCTTTAGATCGAACACATCTCCCTTGACCAGGTCACCGCCTTCTTCGGTCTTGGTCAAGTCCAGCAGATCGTTGATGACGTATATCAAGGACTTGGACGCCGAATGAGACTTGGCGAGGTTCTCCCGAGTCTCGTTATCTAATGTGCCTTCGAGAGCAATCTCCAGGTAATTGATGATTGCATTGAGCGGGGTGCGAACTTCATGTGCAGAGTTGGCGAGCAGAAGCCTAGTGAGTTGGCTGCTCTGTAACGCTGCCTCCTTTTGGCGCCAAACTTCGATGAATTTTCCGTACACCAAGCACAGAACGGCGGCAGTCTCGATCTCCTCATCGGTCCACTCGCGACACATACCAACCACGGTCTCGCTCCACGTCTTGAAACTCTTTCTCGGCTCCAGATACCCTTCAGTGCCCTCCTTTATGAACTTTTCGTAGGGATTACCTGCCCATTTCACTTCCTTCAACTGCCCCTTTCTGAAGAACACTATGAAGTCCGTGCCGCTTATCGAGAGAGGGACGACGAGCATGCCTGCAATGTTCTGAAAACCGGGGGGATAACGCAGGTCCGGGAAATCGGTCGACACGTCCTGGGATGTCGTTACCGAGGAAATCTTTCGCATCCGAAGGTACTCGAGCATGGCCAACGCTTCTTGGGTTTGGTCCATCCGGCCCAAAATCTTGGTCTCGTCTCTGATGGAGAGGAGGCCGAAATCTGCGTCGAAAAGCTTGAGAAGATCGTCTGATGAGGCGATGATGTAGCCGGACGGGTTGTGTTGTGTGGGAACGGTATTGATCAGTTTCCTGGCTTGCAATCTTGATGCGTAAGAGAGACGCTCAATATTCCTTGAAGCTGAATCCCCTACTAGACGGCACATCTTCCGGATCGGAAAGCTGACCCGCATTCCGTTAGATCCATACGAATGACAAGCTATCAATCCCCACAGCTCGTCAAAGGCATTGATAGAAATAGACATGGATGACCGGACTGCCATGTTCCCAAGGTATTTGAGATGGATGGGCGACATTGCTCGGAGGTAGGCGTACGTAAGGTCGAGTGGTGTTTCGAGGTCCTCGACAGTCCGACACACCAACCGGGCTGTCACCTGGTCTCGGTCGTACAGTAAGCGCACCCTGTTGACCTTGTACAGTTCTCGAGCCTGTCTAGGAATGTCTGAGGCTGGAAAGTTCAAGCCCTTGTAGAGATCTTTTGTTGCGCGAGGATCCACCAATTCGGTCACAACCCTTCCATTCCAGGCTGCATCAAACTGGTAGATCATGACGCGGTGGAACCCCGTCAGTTCCTTGACTACTCCCACCAAGACCTTCAGGAAATGGTCCAGATTCGGGGCAGCCGCCAGTTGCTCCTGCACCTGGGACATGATATTGAAGACTTCCATGGCGGCCGCTTCCCCCTTCCGCTTGCGGGCACTTCGAAGTACTCGTAGTGGTCGGCTGATGTTTTGTGTGCTTTCTGCGAACTCCTCGGCCGTTGGGTTACTTTGCAAGGTATCTTCAGGCGTGTCCGGGGCAACTTCGCTCGACGGGACCAGTGGGTTCACGGAATCGTCTTCCAGTTCGAATTCGCAGATTACCAAATGTGGATGGGCAGGGTTGACGTGCATAGCACACCAGAATCTTCGAGCCTTCCTGTCCGGTCCTCGGATCGTCAGCGTGAAGACCTCCGGCCCATTGGTCGCGACGTCCGCATCCTCGTCGCGGATGAAATCGACGTGGTCGAGTAGGTTATCTGCTTGCTCCTCGGAGAGAATGTCGCAGAAGTTTTCGAGCGCGAAGAGTTGTTTCGGCGAATAGCCTATTATCTTCGGAGAGTTCTCGCTGACCACGCGGACTATTAGTTTTCCGTCAGACTCTTCCTCAAAGGCGATCAATAGACCGAAACTCTGGACGGCGCCAGGTATGTGGATTGGCTCGTCTTCGCATCTTTGTAGCGTTTCTCCGTCTCGTCCTGTGATGATGGCATGTCCGCCGTCGGAGACGACGTGTTTGAAACGGGCAGTCACCAGAGGCGTATCGCCCAAGCTCTCGGTGATGCTGCGTCCGGACACGCTCGGGGCCCCAGATGAAAGGTTGACGCTCGATTGTTGACCCCCGGCATCGCTCCCAGATTTATTGGAAACCATGTCGCTAAAGATCTGCTGCGGTAACCTCTTATCAAGCCTCTCTCCGACAGGCCCCCTTTTGCTAGCAGCATCGGACGCGCCAGAGGCCAGTGACTGCTGGTTCTCAGGCCGTTGTTTCGAGGAAGCGCGGGATTCTGATGACTTCGTAGAGCCACTGGCGGCGGAGAAGCGTCTCATCTCGCCTGCACGAGCCAAGCTCTGGAAGTAGCCTTCCTGGCGACCGCGAATCGTGGGCGTGGGCGTGGGGTCCATTGAAACGACGCTCCGGATGGGAAACACTCGATCGTCAATTCCAGGACTCAAAGAGCCTACGTCCGATGTGGGAGAGAAGAAGTTGTTGGAGGTGGCGGGCGGGGAGAGCGGTCGTCCTGCAAGATCGCCGGTGAGGATTCGGCTGGTTCTCGAGTGTGACGTAGGTTGTGGAGGGGGTGCGCCTTGCTGGCCAAGCTGCGGGGCAGAGGGCTCAACAGCATCGCCGGCATTGCACTGCGACGCTGGTTCTGCTTCGCCGTCGGTGTGCTGAGACATGGGGAGCTACGGCCGCGTTGTGCAGAGGGGCACAACTGGGTTGGACGTCAGTTTTTGCTCGAGTCGGAGGACGTGGCCGCTAAAACGGCATCTGACAGGGGTGCGGGACCGGCAGTATGCTCCCTCACGCGTGCAGGTGGAGATAATGTCAAGCGGCCGTCGACTTCATGCCAGCCTTAAGGCGCAGAAGGATAGTAAGACAGCAGCGTCAGTATGGCGACTAGGGGAGCGCCTTGGTTTTGCCACTTCTTTGTGAAGGCGCGTCTCCAGCTCGCGGTGGCAGTGACGGGAAGCGGTGAGGATCGATCGGGACAATTGAATGTCTGGAGAGCCGGATGCGCGACGGTAGAGCTGGCTCTGGGGACTTTTGGGGGCAGCGGGGCTGGTAGGCCGTCGTGGCGCTGGTGGTGCAGCGAGGAGCCGCACCGGGAACGGCGAGTCAATGCTCCGGGGAGGCCAGCAGAGGCTACCGCCGTTGGGTCGTCAGAGGAGCAGTGAGCGAGCTCGCGGGAGCAGGGCGCGGTGGTGTGCAGAGGGCGATGCGGCAGCAAGAGCAGATCGCAGATGAAAGAGATCGATCAAGGCGGCACGCGCATGTGGCAGTACGGCTGGAGGGCTAGTAGCTCGCTCAATCCCGGTCGGCGCGCTCCACGCAGGTCGCAGGAAAGTGCGCCGCTGAAGAGAGGCGAGGGCACTGGGGCAGTGGCTCGGCCCTGGGATGGGAAAAGGATCGCCCAAGCTACAAACATATCACGGTCTGGTGTGCAAGGAATAATGCGAAAGCCTCCCGTAGATCTTCGCGGTCGGGGCCACTGAAGGAGCCTGCGCGCTGGCGCTGTAAGGATGCCCTCGCTGTCACCGCGCTCCTCGGGCAGCCACAGCAGTGCTCCGAAGGCAGTGCTCCGAAGGCAGCGATGCTGCACAGAAAGCCCCTCTTAAACTCGCCACCAGCACAAGCCACACACTAAGGCCTTCACCCACGCCGCTGACGCGCCCGCACGCCCCAGCCTGCCCTGCTCGTCCCCACGCACTGCCGGTCCCTGGCGGAGATGCGGCCGCGAGCGCCAGCCGGTCAAGAAGCACCACGGCAGGACCCTGTGCGCCGGCCCAGCGGTGCCCGTTCACCGCGGCTTCGCGCGGTCGGAGCCCGAGATTGGGCGGCCGTGGCCTGCGACGGGGGGAGGAGCCGCCTCATTTTTTTTTTTTTTGCTTCTTTTCGCTGTTTTCGTGTCGCGCGCAGTGCTGGTTATTAGTGGAGCGGTGCTGGTCGCGGCCCTTCTGTGATGAATGATCGCCGGTCGCAAATCGGGCACGGGCACGGCCGCCTCCAGAGAGCGCCCGCGAGAGTGGTGAATCATCCAAAAAGCCTCCCTCTGCCAGGCGCTAGCCGCTCGTTTATGCCACCCGCAGGTCCGCTAGCCTGACCACCGGGTCAACGTTCAGGGCGAACAGCCCGTCGGCACGACAGCCGTTTAGAGTCTTCGTCCAGCCAGGGCGCACGCAAGGGGTCACGAATTTTCGACCTCGAGCCTGCGCTTCCTTCGCCCCCCCACGCGAGAGCCCGCCTAGTTGGTGATCGGCAGAAGGGAAAAACAGGCAGGGCGGGTGGGCGGTCGGTTTCACGCCCCACCATCTCCTGATGGCATTCTTCATCGCCCGAAGACTTTCCCATTGCGTAGCCCCGCGCCGCTTACTGCGTCGGGGCTGGTGTGTTCTCCAGGCCGGCCCCGAGGGCAGTGCAGGCTTGACGGCGGCGCGCAGACTCACGGTCGCCTGACGCCAAGGCTGGCGCCTTTCTGGAGCACGTTTCGGCAGACGGCCACCATGGTCAAGTGCTGGGCGGGCCAAGCCTAGCGCGGCTGACCTCCCTCTCGCACACATGTCCGCCGCTGCGAACAGGCGCCGCAGCCATATGCTGCAACATGATGTCGAAGGCACTGCTTTGTCCCTTCTCCTGAGAGGTACTCGGGCCAGTCGCACATGACGTGGTCACTCCCCTACTCCCTTTGACGGCGTGTGCTCGCTTCCTCCCGTCGTTGATGTTGGAATAGCTGGAGGCTCGTGTGCCGTACGAGTCGTGGCATTGGCCGGCCAGACCCAGGAGACCGGCCACGCAGACCCTGCTGCCAGTGCTCCCGGCGCCAAGCCTCAGGGCGGTGAGTTTCCGCCGCCGCGTTCCATGTGCGGAGCGCGCTTACCCACGGCCCTCCTCCGTCATCCCTTCGTGTTCGAGCGAGCTCCGCGGTAGCCCTACAACCTTTCCCCTAACCTCCAAACGTCTCTTTCCATGCCACCGACAGAAAGCGCGCGGGCTCTGCGCATCCTTGTCGCCTCGTCTATTCCCTCGCCCATCGAGGAGCCCTTCCTTTCAACCCTCGTCGCCCAGAAGAACATCGCCGTGCGAAGTATTGTCGACTCCGCCGAGTGGAAGACATGCACCCCGTATGCGTCCATTCCCAATGCCTCAACCGATCGGTCGCAGCCATGTCGCCCTTTCAGCGATCACGATGACGTCCATCGCACCGCTGCCGAGCTCTGCGCATGGGCTGATCTCCTCGTCCTTGCCCCCATGGACGCAAATACGCTTGCCAAAATGTTGCATGGCGTCACCGACAGTCTGATACTCGAGATACTGAGGAGCTGGGATGTGTCAAAGCGGACGCTGCTAGTGCTGGGCATGTCCACACTAATGTGGGAGAACCCGATGACCAAGAAACAAATCAGCAAAATCCGGCGGAAGTGGAATTGGGTGCGGGTGCTTCATCCGCTGCTCTGGAATTTCGAATCGAAGGGCAAAAGATACCTGCCGTGGGAGGGGCGGGAGGAGCTCATGGGCGCCATCCAAAACCAGTTGGATCTGATGACCCTCGGGCAGGATGTGGACGTGTCCATGGGGCAGACTCCCAAGACCAGCCTCTCTCTGCGGCCCGCGGCAAAATCCGCCAGCCCTCTCCCGCCCGAGATATGGTCCATGATTCTAGATTCCACCGGCGATTGGGAACTGGCGAAGAGATTGAACGTGTACACAACCTTGGCTACACCCCAATCCTGGCTGCGAGCAGCTAGTAAAGAGGGTCCGCACAGTTTCATGGATAGGTTGGAATGGGCCATCCTGACAGGCACGCTGGGCGATGTCAAGGAGCTTTTTGATACACACACTGCCCCACAATGGCTTTCATCCCAAGCGGTTCGAATAATCATGCGCTTTGCCCTGATTCCCCTACTGAATTACTTGGAGTCAAACCACAAAGACCTGTTTTGGGCCAGCTTTGGACACACCTTCTTGCCTGACAAGGCATCTGCCATCTTTGGCCGGATCGAGATTCTGGAATACTGGCGAACTTCACCGACTTTCCTCAATAAGGAACACACGGTGGACGCCATGGATGGCGCGAGTCGGGCCGGCTTTGTCCACATTCTAGAATGGTGGCGGAACTCAGGGCTTCCAATGAAATATAGCGAGGCTGCTCTGGAGCAGGCTAGCAGCAGAGGCCAGATCGAAGCGCTCGAGTGGTGGAAGAGGGCCAGCATGCGGGACGACGGCCACGTAAGGACGAGCGGGGACGAGTCAGAGACAGAGAGCAGCGCCCCGCCCACGCGCAAGCCGTTGCGTCTCAAGCCTGGCAAGGCGATCTCGTTCGCTACGCAGGCGGGGTCGCTCTCGACATTGCGCTGGTGGGTCACGTCGACGATACCCTTCTCTCATGAAGATACGGTCGCCAAGTTGGCCTCGACGCACGGCCACGTCGACATTCTCGACTTCTGGCAATTGCTTCATGGCGAGAAGATGATTTACGACAACCAGGTGCTCGTCGGGGCCACCAAGATGGGGCATCGTGACGTTCTGGAGTGGTGGAAGAAGAGCGGGCTAAGGGTGGAGTACAAGACGTGTGATATTGAGGAGGCTTTGGAGGATGGTGTTGAAGGCGTAAAGGGTGAGCAAGTAAGACGCTGGTGGGCACTTAACGGATTGAACTTGGGTGTTGGCACGAGTGAATGGATGAGGACAAAAGTGCTTAATCAAAGTTGATATGTCTAGGGAAGATTGCATCGTCGGCGCCACGGGTTATCTGTAGCATTTCTAAGGCGTTAATATGATTCTACGAAGGATTAGACGGCCAATTCGTTCTCTCTGGTTGCATCAGCATTTAAAAAGGTTATAATTCTCGTTGTTTCAACAACTCCGTCAGGTGCACATTGATTCTCACTACGAGCTTCACTCTCTCTCGCAGCCCTCAAATTCACCGAGACATTACACGCCAGCGACATGGGGAGTCGAGCCCTATGTCAAGATGTATATGTATGCACAGCTCTGGATCTCACATCTATGTCCAGACATCTCCTTCTATCTACTGCCCACACAAGTAGGATCGAATTCCTGCACAACACGGTGCCTTCGCCTCATTCTTCAAGCTGTGGGGTGACACCACGCAACGGCTATCGGTGCACGTTACTGACTCGTTGACAGGCATTCTACATCTTCCGGTCTGTGCACTGGTACCCGCGGAGAACGCTTTAAGGGACTTGGAAGCAACTCCTAGGTACCTGCCTTTCGGTGGGCCCAAATTGTCAGGTGCGAGGTATCTCGGCCCAACGGTTGGGTTGGGGAAGCCTCGGTGGCAGGCATCGCCCCTTCCCTGAGAACCACCAATGACGTCATTGTGACCCACCCCCAGCCTGCTCGCTCACGGCGGTGCGGATCACCAACAATATGCACTTCGCCCCTTACCTTGCCGTCATCCCAGCCTTGTCTTTTGAGGACTGACCTCATTCTACGCCAGACTCTCTGCCGCAGAGGCGATATTCGTGCCACTTTCATCGCCGATCAGATCGTGAGGCGCTTGCCCCGTCATGGAGCTTTCGGCTTCTAGCGGGACGCCGGAACCGCCGCAGCCTCTTCCGGATTACGTGCGACCCAGCAATGCGAGAATCCGACACTTGAGGCACCAGATGTGGGTTGGATTAGCACAGCCTTTGAACAAGCACGAAAGATGTTACGTCGAGCTCCACCGTTACAATCTGCTCGCAGGAAAAACCAGCGCGCTTCCATCCATGTTGCGGCCTCATCAGCAACATCGCCAAGCCATTGAGGGCCCGGAAGCCCACCAGGAGCCTATCATGTTCCCTTCACCCAACCCTAAGGACCCTGCAGGACAATGCCGCTTGCTTCAACTATCAGCGACCAACCAGCTGTCCTCGAGTGAGGCCTTGATGTCATCGTCTTTCATCTTCACTGTTGCAGCAAGGGCTGGCTACGAGCTCACTCGCCTCAGACCAAGATAGAGGAAGTGGAAGATGAGATAGAGGAGGCCTTCTCGTACCCCAATCCTACCCTCGTCGTACCCAGATCACCATTAACCCCGCAGTGCACTTCTCGTGATGAACCGAGCTTACACACGTGTCTACAGGGAAGCAATCAGGTACGGAAGTACCGGAGCCGATCTTCAGTCTGCCCAAGTGAAGCACAGTGCCCGGTTCACGCCACGTACTCATCAGCCTCACGGAAGAGAGGGTACGCTGCCACGTCAAGGTGCATTATTCACGGCTGCAGCAGTTGGGCAGCCGAGGGAAAAACGTAGAGCTCCGGATGACCTCGCCACCGCCGCGAAGAAGAGGAAGGCTTGCAGGATCATCCCACCACTGCAATCTAAAGATTGGGGTTGACTGACTCTGAGTGGCGAATTCAGAACAACACGACTCAGTCGGAGATTACGGGAATTTCACTGAAAGGGAGGCATTGCCGTCGTCCTCGCTGCCCGAGAACGTTGGCACGATAGAAGTGATTGACCTTCCTGAAAACCCAACGCGAGGCGAAGTTTCCTCCCTGAGCAGCGTCAGACGACAACCGTGAATCCAGCTCCCCCCAGAATTGAGGCACTTCTCCAAGCAGTCGGATTGTCTTCGAACTCTTCCAATGAGCGGGGTCAGCAGTGAGGAAGATCCCAGCGCATAGCCAACCTCAATGCCACGACGACACGCGCAGAAATGGAACCCAGGATTCTCACAATCCCAGACAGATGTGTTGAGTCAATTGCAGGATACAGGAAGCGTGGATACCATCGCCACACACCCTGCAGAAACACGTTCCCATGTCAGAGCTGAAGTCATCAAAGACGAAGGCGGTTCCGTCAGTCCTGAGGTTAAGATGGAAGGCTGATGCAAGAATCAACGTCTTTCAGCTAGTTCAGATGCTGACCTATAATTGGGCCTTTCTACTGAGATGTCTGACTTCTTTGCTACTTCACCGAATCATCGGCATTACTGACATCCCTCACATGAAGCTCGCATCCGCCGTAGCACGCATTTGCCCTTCAATTCATAAGCACCGTCTAGCAGGCCTTGCACCAATTCCATGTGAACAGTTTTCGGTGCTCGCCAATACTTTCCCTCATGTTTCGGAATCACGGAAATGCTCCGCTGGGGCGGAGAATCCTACAGTAGAACTTTCTAGCATAGATTCAGCCAAGTACAGCTGCACAGACGGTAGCTAGCACACAGAATGCATTGATCCAAGCGTACCTAATAACGCCAATGGCATCTCGCCCTTCAAAACGTGCAATTTCCGGAATCCTGCAACGGCGTTCCCGTCACTAACGAGCCGCCTGCATGTCTGTCAGAAAATAATTCGCTCACTCAGGTTGCGCAGTTTTTGTATCTCGCTCGCTCCGCTCCGTCTCGCTTAACCCATCTCCGGGCGGAAGACGTGCTCTCTAGTTTTTCTTTTTTTCTTTTTTTTGGGCCTACGTGGCCGGTTCCTTAGTATTGCAACGAGCTGAAGCGGGTAGCTGAACGCCTCTATCTCCGGACCTATTTTTTTTTTGCCGCCACACTCCCCGTTCAGACCACAGCAGTGGGTATGGCTAGAAACATTGGTCCAAAGTGTCTGGACGGCAGAAGTGAGTATCCAGAATACAATACCTTACATTCAATGCGATAGGTCTACCGGCGTAGAAGCAGACGTATGCGAAGGTAGATCTACAAGTTTCGAACACTATACACATGCATCCTGATCAAAGACCCCCCCCTCTCCACCAACTATCCGCGTAGGTAGAGTAGGAAGTCGATCAACCCCCACCTCACTATTTTGCAACACCATGCGAACCGCCCTTGGTATCACGTATTTTCCCTTTTTCCTCTTCTTCTTCATCTTCGTCCTTGTTTATGCCGTCTTTATCTCCTCTTCCATTGTTTCAATACATCGCAATAGAGCTACAAGCACATTTGTACATACATACATGCATACAATTCTCTTCTCTATGATTCGTCTAATAGATTTTGATATACCCGTGTGTCCTTTTTCCCGCCTTCTTCTTCTCTATCCATCCTCACACTCGCCTATTCATCCATCCATCCATCCATCCATTCATGCATCCATTTCACCCGTCCACATTCACCAATCCGTAACCAATTAAAAACGCAGGGGAGAAACACTAATCAAGTTGTTTTCCACGCGAGAGGGGAGAGAGAGAGAGAGAGAGAGAAACGAGAAGAACAGCGAGGAGGCGGGAACCAAAAAAAATCAGAAGAATGCTGGTATCGATAAATGCTGCTTCTTTTTTCACGAATCAAAAAACGCTCTCCTTCAGGCTCACAAGATCGTGATGATGCATGTCTGTTGCCCCCACGTATGTATATACACCCGAAAAAAAGAGTAGAGTAAGGGAACAAGAAATGTGAAGGTGAGAGATATGGTGAAGAAGCCGAAGACGAAATGTTTAGGTGGAAGAAGGGTGCGTGGTGTTTGCCCTGTTCGTCATGACATGCTTTCTCAGCATGCATGTCTTGGTGGGTGGTGTGGCTAGTGATGGCTGCCGCCGCTGGCCTGTGCCTGTGCCTGGTGCTGCTGGTGCTGTTGGTTCCGCTTGCCCGGGCCAACGCCACTGCCGCCACCGGCACCACCGGCGCCACGAGGACGGTGATGGTGATGCTGTTGTTTGCGAGGGCCGGTCGGTGGGGTTTTCTCGGCGTTGACAGCGGTAGTAGCCGGGACGACGGGGGAGGAGGAAGGCGTAGCAGCGGTGGCTGTATTGGCGACGGAAGAACGAGAAGGATGGGGAGGCTGCTGCTGCTGCTGTTTACCGGGTTTACCGCTGCTCTTCTGCTTCTTGTTCGACTTGGCCGGAGGCGGTTTTGCGGCCGTGGCGGCCGAGGCGTCGGCAAGGGAGGTGGCAGGGATGGCAGCAGTCTCGGTGGTAGAAGCAGGAGCGATAACGGCGGGCTCTGGAGCAGGACCTGCACCTGGGCCAGACCCGGCGTTGCCCTTCTTGCCCCGCCCACCACTACCACCGCTGCCACCCTTCTTAGCGCCAGCCCCACCGCCCTTCGCAGGCGCAGTCGTGTCGTCTCCACCAGCAGTAGCCACCTTCTGCTCACCCTTCGCCTTCTTCCCCGTCTTCTTCGAAGAAGAGGAGCCACCAGCCCTTGCGGCGTCCCTCTTATCCCGCCTAGCCCTGTCTCTCTCTTCTTCCATGACTCGCTTGCTCTCTTTGTCCCACCACTCCTGGAATTCTTGCTCCTGCTGGATTTCCTGCAAGCTGCGCTTCGCCGCGGCGGCGGCGATCGACTCCTTCTCCGCCTGCTGCATTGACAGGATGTCGGCCAGGCCCATGGACAGGCTCGCCTCCGCGTGCGATGGCGCCGCGATGTGCCGGATGCTCTGTGGCAATGCCGGGGTCGAAGACGATGGAGCATCCGGTCGGGGGATGGCGAAGCCTCTGCCGGAGACGGGCGTGGCGTTTTTGTTGCTGTCAGACGGATGAAATTGAGAGATGGATGGCGCAGAGGTGGCAGTGGTGGGCACAACATTTGCCGACTTGGGCTTTGAAGCTGGACCGTTGTTTGCAATGGTCTGGCGCATTGTCAAGTTCGGGCGAATCTTGGTGGGCGGCTGCTGCTGCTGCTGCTCTTGTTGTGGCGACCTTGGTGATGTAGAGCTCATGACATCTTTCAGGGCAACCTTGGCTGCTGGGGGTCTCATCTGCCATGGTGACGCTGCAGGTCTAGGCTCATTATCCGCAGGACTGCTTCGAATTTCCTCACCTTTGGCTGCCTGCTGTTGCTGCAGCTTCTTGCGCTCCTTCTGGGAGAGCTTTGTCGCGGCGAAGGATCCAGTAGAACGGTCATCTTTGGCTTGTGCGGATAGTGCTAGAGAGATGTTCGATGGCTGAGTTGAAGAAGTTTCAGCCATGATATTCTTCATATCCAGCTTGCTCGTCTGCAGAGGTGCAGTTCCCCAAGGTTTGTCGGCGGGACGAGTAATTGACGTGGTTATCGAATCCATAGGGGTCCCCAAGCTTCTCGGGGTATGAGATGATGGGCTTGCGATTGCAGAATCAGAAGCATCTCTTTTAGAAGTAGCCTTGGGGATTTGCCATGGACTTGAGGTTGGGAGTCCGAGAGAAACGTCTTGAACTGGGCCACCAATGGCAGAGGTAGGAGACTTAACTGAGCGAGGCGCGTCGAGGTCAAGCTCATTACTTTCTGGGTCGACATCGTCGTCCATGTCGAACATCAAGTCCGCAATGGAACCCTTGCCCTTCAGAGCCGGCGCGAGTGTTGGGCTCTCCTGCGCTGCTTTTATATCCTTGCCGGAGCGTCTTCGTGCCTTCTGCTGCATGGGCGAAGACTGGTCATCATAACTACTCGCCTTGAGCGATGTGGATATACGGGCTGGGCTATCAGCGTATTTGCTCTGCAGCATAATAGCATCAACCTTCGCCCGTCTCCTGCGATCGATTTGCTCTGCGAGTTCAGGGTACTTCTCGAACAATAGCGCTTCGGCACGTCCACTCTTCGCGATTGGAAGGCATGCGACCTGATTCTCGCGGACGATCTGATCTAACTCGAGGATAAGATCCTCATCCAGCTCGTCGAGTACTCTACAATATACTGTTAGACTACTGTCGACTGAAATTGAGTGTCACACATACCCGTTCTGCAACACCGCCTCGAGGCTGAGGCAGATGTACTCGAGCCCAGCATCCTTGAACTCCGTCACCGAACACGGCGAAAGCGCATTGAGCAGCTGGCAAATGTTGCGCACATTGACTATAGCGTCGATCAGCACCATACACGTGTTGGTCAAGGTTGGTTGCGCTCACCATATCGTCCAATGACTTGCTGGCAGACTTGCGACAGCCTATCCAGCATCAACTCGTTGGCCACAGACAAAACATCCATGACATGATCCAGGAATTCGTTGAGGGCTAGAAATTCTCCAAAATTGTCTGACACGAAGTCGTCGAAGAGCTCGTCGCCCGAATCAGCGTATAGATGTCGCAGCACCAGCTCGAAAATATGCAGCTCGATATGCTTCAAGTCGATCCTGATGGCCTCGGAAGGGTCCGTGGAGGCTTCACGCCTCCCAGCGAGCCAAAGGCCCGCTGCTCTACCCTTGAACATGCCCTCGAAGAAAGGACAGCGCTGCACCATCAATGCGCTGTGGACTCTGAGCTCGCTATCTGCGAGTTCAAGTATGACATCCCCGTTTTCGAAGAACATAGGGTCCTTAACGGCGAGCTCCATGTCCACGGTGAGAGATCGTCTCGGTCTCACCATCTGGCGAACGGCGGGTTCAAGCTGCTTGAGTTCAAGTTTCGAAGATAACTTCATGAGCTCCGTCCGGACCTGACGGTACCTGAATGCCAACTTTGGGTACTGACGCGCGTAGTGCCAGAAGTCCACCACGTTGTCGGTATAAAAGTATAGGACCAAGTTGAACATGGTGAGTACGTCCATGCCCTGAAGAACGAGTAGGATTCGACCACGATCATCTTCTTCCAGAGACAGTGCTTCAGGAAGAGAGAAAGTGCCAGTGTGCTGGAATTCAGCGAGGCCTTGCCGAAGGACCTTGCTGCGACCGGCAAAGATCCACTGGTGTACAGGTATGCGAACTTCAGAGACAGTAGATCCGATGACCATGTCGAAAGTCTTGTCATCTTCGTCAATGCCAAACAATACATCCTTCAAATCTTGTTCGAAATCTTTCGACCCGATTGCACGTCTCGTCAGGAGCTGCATCTCGGACGCTTGCACACCATCGTCCAGCTCATCGTCCTGCGTAGCCCAGTCGCCAAAAGGCAACAGCGGGAACACATCATCCCAAAGTGTAGGCGAATCCACCTGTACCTGGGTCTTGGTGACATCGCAGTCTTTCCGCACTGCCGCATAAGCGCCAAACGCGGAAGCTCTGACGGCCGTGACACGTGTGAGACCCGGAACGCGAAGGAACTTGTAGTCCTTTGGCCTGTACTCTCCCGTGCCAGAAGCAGTCGCATCCTTGATCTTTGCTCTTTTTACTCGCCTCCATACAGTGCCAGCTTGCGTGGTCAGAATGACGGAGCCATCTTGATCCACGTCGACGTCGCGAGCAGCCATGTAGCCCTTTTTCAGCGACCATATCCTGTAGGGCTGGGATAATGCTCCACGGATTTTGCTTGGATTTGTCGTAGACGCGGTACTGTCTTGCCCTGACTCTGAACGCTTACTCACCGCAACAGTGTAGATTTCACCATTGGTTGAAAGAGCGCAAATGTTGTCGCCACCGGCAGTTATCTTGCAGATTCTGTTTGGCGTGGTGTCGTACTTGGTTGTCAAGAAACTTTGCTTGAGGAAGTAATTGGAAAATCCATCCAGGGGGAACGAAACCTTTGCATAGCCATAGTTTGCAAAGACCCAGACCTCATGATTCTCAAGTAGACAGACAGTGGCCCTTTCAATAGCACTAACGGACTTGATAGGCGAAGAGAACAGTGAGGCGGCGACCTTGCGAGGGGTGACTTGAGACTCCAAGGATCGCGCATCAGAGTCAACAATACCAAGTTGACCCTCGTTCTTGCCGAAGGTGTAGAGTGAAGAGGATGTGTGAACAACGGAATGAATCCTAGATGCGGCAATGCCGATGACAATCTCTTTCTTGAGAGGCCCAAAAATCTGTCGTGGCAGAAGCTGAACAGGGTCCTCGTCCTTGAGCGTCTTCGGCAGACCGTAGCCCAACTGACCATAGCCATTGTTTCCCCAAGAGAAGATTTCCCCTTCATCAGAAAGAGCTAGGGAGTGATTTTGACCAAGTGCTACAGCAATGACTTTCTTCTTCGCTAACGCGCCTCCCTCAATGCACGTAAATTGAAACCGGGTAGTCTCATCTCCTGTACCGACTCGGCCACCCGGTCCATGGCCACACATGTAGAGGTTCGACTCGGGGTCTGTGGTCAAGACAGCGGTGGAAAGCTTCGACATTTTCACGTCCTGAATCAGAAGAGGCGTGCTCCTGATGATAGTGGGAAGGTCAGAGACGGGCATGCTGTGGATCGACGCTAGTTGCGACCAGTCATTCACGGAAGCGTCCATGTTCGGCCAGTCCTGTTGTTTGTGCTCCAGATGCTCGCGGTAAAACCTCCTCAACAAATGGTCCGGCCTGCGAAGAATGATGCGCTCGGGGAACTGCCGATCGTCCTCGTCGCCGAAACCCAGAGTGACATTCCTGTTGCTGCCGAACGTGAAAAGCTCATCGCCATGAATATCCATCGCCGGCGCAAGCTTCCGGCGCGCAGGCCTGTCCTCTCCGTCGCCGCTATCGTCATATCCAAAATCATCGTCATCCTCTCCGAACGCGTCAACTCTCGTGTCCTCCTCAGGTCTCAGCGTACGGTCTGCAATGGTGGCCGCAAACAGATCCAGCGGACCATTTCCTTCTTTATCCTTGATTTTGACCAAACCCCCCGCATGTTGCACCACTCCGCTGCTTCCGTGGCCGAGCGCATCGAGGACATCGCGATCCATAATCGAGCGTGCGATGGCGACATTGCCAAAGTAGAAAGCGCGATGCAGCGCCGTCCAACCGTTCTCAAAGTCTTGCGCGTATAGGTCCGTCAAGGGGTGCTCGAGGAGAGCCGCGGCGAAGCTCAATGCGTTCTCGGAGGTCGAGGAGGCGGCATGGTGTAGGATGGTCAAGCCGTTCGCATCCTTGGAGTTGACGTCGGCGCGGGTCAGCCCCGCCGCAAACCTCGGGGTTCCACCGAGGTCGCGACGCGCCCGTGTGGTCAGAGTCGGCGAAGTGCCGAGACTCCCGGGGCTCCCTATGAAGGCGGCTGGACTGGGCTGGCCGAGCGATGCGCCGTAGCTAGCCCTCGGCGCGGACGGGCGCGCAGAAAATGCGGTGCCTTCCAGCAAGTGTCGAAAAGCCCCGACATCATCTTCGAGGTAGTATTTCCAGAGATATCCGCTCATGTGCTGGATGGTGGCGGCGGAGACGTTCTCTTTGGCTCCGGCAGGTGCACCTCGCTATTGACCACGACGAGTCAAAGCGTGTTTAAAGGTGCGTGTGCGAAGCGTAGAGGACGACTCCGGACGAAGGGGTCGAATTGTCGCGGGGCGCGGAATATGGCCCAGCGATGACAGGTGGCGGATGCGGTTGATAAAGCGCGGGGTGGCGATGCGATGGGGCGCGTTGAGACGAAGGTGCTTGCGGTCGAGGAGTCGGTACGTTCGGTCGAGCGTATGGCGGCGGAGATTTTGGGAGAAGGCTGAGGCGGAGGTGTGAGACGCGGTTGCGGTGGCGGGCGGGAGCTCAACGGGCGTGCGGGCTAGAGCAGCGTGTACTGTGGACGAGGGGAGGTCGATGACGATGAGCATCCGCGGGGCCGGCGATTACGCGAAGTGTGCGCCGATAAGGCAACAACTCATCAGAATGAATCACGATGATTGATAGCCAGCAGCGCGATGGGCTTGAGAGCAGAAGGCCGCATTCCGGTCAGTTCCACATGGTAAATAAATACTTCGAGGTGCACAAGAATGCCAACCATGCGCCCGAGTTGCCCGCGTCATTTCCGCGCTACCAATGGCCGATGGGCTTTGAGCTCTGGCACACGTGGGAAGGCATGTGCCTGATTTGAGCCCTGGCATTTGGCACCGTTCTTTTTGCCTCGGGTAGTCTCCGCTCTCTACCACCCTTCACCTCAACACGATCAGCACCAAGTCACTGCCAAAGGGGGAAAAAGGGAATACAACACTTCATACAAAGTCAAACGCACGAGTCACCACCGCAGAGGAGAGGTCAAATTAAAGTTGATTGTGCCGGACCAGACTTATGCTAAGTACAGCCGAACATGTGATAAAAGAGAGTCGTCAATCGGTTCGAATCGCAAATTCCCAATGCTAAACCTTCAGCGACCGGGATATAAGGCTTGCCATGGTCATTTTTCCCACGAGGAGGACTGAGAAGGGCAACAAAGAAGACAAGAACAGCCAATCTGCATGCATCCAAAACACCAGTTCCTGGAGGATATCAAATGCTTCGTGCGTTGTGTCGTACGTGCTCGAAAGGAGAGCGCGCCGGGAAGAGAAGAGGCTCAACGGGGCGCCGGTGCGTCTTTCCTTACAGCATCAACATGGCGACGAACGCGGTTCCCGCCATCGTGCCGATGAACGCAACCGTCACAGTCGAACCGGCGCTGCTCGAGCCAGAGCTGCTGCTGGCGCTGCCGGCGCTGGCGCTGCCCGTCGAGGCCGCCGAGCCCGAGGAGCCGCTGGATTGCCCTGCAGTGGCCTCGGCGACCTTGATGCCGTACGAGGTGGCCACCGAGGGCGTGCCGGTCGCGGGAGTCGTCGTGTAGGTCGAGCTTGCGGTAGTCGAGACGGTGCAGCCGGACCAGGTCGTCCAGGGAGCGCTGGTGCCCCAGGGGCCGTTGGTCCATCCGGACCAGGTGCTGGCCGGGCAGGCAGAGCCTCCCCACCACTTGGTCCACGCGCCCGTCGTCCAGTTGCCGCTCGACTGCCACGGGCCCCACGGGTGGTCGCCGCCGAAGGGGCCGCCGCTGTGGCTGCTGCCTCCTCCCCAGCCTCCCGCGCCGCTACCGGGACCCCAGCCGCCAAAGCCTCCGGGCCCGCCGGTGGTCAAGGGACCGCCCGACGTCCATGACGTCCATGGCTTGGTCTTGGTGCTCCAGCCGGAAGGATTGTAGTCGCCGTTGGAGTCGGTTGCCCAGCCGCTAGCCCACGACGACCAGTCTGACTTCCAACCCGAGTTTGCGCTGGTCCAGGACGACCAGTCCGATCTTGTGGTCCAGTCAGACGGAGCGCCCGACCATGTGGTGGTGCCGGTGCCCCAAGGTCCGCCTCCGCCGGGCTGGGCAGTGGCAGGAGTGGTGAGCGCGGCAACAAAGGCCACCGCGGTGAATAGTTGGCTCATCATCTTGAAGATGTTGGCGGAAGGTTCAGCAAGAGGTTTGCGGTCAGAGGAAGACAGAGAATGAAGCTTTGCGAAGTGAGTGAACAAGAATGGCTCGGCACCTGCACAAGACCTGCATATATAGGTAACCCCAAGACCGCATACGCGTCCTTATGCCAACGTCATGCCTGACATAAGTATGCCGAGGCGAGAGGGCGAGGAAGCCGGAGTCCGGTAGAGACTGGGGGCTGACGCGTTCCGGAGGTAAGCATCAGCCTCATTGTGAGGATGGGCTTGGGTAGAAAGTTTAAGGATCTTCAGCCTTATGATCTCACTGGATTGGATCAAGCTTGAGATTTACGCGGTGAGATTTGCGTCGGGATTGATGAGGGGAGCCGCGCCAACACGAGAGAGGCAAAGCAGGCATCGCAACCCAGTTGCGGGGAACCAATTTGACTAACCTTGATCAGGAAATGACCTGGTAGCAAAAAAAAACCATTTCAGGATGCATCGCTGCTGTCGTGGCCTGCCCAGGCGACGCGTAGACGAGGCGACGCATGCTGACGGGCTGCAGCCGTCGAAGGAACCGACACACTCCGATTGATCACCTGTCACTTCGGCCGAGCTCGATTGTTTCAGTGCTTTAAGATCTCACTGCTCGGTAAGCATAGCTTGCTGAGTTCTTCAAATCCCAACATGAGTTGAATGAGTATGCTCGTACTGTACAAAGTCCTGCGCTAGACATCATACATTCGCAACACCCTGTTTCCATTGTTTCTCTTTATCTTTAGTGGTCGTTGCCACCGGGTTGCATATGGCGTCAACTATCTGAATTCGTCCATGAACTTACGGTGGAACTCCACAATGCGACCAACCCAGTCCGTGCCCGGTGCGAGGAAAGTGGTACGGAAGTGGTACGTTCCCTCCTTCTGACCGAAACCGGAGCCAGGCACGGTGCAGACACCGGTTGCATCGAGCATGCGTAGAGCATAGAACTCGTCTGCCTGGCGGCCTTCCTTCTCGGCCTGCTCGATCGCCTTCTTCGGGAGCTTAATGGTGGGGAACAGGTACATCGAGCCCTGGGAGACAGTCAGCTTATGCGGTTCCGGAGATCAAAGAGGAGAAGCTTACGGCAGGAGAAGCGCACTCGACGCCCTCCATTTTCTTGAAGGCCTCAAAGAGCGCCAACGCGCGTTCATGGTAATTCTTGTAGATTCCGTCGTGCTCTTCCTTGTACAGGGGATAGCTCGGCTCGCCCTCCTTGGGCGGGTTGACCATCATCTCGACGAAGCACTGACCAACGACAGGCGCGCATAGTTGGATGGAGACAAACTTGTAAACCTCGGCCTTGACCTCGGGATCGAATCCGACCATCTCGTAGTAACCGCCACGGTGGCCGCATTCGCCTACCATACCCTTGGAGATGGAGTGCAGGGATGCAAGCTCCAGCTCGTCGTACTTGCCAGGCTCCGCCTTCTGCAATTCGCGCAGCGCTTTCTTGAACGAGATGAACTTGCCGCTGAACACGTTTGTCTGGTAGACCTCGTCGGCCATCACGACCAACTTCTTCTCCGCCGCGAACTTCAGAACACTGCGAATGTCTTCCGCGCTCAAACTGGCACCCGTCGGGTTTCCGGGGTTGATGACAACGATCGCGCGCACATCAATGCCCTCCGCGACAGCCTTCTCATAGCCCGTCTTGATGTCTTCCAGGCTGGTTCCCCAGTGCGTCGACTCGTCAAGATAGTATGGAACAGCCTGGGCGTTGAGGACGGAAAGTGTGGCGGTGTAGAGCGGGTATTGGGGAATCGGAACGAGGACACCGCTCTTTTCGTCCGCGCAAATGATGTGGAGGAGCGCGTTCACCCCAGAGGAGGCGCCGCCGCTGAGGAAGATGTTCGTTGGGTCAGCCGGGAAGCCGTCGCGTCCTACTGCAGTCAGAACCACGCTTTCCATCACGCAATGCAGCAGAACATACTCTCGATGTATTTGGCAACCTCCTCCCTGACAGCCGGTGCTCCCTGGCTCTGGCTGTATGCGCCAACACTTCCGACATCTTTGAGCAGCTTCCTCGCCCTGTCGATGACATCCTGCTTGTAGCCCAGCCCGTTCTTCAGCACGTCCTCATGCTCCAGCAGCAGAGGGTTCTCTAGCAAACTGGCCACCTGGCGGAAGAAGGTAAGAGGCTTCTGGTCAAGTTGTTGTGGGTTGCCGATATTAGCCGAGATGACGGTGTCGAACGGAAGGTCGCCCTTGTCTCCCTTGGCCAGACGAGCGCGGTACTCCTCACTCTTGACAGCGAGCTCGCCGCGCACTGCGTACTTGGCAGCCTTGACGTGGGGGTTGATGTTGTTGATTGTGAGAGCTTTCATCTTGGCGGTTGTGGAGAAATAAGTGTGGGCGGTGGCGGTGAGGGGGAAATGCGGAGGTAAATGGGCTTGAGCACCAGCGAAGGCGGCGGCGGATGCTATAAATGCGACTTAGCACCTGTGCTGGCTGCGGTACTTTTACCAGCTCTGGCAGAACGGAAGGATGCGGCCTGGCCCGAGAGGGAGCAGATGCGGCCGTCATCGGCGCAAGAGCACGAGGGGTGCGCAGTGGGGTAAGCGTGGAGAAGGCTTCGTACCGCAAATCGGCGAGCGCAGGGCCGCGGGGGTGACTCGTTTGCATGACTGGAACGGCCTCGTGCCGCGCCCGAGTGTCAGCCGGCGCACAGTCATGACGATGCCGCGCTCCTGAGGCGTGGGGGGTGTGAAATTTCTGGGCGGCCTGGTTCCACTGTGCTACTTGCGACGCGCTGAGTGCTGCAATGCGATCCTGATGTAATTGACTTTGCAGCGGTTGGTCAACGCATGGATGTCGCCAATCTCGACCGTGTTGCTGGTTCAAGGGTCCAAGATCGCCGGTCGCTTACCAGGGCGCGAAAGGAACCGTCGGCAGGACGGCAAGGCGGCAAGGCGGCAGGGTCGGGTGGGCAGCGCGAGGAAGAAGCGGAGCTTGGAACTCGGCGACGACGCGGGTGGTTTAAAAGTACGTCCGCGGAACGGCTCCTCCCATCCCGTCATGGCCGATGCCGCAGCTAAAGAATGGTTGGTGCAACATTCGTGCGACCTGTGCGTCGTATCAAGGCGGAAATTCACGATAAGCATTACTCTATTGTTGAGGGCTTCACGCTTCATGCACCCGCGAATATGAGTCTTAAGCCATTACAAATTTTCCGCTAGCTCCCCCGTAGCCTGCGTCCCTAGAGCTCAACCCCGTTCGCTGCCCCGGAGCCTGACCGTCTGCCCGTACTTCTGGAGCTTGGTGATCAGCTGGTCGCCCTGCTTGACCACGTCGTTGTATTGCTTGTTCTTGTCGTCGGGTCGGTTCGTCTCGATGATGCCGCGAACACGGTCTACGGTGCAGGGCACGCGGTCTGCCGCAATGAACTTCGAGAGATCCCTGTTGAGACGTGTCAGTAATTTGCCCTTTGCAGAAGGCTCGGGCCGGGTTGACTCACTTGTCGAGGAAATCCACCGAAACTCCGAAGTCGTTGGCCATGCTCTGGAGACCGACAACCCTGTAGCTCTGGAGGAGCTGCTGATAGCCGCGCAGGCGCATCTCGCGGACAAACCAGCCGCGGTGCTCGTACAGGTAGCGATCCTTGCTGAGGAAGTTCTCCTCAACTGCAGCTAGAGCGAGGAAGAAATTACGGTAGTTGCCCTGGTACAAGCTGTTGACGAGATTTGCGAGCGGGCTGAAGTCAATCTGCGCCTCTGTATCCGCGCTCGTCTGACCCAATGTCGTAAGGTTGACCGCAGCTGCTGAGGGAGTGGCGGCGGTTGCCTTGCCCTCGGGCTTCTCCTCGTCCCCAGCTGCAGGGCCTGACGAGACAGCACCTGTCAGCGCGGAAAGCTTCTCCTCACCATCCCCGAGAATTGCCTTGATTTCCGGTGCATCAACAACCTTGGACTTGAAATCCACACGCTTTAGGGAGACGGAACCAGCGAGCACGGCGTATATGACGAGGTTGGAGTAGCTGCAAAGCTCGTAGCTCGTGAATGTGGACAGACTGTCGAGCAGCAGCGGCGCGGCCTGGTTGTAGCTGCGGACGGTGAGGTAGTGCAGACCAGAGTAGGCCTTGAGGCGGTTGCGGCGATCCCAGTCACCACCGCTCTCAACCAGCGCGGTCGCGCGCTCCACTGATTTCTTGACGAGGATCTTGTCGCCGAAGAAGAGGCCAACGCGGACAATGGCAAGAACGATATCAATCTTGCTGCCGAGGATTCCCGTGTTTTCGAAGACAGCTTCGTATGCTGCGATCGCTTTGTCCTGATTGCAAAACGCTGTTAGAGAGCTTACTTGCACGTACGGAGCCATGAACAAACCTTGTCTCCAACACGCGTCCAGAACTCTGCCCTCTTGCCTCGTGCCGTCTGAATCTCGGTCTCACCAGCCTTCTCGACCGCCTCGTCCTCCTCCTTCTGTATAGCTTCCAGTTCCTTCTCATTGTCTGCCTTCAGCTCCTCGAAGAGCTTCTCATCCCATGGTAGAGTGACGTTCAAGGCCGGCTGCTTGGTGGGGGCGAGCAAGCTTCCCATGCTGGAAGACGCTCTCCTCGGGCGGACCGGCTGCTGGGTGGAGCCTTCGCCAGGAGCGTTCAAAATGCCCTCCGAGGGGTGCGCCAGGTGGCGGTACAGGGGCGCCATTTTGTGTTCCTTGATGGCATCTTGGAGAATCTTCAGCGACGATTCCTGGGTGGCTTTGGACGAGTACGGGTTCGTGATGTGGAAGATGTGTTGCGACAGCTGAAGGTCGGGGTTCGTGGCGTACTGTGGCTCCCCCATGGTGAACGATGACCGGAAACTGGAGACGGAGCGAAGGAGATAACGACGGGGCGACTGGAGGGTAGATGGCAAGGGAGGTTGGTGGTGACGGAGCTATGGGTGGTGGCGGCGTGTTGATGGAAGCTCGTTGTCGCAGCTCGGCGGCGCCTCTTCGGCGTTTGGCGTCACAGTTCCAGGTGCGGAAGGAACAGCTCAAGAGCCGCACGCAGCTTCCTTGAACCGCCAACATTGTCAGTCAACTCCATTGTTCGATCACTTTCGACTATCGGTCGCCATCTGGCCGCCAGCATTTTCGGTCTTTCGACTGCAACCCCTCGCCGCAACTTTCGCACTGCTGCAGCTCAGAATTCGATCCATCTACGCCCACCAGCCAAGCGCATAAGGAGCCCCGCCTCACTATGCCGCAAGAACGAGGCTTCCCCTCGAGCAGCCAAAAGCGCGGCCGCTCTCGTTCCAGATCTAGATCACCTCCACGCAAGCGCCCCGGCGCCTCAGCCCGTACAAATCGCGACCGAAGACCCCCTCCGGGTCCTAGCAGGTCCCGGTCAGATGCAAGAGATCCCAGCCCACCTCGCTCACCCTCGCGCTCCCCACCCCGCCAGCTAAAGCGTCCCGGCGGCGCTGCGCGTATCAGTCAAGCCGAGCGCGAAGCAGCCCGTCGTCGCCAAGAAGAACGCGAGCGGGAACTGGAAAGAGAAAGGCAAGCCGCGGCAGCGGCAAGAGGAGTGGGTGATGTTGTGAAGCAGCACTACAACGCAGTGCCTGAGCGTGGCCGCGAATGGCGGAAGACGGACAGCAAGATCAAGGGACTCCGAAGCTTCAACAACTGGGTGAAGTCATGTATAATCCAGAAGTTCTCGCCAGGCGATGAGTCCCTGGGAGAATCAAGGTACGGGGAGAACATTCTTGTGCTGGACATAGGATGTGGTAAGGGAGGAGACCTCCAGAAGTGGCAGTCCGCACCTCGCCGTGTCGATTTGTATGTCGGCATCGATCCCGCAGACGTTTCGATTGACCAGGCAAGAGGCCGGTACGAGCAGATGAAGAGGAAACCGTATCGGGGCCGGCCACAGCACGTTTTCCACGCCGAGTTCTTTGCGAAGGACGGTTATGGTGAATGGCTTGGCGATATCCCTATCATTCGCGAGGTCGGAATCGACCCAAGCGTTGGGCCAGATAGCGGCGGTGCTGGTCGGTTTGGGGGCGGCGGCTTCGATGTGGTCACAATGATGTTTTGTATGCACTACGCGTTTGAAAGCGAACAGAAGGCCCGCGGGATGCTCCGCAACGTCGCCGGCTCCCTGAAGAAGGGAGGACGATTCATCGGGGTCATCCCCAACTCAGACATTCTCTCAGCTAAGGTGGAAGAGTTCCACAAGAAGCATGGTAAAGGTAAGGCCCCTCAGGGCGGGGCTAATGGCTCGGATTCGCCTACGTACGCTAGCGACGACGACTGGGATCCTGAGAAGCCTGCGGAGGAGCCGAAGGAGGAAGCGCAACCTGCAGAGAAAGAGGAAGGCGAGGTAGCCAAGGACGAGTCTGTCGAGTGGGGCAACAGCATATACCGCGTCAAGTTTCCAGGAAAGACTCCTGCAGATGGTGTCTTCAGACCTCCTTTCGGCTGGAAATACTTCTACTTCCTTGAAGAGGCTGTGGAATCCGTACCGGAGTACGTTGTTCCATGGGAAGCTTTCCGAGCGTAAGTCTAAGAATTCTCTAATAAGAATGGCACACGCTAACGCTTTCATTCCAGTCTTGCGGAAGACTACAATCTAGAACTACAATACCGGAAACCGTTCAATGAGATCTGGGATGAAGAGAATGGCGATCCGATCCTTGGACCTTTGAGCGAGCGTATGGGTGTCAGGAGCAGGGATCGTGGACCGTTGTTGATTCGCGACGAGGAAATGGAGGCCGCAAGTAAGACTCAGCTCCCTTATTACACATATGACTATTCTTGCCGTACTAACCTCGATTTATGTAGGCTTCTACCACGCTTTTTGCTTCTATAAGGTCTAGGCGTGAACTCGTCAGCCTTTGCAATGGCATCGACCTCAACCTGCTTTTGGCTATATTCTTGCGCACTCATAATTGCTTTGCTCAGTGTGGCTAGCTGACAGCATTCAACTGGCGTCCTGCCCTATTTAAAGAAGTTCAGCCCCACCGGCTTTCGTAGTCAATGGCTGCGACTTTTAAGGGCGAGCCGTCCAAGAAAATATGATTTTCTCTGCAATCTACGAGCACACATACTTATACCGTACTGAACATAATGTTTCGCAGAATACTTACAGCAGCTATCCACATTCCTGATAAGGATCAGGCTTGTGCATCACTGGGGGTATCGAGATCTCTCAGCTGTCGCAGGATAAATCGAGGATTGAAAGTATTCAGGTCTGCAAAAGAAGCACAGGCCTCAGTGTTTGGGCTTATGTGAACAGCTCCGGATCTATCTCCGACCAGCACGCCTTAGGAGTTTCGGCGATAAGCTGATAATGCGATGGACGCCTTCATGGGCGAAGGAGGTCTTATCTTGGGTCACGGGTACACTGGAAAGAAATGAATACCCAATTGAATTTTCTTCTGGTGAGTTCCAGACGATCATGCTTGTGTTGGGTCAATCGAGTCGTTCCTTCACTTTAGCGGCATCGGGGATTCCGTCCGGGCTCTCAGACCAAGCTTCGCCCAGGCCCTTCGCGCGGCGGCAGAGGCTTGAGCCAGGCCTCCCCGCCACGACAACCCCAGTTCCTTTCTCCTTCGGCGCGAGCCGCTGACGCTGGCGTAGAGACAGCTGCGCTTTGAGCTTGAAGACAGCGATGACGAGAACGGCTGTGGGCACGGCGAAGGCAAGGTCTGGATGCTTGGAAAACGAGTCGCAGCAATTTAACGAAGCGCGGGCAAGCGAAGTAATGAAGAAATTTTTATGATGGGTTACTTATCGAGGAAACAGCAACCGGGCTGGCGGGAGCAGCGACGGTAGCCTCCGGCTGGTGTCTCACATTCCCACCCCACCACTTAGCAACAAGAAGCCTCGGTCGCCGCAAAACCTGGCAAATTGGCCTTGGTTGGCGCGGCACGCGGCGAGCCTGTGCGGCTGATGGCCGTCTCTCCTCCTTCTCCAGCCGAACATAGGCGGGACGCCTTGCCAGTTCGGGGCAGGGTGAGAAGAAGTAGCGGGGCATCAGGTAGCGGCCCCGGACCGAGCACGATGCATGCAAGCGTGTGATGCGCCTATCGCCGTTGCAACCCTGCAGCCCACCTCAAAGCCGCCGCCTAATCCTCTTCCTTCGCCTGCTGGCTTGCCTCTTCCCACCTTCTTCTCTCCTACCCGCCGCTATCACGGCTGTGCCGCAGCCTCGACGTGACTTGGTAACGCCGCCGAAGCCACGCAACCATCGCTATATATCCTCCATCCGTCATCCAGCAATTGATTCCCTTTGCATCCTTGTCTTGCGAGCGCGCAAAGCTTCTGGATCGCGGAAGTTGAGACCTTGCCTCTCCACCAAAAGCGCCACTACAGTCGGGTCTTTGAGGTCTGGTGCTTGTGCCGCGCCTGCCTTTTCTACTTCTTGCCTCTCGCCCTTGGTGTGCCTCCGTCCCGTGCGAGTGCAACTCCGGTCCGCCCGCGATGGAACCCAACCCAGCAAACATCGAGCCCCAAAGCGCCAAAAACCTCGAGACGTCGTCTTCAGAGCCCCGCCGCAACAGCTATGCCGCCACCGAAAAGAGTCGCTGGGAGAGGCTCTGGCCTGTCATTGCTTGTGGAGCAGGTGCGTGCCCCCACGCAAATGCGCTACCACCAGCACTGACGTCGTACAGGCCTGTTCAGTGATGGATATCTGAATAACGTGAGCCCAAAATCCCTGTTGCGTGACCGACCAGCCCAAGCGCAGTCAGCCGTTGTCGAGCATTGTGACCGAAGAAAAACTGACATGCTGACGACCGCATTCTGTTCGTGCCGTGGCTATAGGTTATTGGATCCGTCAACACCATGCTCAGCAAGATCTACCCGACCACTTACGCCCACAGCTCCGCCCAGAACAACGTCTCCTCCATTACCTTCGCCGGCACCGTGGTTGGTATGCTTTTCTTCGGCTACACCAGTGACCATTTCTCGCGCAAGTGGTCCCTTATGGCCTCCACCCTGATCATCATCCTGTTCGCTATCCTCGGCACCGCTTCTTACGGCGCTGGAGGCAGCCCCGGCGGCCTCTTCGCTGCCCTGACTGCATATCGCTTCTTTCTCGGAATTGGCATTGGTGGAGAGTACCCCGCTGGTAGTGTCGGGTGTGCCGAGAGCACTGGAGAACTGAAGAGCGGGACGCGTAACAGGTGGTTTATCTTGTTCACCAACGTTCAGATCGATATCGGGTGCGTTCGCAACCCCTGGTCAGCATCTTCAACTCGCTGACAATTCATGTCCAGATTCGTCATTGCAGCCATTGTGCCATTAGTTGTTGTGAGTATCAGTCGACCTTCCACACTTTCTTGCCGTCGATGGAGACAGACCCGGATACCGCGCGTGTGACAAGCCACTTACTGAGTTTTGACTACTAGGTCCTCGCAACGTCTGAAGACCACCTCCGCGCAGCATGGCGCATCTGCCTGGGCATCGGCATCATCCCACCGCTCTCGCTCCTCTGGCTGCGCCTCAAACTGCAGGAGCCCGAGGCCTACAAGCGCGAGTCCATGCGCGACACGACGACGCCGTACTGGCTAGCGCTCAAGTACTACGGCTTCCGACTCTTCGTTGTCTCACTCATCTGGTTCATCTACGACTTCTCGGCCTACGCCTTTGGCATTTACAGCTCGACCATCATCTCGAACCTGCTCGGCAGCGACGAGCGGCTGTGGAAGTCGTTCGCGTGGAACGTGCTCATCAACTTCTTCTACCTCCCCGGCTGCGTGCTGGGCTCCTTCCTGGCTGACATCCCGTGGCTTGGCCCGAAGCGCACGCTCGCACTGGGCGTCATACTCCAGGGAATTGTGGGCTTCATCATGGCGGGTTGCTACGAGAGTCTCGAGAAGCCGGGGAACATCGCTGCGTTCTGCGTCGTCTACGGCATCTTCCTCAGCCTAGGCGAGATGGGGCCGGGTGACAACATTGGCCTGATGGCCAGCAAGATCAGCGCCACGAGCATACGGTGAGTTTTTGCCGTCGTCTCTTCTTTCTCTCTCTCTCTTCCCCCCCCCCACTCCCTTCTCTGAACTCTCCCCATGTCGCCCCTCCCCCAACCAATTCTTTCCTTTTTACCTCACCTCTCCCTAACCATTTATTTATTTTTTTTCTCACACACAACAGCGGCCAATTCTACGGCATCGCCGCCGCCGTCGGCAAGATCGGCGCCTTCGTCGGCACCTGGGTCTTCCCCGTCATCCAGGCCAACGCGCCCGACAAGACGCGCGAGGGCCAGGACCCGTTCAGGGTCGCGTCCGCGCTCGCCATCTTCGCCGGCCTCGTCGCCCTCTTCCTCCTGCCCGACGTCGGCCAGGACACCATCGACGAGGAGGACGTGAGGTTCAGGGAGTACTTGGGCAGGAACGGGTTCGATACGGGGTTGATGGGGTTGAAGGAGGCGGGGGGTGGGGTCGGGGTGGAGGGGGGGAAAGCGTAGGTGAGGGGGTGGGGGGGTGGTGGTGGATGGGGTGTGGGTTGGGAGTTGTGGTATTGGGGGAGAGGTGTGTTCTGTATGTACGAATATATGGTGGTGGTGGTGGGGTTTATGGAATGGAAGATGTGTAGGGGCAATTCACTTGAGACCTCATGGGAAGTTCCAAGTTCGCCTTTCCTTTGTTGAACAAGTGACGATAGAACACATGCCAGGCCGATCTGGGTTTTTAAATTCTCGACTTGAGTATCGCGTAGAACGAAGTGCCTGAGTCACCAATGGGACGACGAAACCACGACAATCTCGATCAAGCATAAGCTTCATTATCCGGGTATATAAACAAGAAACTTTTTTAGTCTTCCCAGCAAGCATATCAGTGTAAAAGAAGAAACCACCCATCAACGCACAAAAACGCCCACCACATGCATACATACAAACGAAAGTGCCCCGGCACCTCCAATCTACATCTTCCTGAAAGTATTCCCACTCGCGCTCCTCCTATTATCCATCCTCTTCCTAGTCCTGCCATCTTCGCCCTCATCAGCCTGCCTGCGGGGCTGCGGTTTCTCCCTGCCCTTCGGCGCGAACGTGACCTCCTTCTCGCCGACGACGGCACCGCCACCGCTGCCGCCATCTCTGCGCTTGTTGTGGCTGTTGTCCTTGAGGTTCGCGGCGCGAGCGCCGAACGACTTGTCGCGGTTGTTGCTGAACTTGTTCTTGTCCTTCTTCGACGACGACACGACCATCTGCGGCATGGGGCGGTGGCCGGACTTCTTGTAGCTGGATGACGAGATGCGGCCGGCGTTCTTTTCCTTGTCCTGCTGAGCGGGCGGTGCGGCGTTGCGTCTCTTGGCGGGCTGCTCGGCAACGTCGCTGTCGTCGTCGTCGTCGTCCTCGTCGCTGCTGTCGTCGGAAGATGCGCCGTGGCGGCGGTCGTCCAGAGCCTCTTGCTCGACGGCGGTGAGGCCTTGTGGTTTCTTCGTGGAGTTCGTGCTCGGGTTGATGGACTGGAACTCGCGGCTGCCCTCGTCGACCTCGAAGTCCTCGTCCTGGAAGAGCTTGGCGAAACGGGAGTCGGTGAGCAGACGGGCGCCGGCGGGCTTGTTGTCGGGGGCGGCGGTCTCGTCGTGGTCGTCGTCGACGACCTCCGCGTCCTCGTCGACGGGCTTCGACGGCGCTTGCACGGCGTTTTCGTCGTCGTCGTCCCCGCCGCGCTCGAGCACGCGGCGTGCCTTGCGGCGCTCGTTCTTCTCCTCGCGCTCCAGCATCTTCTCGGCGAGCCTGCGGTTGACCTTGACCTGGACCTTCTTGTTGCCGCGGATGCGGCTCTCGCGCTCCTTGTTGATGCGCTCCTGGATGCTCTTGGCGCGCTGCTCTTGCCACAGCTCCGGTTGGCTGATGAGCCGCGCCTCCTCGTACAGCTTCTGCGCGACGAAGTAGCCGTGCATGTACGGCCGCAGCAAGCTCGTCGTGCCGACCAGGTGCGCCATGTTGAGCTGCTCCAGCTCCTTCATTGTCAGGAACTTGTAGTTGTCGTATACCTCGCCGACCTTGTGGCCGCCGAAGGCGTTGGGATCGTCGGGGTCCTCGGCCATTTCTTCGACGACGTTGTCTAGGAATGCGCTCCACTTCGGTGCTGGGCCAAGCTGGGGGATGAAGAAGGCGTGCTGCTGCTTGCCTTCGTTGGCTGTAAGGAGCATGCCGCTGTCCTTGACCCACTCGACGTGGTGCATGTCCACAGCTGGCTCCACGTGTGTCCAAGGCTTGCCGTCTCTTTGATCCCAGATCTTGATGATACGCTTGTCCGACGTGAGGATCTTGGGTTCCGAGGTTTGCTGCGCGGACCGGGTCTTGAATTGCAGGAAGATGATGTCCTGGATCGGCAGGCCAAACCCCTGGTCCTTCTTCAGGAGCGGCACGGGAGACCGCAGATCGTACAGATGAACCAGGCCATTGGATGTGCCAGAAGCAAGCGAGAGGCCACTGCGGTCGAATTCGAGGGCGGTGATACCGACCTTCTCGTCGCCGTAAGAAGCGTTCGGGGGAAGCGAGAGTATGCCAACGCGGCTCCGTGATCTGGGATCCCAGAACTCGACTGTGCCTAGTGAGGTGCCGAAGCCCAGGAGGTTGTGCGACTCCTCCGCAATTGCAGCGACATTGACACTTCCGGTATTGATCCCACCCTGCAGCGCGCCGCCACCCATGCTTGTGTAGTCATCGCCACCGACGTCAATCTCAAACGCCTTCATAAAACGTCCAAGCTCCAGGTTCAAACGAAAGACCTCGCCCATGCCATCCTCGTTGACGCCGACAGCGGGGACGAGGGCCTCGGTGGAGCGGCGGTCGTACTTGAGATCGCGGCCATAGCGGGGGATGCGGGTGGTATAGTGAAGGCCGCCTGGGTTGTGGAACTCGAGGAAGCGGTCGGTTTGCAAGTGCAAGGATTTGGTGTAGTCTTCGGAGAGGAGCAGGAAGGTCTGGTTGATGGTGTTGGTGTGGCGGGCATAGGACAGCGACAGGTGCGGCAGGTAGTGGGTATGGATCTGCGGCTTGTAGGTGCCGGTGCTCATGAGCCAGTCGCCATCCTCGCTGACGCGCACGCACTGGCTGGCTTCCTCGAACTCGAAGTCCTGCAGCAGCTCGATGCGATGGGCATACTGGGCGTCCTGCTTCAGGCTGCGCTTGCGCTTGCGGGCGAGCCAGTCGGGCAGCGGGCGGGCGGTGTCGGAGCCCGAGACGGTGTAGACGGGCACGTCGGAGTGGTTGGTGACCTTCATGGCGCGGGTGACGAGAGAAGGCGGGTGTTGCGCGCCGCAGGAAAAAGTTACCGCGTGTAGGGCTGAGGCGGCCCGAGCTCAGATGCGCACGGGCCACCCCAGCAGACCCTGTGGGCTACAACCGCATCTCTCCCGCTCTCCTCCCCATCCGGAGTCCTGACTCGACTCGCGGCTCCGACGACCCCGCCGACTGGCCGAGCCCAACCTAGTCCCGCGCCCCATCACGGGCAACAATGCTCGTTACGACCCGCGCCGTTCCTCGAACCTCCATCCCGAATTCTGTCCTCTTGTCCGCTTCCAGACGGCCACCGGGCCTTCTCACGTGCCGCGCCGCATGATCGACGCCCCGTCCCAGCTTCCGTCCGACGTTGATGAAGACCAGGCTCGCCGTCGACTGCGTGCATCCTGAGACCCTGTTCCCCTTCGACGTTCCCTGACCTTGCCGCCCCATCCTGATGGAGTCCATCAAAAACAGCACCACAAGCGTGTCTGCCGTCGTATGCATTCCCGCCACATGTTCACTTTGACCTTTCCCACGCTAACGTCACCCAGCATGGCTATGGCGTCGTTTCGTTCCGCACCTTCTCCGCCACTGCCTCGGTCGACTCCCCGACCGCCAAGGCCGCCGAGCTCGACGGACTGCGCTGTGTCGAGGCCCGTTTGCGTGAGGCAAGGCGACTGGTGTACGTCGATAGGCTCAAGCAATTGTTGTGGCTTTTTGAGCCTGGCACCAATCCACCAGCACTGGATCATGGCTCTCTGCAGAGTCAACAGCTGAACGGCCTCCAGTTGGCTGGTATGTCCACGGTCCGCCGTCAGATCCTGTGCCACGGTCACTGATCGCTTCACTAGCTCAATCAGAAGGCGAGCTCAAAGCCGCTGAACTCGCAAGGTTCACCAATCGCCCACCAGCCTCCCAGTCAGGGCTCCAGCACGCTTCTGCTGCCAGCAATACCCGTGCTCTCCAAGCTGCCAACGCCCGTGCCTTTCAAGGAAACCAGCATGCCGGTGGTGCATCGGCTAACGGCACCGATGCATCTCGCCAGCATGATGCACTTTCTGTCTACGAATCTTTCATGTCCGCTGTCATTGGTTCTATTTCCTACAACCTGTCTCGCTTCCATCATATGATACCCCTGAACTATCGTACTTTTGTTTCTTATTCCAGAACCGCGAACCCGGCCGACAGGTCTGACGACGACGATGACGACTCAGCCGTGCTCGGAGGACTTGGCTGCCTCCTCACCACCTTAGACGCACATTTGTCCACGGCCGGGACCTTGGTAATTTCTACTTCCGTCTCAACCACCAACAATGTCTACCAACTTGAGAAAATCCTCACCTTGTACGATGTCCATGATGACTTCCTGGGCGAGCTTGTTCGAATCGCTCCTTGTGGCATTATTGCCAGATATGTTGGCCATGAGACGTCTGCTGTCGGTAGTGAACACCATGGCTTAGGTACAACAAGACGGTCGAGGGCAACCCAGCAGTGGAAAACGGATACTTTGCGATGGCTCCGTATGAAAGGCCTTGTCCTACCAGATATGCATGAGGAAGGAAAATGGGTGCGCATCCAACTTCAGCCTAGTCAGCAGGCACCGAAAGATTTGAACGATCCCTCTACCTCTCTTTGCCGCGAATGTCTCTGGCCCGCTTCTCTTTGCTTCTTCTACAGTGCTGGAGGAGGCGGCGGGGACTTGGAATCTCTCGAAGAGCTCCGTCCGGCCGGACAACAGGACGACCAGGACCCCGGGGTGGCGTGGTGGCAAGGACCTGGGAGAAGCGGGTTTGCGGACCCCTTGTGGCAAGCGTACAACTGGTTTTTGGGTAAACCGGAGCGGAACAAGGCGATTGAAGCGCGTAAAAAGGCACGTCAAGCACAGGAAGACAACCCACCGCCAGTCGCCGAGCCTACGATGGCATATCCTTCATCTCCCCTCTACTCCCGGGGCTCAGCATATGGGGACTTGCAGGGTGCCAGTGGAGTATACCCAACACCACCGGATGCGGTTTTACCTCCCGGTGCTGGTGGACATACGACTATGGATGGTATTGTCATGGGGCCAACGACCCAGGATTCTCAGAGTCACGCGGGGCAAACAAGTGCTGGCGGTGATAACTTCACGCAGCAAGAAAACACGGGAGCGGCTGATGCTACACCTGGAGAGCACATTGACCCAACGAGGGCAGCAGACACACCCGCCGGTGGGGCCGCCGATGGTGACGATAACGACGACCTTTTTGAGGACATGGATGAAGAGATGTTTGGCGCAAATGATGTTACGGAAGCCGACTTCAATTTCTTTGACGATGGAGACGGCGGGTTCGGGGACCTCATGGACGTATCCCAGCCAGCAACATTTGAAGAGCAAAAGCAGAACAGTAGCCCCGCAAATACCAGGTTCGAAGGCGTATCGCCAATGATCCACGTGGTAGACGCAGAGCAGACCGAACTCGAGCCCTCAACACTCAAATCAGAGATTGCTACTACGCCTGCCCCACCTGAAATCGACGTCCAAATGACTGAGATGGAGGAACAACCCAAAGCCGAAGACACACCCCCTGATCAAGGATTCGAAACGAATGAGGCTAAGAACGAGGCTCCAGAGGAGACTGCGATCATTCGAGAACCTAGCCCACCACTCAGTCCAGCGCGGATCAATGAAAAACTGTTCGGATCCCCTCACATCGGTGAAGCGGAAACAAAAGTCCATGATTTTGCCAAGCCGAAGGCGGAGGGTGGTGCACTGTTCGACACGGTAGACTTCAGTCAGAGGATGCAACTCGCGGATTCCAAGTATGCCGCTGGTGGTCAATTCTTCTTTTCTGGAAAGGACCGCGATCCAAGTGCGCGTGCACACTCTGGACAGCTTTCACGCCCGACCTCTTCAGCACACTCAGCCACTTTGGAAAGGGCCTCAGACCTCATCCGAAGTATCGTCGCTCCGAAGCGCACAAGCGACGACTCATACATGAAGGATGGCGTCTCCGAGGACAGCGACACTTACAGCGATGTGTCCGTCAGCACGGGCTCTTACGATGAAGATACGGGTTCCACAATGCTTCAGGACTCTGGTTTACTGGTGCCAAGTCAAAGAAAACTGGGTTCTTCGACCGCTGGGACTCCGGTGGTTGGTACGCCCGGCACGCTGCAACTTGACTCGGGTAGTCAGGTTGGTGATGGTGATAATTTCGTGCCTGAGTTGCCGCCACTTTCATCCCTCGAGCCGACTCCATCCGACTGGTCTCTGGCTGGTCTGCCCCCACCGATGATCAAGGTCAGACGTCGATACGGGGCGGACCCCAGGTCGCGGAGGGGATCATTCTCACTCGCTTCAGCAGCTTCGACGCCTTCCTCGGATGGCCGTTCAGAAGCTGTCGCGGACGCACCCGCGCTCAACTTGAAAGAGATTATCAACATTACTCAAATGCTTGCAGACCAGATCATCCACAGCACGCTGGATTTGATTATAGAAGAAGGGGAATCAAATCAAGTCTGCTCAAGAAACCAAATTGGCTGGCCTCGCATGCTTGCACCGATTCAAACGGTCCAGAATGCCGTCAGGGACCTCTTTCAACAGACCAACGAGTGTGACATGGTTAAATACGCATCTATTCAGGATGTCATGCCCGAGTCCGCCGCTGCGAAACAAGCCCAACAGAAATCTGTGCAACGGCGAGCCACCACTGCGGAACCTCACGGAAACATGTTCTTCTCCATTTCAACGCCTCACATCCGTCTCCGACGAGGGGAAGATACGTGGGACGTACTTCCTCCGGCTCTCTCCTTTTGGGAGTCTCTCGGCCTTTCGCCTACAAGTGGCCCCAAGAATGTCGTGGCTTATTGCGTGTATCCATCCAGTGATCAGCTGAGCGACCCCATCACAAGCTTTCTCGATAACATCAGCATGGCCTACGAAAGCAGCAAGTTCGGCACGCACGTCCGTGGTCCTGACATCGAGCATCTGTCCACCGGTGGCCTGGTGTCTGCCCCGATCAACACTCACGAGAGCGATCACTGGAAACCAACCACTCAAAGTTGCCTTCAGTCTGTCCGCGATACTTGCTCGTCTCTGGGGAGACACCTTTCGAGAATAGACTTCAAGAAGGTTACTAAGCCTGAAGACTCCTCTCAACCGGATGCAGTGGTTGTATATCTCATCAATCCCTTCTCTGATCCGCACAATCTCTGGCAGCTCTGCTCCGCCTTTTGGGCTTTGTTCCAGGCGTATCTCCCTTCGCCTTCTAGCCGAGTATTGGATGAGTCGAGACCCGAGCTGGTCCTCCAGCTGGTTCCTGTTAAATGCATAGCGTCTTTTGAGGCACCTGTAGTCCTCGATCCGAGTCTTCTGGCGAGACTCGCCCGTGAAGTCTATGATAGATGCCCCCCGAAGGAGCCCAGCACTGACCACACCACGCTCAGCATCTACTCAGCGCCTTCCATCCAGCTTGAGGAGACTCTTCCAAAGTCAATTCCTTTCAGGTTGACGGCGGAGCCTCCCTCAGACCTGCTTCACGAAAATTCCTATATTCACGTGGCTTATGCGGTAAGCGTGGACGGCTCTTGGCTCACAGCGGCTTGGACAGATAACCCAGGGAAGCATCAAGCTACTGCTTCGTACTGTCTGAACAATCGGACTTTCGTTGAGGTTGCGCGTGAGATCCACCAGACATCACTGGAGATCATGTCGGCTCGACGAGTAACCTGGAGACTCTGTATCGCAAGGGCTGGCGTGATGGAGCGCGACGAGCAGGACGGTAAGACACCCAGCTATGCTCCACCAAGCAAACGGCTGATTTGCATCCAGCATGGCAAGGACTCGTAACGAGTCAGTGCCCACTCGTGATTGGAACCGCGTTGATCTCGGTCGACCCCAACCCGCCATTCTCTATAACATCGAGCCTACCAACCCTCGCATCAGTTGCGAACCAGAACTCGGGCACCGCAGGCGTCTCAACGCCAGGAGGGAGCACGCCACAGCCTGGTGTCTCCCCAGACGCCCACGGCTTCACGCCCGCCGCAACCCCGTCCGACAGCAACACCAGCGCCCCGCCAGCGGCGGACCCGTCCAACGACCAGGACGCCCGCCTCGTCGATGTAACGGATGAGTCGTGGGGCGTCATCCTCCAACACCGCCTCCACAATTCCAACTCCACCACCGAGTTCCGGCCTGCCCTGGCGAGCGGCTACCTAGTCAAACGAGGCGCCGACGGGAACACCACAGACACCAGCGGGGGTGGCAGCAGGACGGACCACCCAGAGCCCCCGCCCCGCGGGCCCATCGCCGTCGGCGTCAACCTCCTCTGGATCGGCAGCACTCCCGGCGGCCACCAACCCCAGCGCACCGCCGCCGCCGCCGCTCAGGCAGCAGCTGCGGCAGCGGCCGCGGCCGCGGCTGCGGCTGCCCAGCACCCACACCACGTTTCCCCCACCCCGCACAACCCGAACATCAGCATCCCACTGCAGCACCTCGAAGCCACCGCGGCCGCAGCCGGCGGCAACAACAACAACAACAACTCCAACCCCAACTCCAACGGGAACGGCGCTGCTGCTTCCGCCGCCGCGGGCACCACCGGCGGCGGCGGCAACGCAAGCGGCGCCGCCAGCGCTCTCCCTTCTCCCGGCGCCGGCGCCGCGTCCGGGCCGGGCGGAGTCATCGTCGGCGGCGGCGTCGGCGGCAGCCCGTTCGCGGCCAACCAGGCGCGCACGACGTACGACACGGTGCTGAAGGAGTTTTTGATCACGTACAGGGGGCTGGGCCTGCTGGCGCGGCTGAAGGGCATGCGGGGCACGCGGGGCGGGGCGGTGCCGTGGCACGTGGCGGCGGCCATGAGGGGGGTGGAGGCGTTTGAGCGGTGTTTGTAGGTAGGGGTGGTGAGGAGTTGTTTTTTTTTTTTTTTTTGCGCTTCGGGATGAAGGGTTGGAGGGTTGGGTTGGATGTGGTGGTTTGTGGATGGAGGAGGGTCTGGCACGGGTGGTTGTTTTACGGGTGGGTGGCTTTGAGAATGGGCCCTGCTCTTTTTGCTCGTCGCCTTTTCCCCAGGCGATGGAAATCGATGGCTGGTGAAGTGAGTAGGAAGCAGAGACGTGAATGGGTATGGGTGCGTATGAGAAGTCAGGTAGCAGGTGTAGTCCTGAAGAGATTGGCAATATAAAATGAATTTTCAGTCAGTCACGAGTAGGTACCGTGTCTTTGGATTTCGTGAGCGCACAGCTACAAGTAACGCGGTTTCGGTTTTGCGATGTCAAATTTCTCGCCTTTGTTTTTCAATCGTCTCTCCCACGGCAGTTATGGTCATCTTGCGATATCCAGCACACCAATAACGGCATTCCGAGCTTTGATACGACGAGAAATGAGAGTTCTTTGCACCGAGAACACGATACATCGCTTCTAAATTTGCAAATACAGGCGTAGACATGATCGAAACCAATGAACAACACGAACGCGCAAGGAAAGATTGCAGTATGGTGTTTTCTGGGGAAGGTGCCGAATGCGGTAAGGCGTTGGACATGCTCGCAATGCCGATCCAAAATCACCTCATCTCAAGCCGCCCACAGCAACCCCGCAACTCTTGCTGCGCCAATGGCTGATGAAGCAGCCAAGACACCCGCGAAGCTTTCGCCGCCGAGTTTCTTAGTGCGATGAGACTATTCATCCCGCTTCTGATGTCAAGCCGACCGGCCGGGATGCAGCTCCATTACGCCCGGCGTATTTGACTGCTGCTGTCATCTACACTTTTTCTCTTCGACCTTTCTCCCACTTTCTACTGCTTCAGCCCCGTCGTCATCGATAGAGCTTGAGTGTGGTGTCGATCTAATGGGATTTCGTCCTTCCCCCGGTTGATGGACTGAATACGCTATCGCCACCCACAAACAAGCCGCATTCTTCTTCTCTGGACGCGGCCGTCTTTCCTGAACCTTGACTTGAGCCGCTGTTCTGATTTCCCCTAGCCGTCTCGTCATCAACACAAGCCTGTATTCGCGCCTCGGCTCGCGAACCTGCTCGGTTGGAAAAAAGGGCTGACTCCACAGCGGGGCGTTTCTTTCTACCTTTATTTAGACGGCATCCACACATTTGCTGCGTGTTGTGTCTTGCCGTTTGCACAAGGCTGCTCCTCCCGCCTGTCAGGACGTCACTGCCACGACTCATTGACTGCAGTCGAACGACAAGATGGCAGACCCAGCGCCGGAAAACGAAAAGAAGGTCGAGCAGCGGCCCGACGGCGACGCCGTCTCCTCGCCGGTGGATTCTGACGTCGACTTGGAGGCGAGCGACATCAACGAAAAGGCGTTGCTGAGAAAGCTGGACATCAAGTTGCTTCCTGGACTCGTCGTCCTCTACCTACTTTCCTTCCTCGATCGGAGCAACGGTGAGTCGGAACACTCCTGACGGCAGCCCACAAAACTAACGCCTTGGAAAGTTGCCAATGCTCGCTTGGAAGGACTGACCGAAGATTTGGGAATGAGTGAGTCCCGAGTCTCCGTTTGTCCAGGTGGAATAGGGCAAAGCGCTAATGCTGCACAGCCGGAAACCAGTACTTGACGTCGTTGACGCTGTACTTCATCGGTTACGTTCTTTTCGAAGTCAGTACCACTCCTAATCCAGCGGCTGAGAAGACCGAGTGCTAATCGCCTCGTTGAAACGGACAGATTCCCTGCAATGTCATCCTCAAGCGCACCACTCCCAAGATCTGGCTCCCGACGCTCACCCTCGTCTGGGGAATCGTGTCGACTCTCATGGGCATCACCCAGAACCTGTCCGGTTTCTTCGCGGTGCGCTTCTTCCTCGGCGTCGCTGAAAGCGGCCTCTTCCCCGGGGTCGTCTTCTATCTTTCCATGTGGTATAAGAGGCGCGAAAGAGTGTATCGCGTCGCACTGTTCTTCAGCGCAGCCAGCTTGGCCGGCGCGTTCGGCGGGATCCTAGCCTACGTGAGTCGATCTCATCCACACCTTCCCATCCCCTCGCACGTCCGCCTAAAACATCAAGAAAAAGCCAGCCAGCCAGCCAGACAACCAAAACCACTGACACGCCACCCACCACAGGGCATCGGCAAGATGAAAGGCGTCGGCAACCTCAACGGCTGGCGCTGGATCTTCATCATCGAAGGCCTCCTCACCATCGTCGTCTCCCTCCTCGCCTATCTCTTCATCGCCAACTACCCCTCCACCGCCCCCTTCCTCACCCCCAAACAGCGCGCCCGCATCTCCGCCCGCCTGACCGCCGACTCGGACGCCACGGCCGCCGAGCCCTTCTCCTGGTCCCCCGTCGCCCGCTGCCTCCGCGACCCCAAATGCTGGCTCTACGGCCTCGCCTTCCACACCCTCTCCCTCCCCCTCTACACCCTCTCCCTCTTCCTCCCCACCATCATCAAGTCGCTCGGCTACACCGCCGCCCGCGCCCAGCTCCTCACCGTGCCCCCCTACGCCCTCGCCACCCTGCTCACCGTCCTCGCCGCCGCCGCCTCCCAGCGCCTCGACGCCCGCGCCCCCTTCATCCTCGCATCCGCCGCCTGCGCCGCCGCCGGCTACGCCGTCCTCCTCGCCAACCGCGATCCCGTCGCCCGCCCGGGCGTGTCGTACCTCGGCACTTTCCTCGCCGCGGCGGGCATCTACCCCGCGACGGCGCTCGCGCTCGCTTGGCCGGCCATGAACGTCGCGGGGCAGACGAAGCGCGCGACCGCGTGCGCGCTGCAGATCAGCGTGGGGAATCTGGGGGCCGTGCTGGGGACGCAGTTGTATCGCCCGGCGACGGCGCCGCGGTACGTTTTGGGGCATGCGGTGGCGTTGGGGTATATGGTGGCGAATCTGGGGGTGGTGAGCGTGTTGTGGTGGGTTTTGGTGAGGGAGAATCGGAGGAGGGAGGGGGTGGTGGCAGCCGAGGGTGGGCAGGGTGGTGGGGGGCAGATTGAGGGTGATGATGATGTGAGGTGGAGGTTTAACGTTTGAGGTGGGGGTTGGGCTGTTTGTTTTGTCGAGGGGTGAGGGGAGTGTGAGAGATTGGGCTTTCCCGGCTCTTTCGACTGGAAGAGGGGAAGGAGCGGTGCGTGGGATGGGTTGGACGCAAGATGGGAAAGGCGGTGGTGGCTATTGTATTTTGCCTGCGTCGCTAATGAGTGATGTCTCTCTTTTTTTTTTTTTCTTGATATACCTGGGTAGAGCTTTCTGAGTTGGTAGAGGCGCTGTGAGAAAGGAGCGTGGATGCGGGTGACGTATATATCATGGCATATTTCGCTTCCTTTCAAAGGCTTGGAGATTTGGGAGGGTGACCTGCCGGTCAAGGAGCAGCGCCATCATCACCCACCACGACATCAATTGCGCCCGAAACCGTCTTCCTCCGCTCCGCCTCTACCCAGACGGCATCCCATCCTCGATACACTAGGTGACGGTGACTCCAGTACGTAAGCTCTCCCCTTCCTCCCTCTCGCTGTCCATCTCCCTCTCCGTCTCACTCTCACTCTCACTCTCCTTCCACACATACCACCACACCCCCTGTACTGACGCCGCGTAGACTGGCTGGTCAACTGACACGTCTACCTTCTTCACCAGCCATCGTGGCGTCCGTTGTGCGCGCTGGCCGAATTTTCGGATGGCTTGCGTTGGCGTGGTGGCGGTAGGGGCGGGGCGGTTCTGGCGTAGGAAGGGAAGAGGGGGGGAGCGGGTGGATGGTGGGAGATAAGGGGCAGGCATGGGGAGATTGGTAGAGGCAGCGGCCGGCGGGCGGTGGAAGAGGGGGGGGGGATGCGAACTGCTTTGCTGTTGGGGATCAGGGAGTTCGTCCCTCTGGTCACCGGAGGTGCGCGCGCCGAACAGTGCCGTGTTGTTGTGGATAGGTGTCATATTGTAGTTGAGTAAAGGGATCGTAATCTTGAGCGGATCCCTTCTTGAAGTAGTTATGGTGTAGGTGAGTGTGCGAAAAAAAAAAAAAAAAAAAAGGGAGAGAGAGAGAGAGACTTGAGAGCTGCTCGTTCATGTTAACAGGTACTGATTTTCGTGCAATAGTTGTTTTATCAGCATCTGAATTTTGGCTTCGCGTGAAATGTGAAGGATGTAATAAATCGCAGTGAAAGTACTCTCTCAGGCAACTTTCACGATATTATCTCGGCCGCCATAAATTTAATGCCTATATTACCACCCACCAGTTCGCCGCGCATACGACAACCAACCCAAGCAACAACCTAGTAGGTATAGTAGTCATAGCAGGTATAATAGATACGGCAGCCGGTAACGACTACTCGAGGAACAAGGTGCTTATCCACCGGGCCCTGGGGGGTGGTAAGGCCGGTGGCCGGTGGCCGGTGGCCGGTGAGGCTGGTAGGTGGTGAGGCTGGTAGCTGGTAAGGCTGGTAGCCGGTAAGGCTTGTGGCTGGTAGGTGGTAAGGCACCGCGGTGAGTGGTAAGACCGGTGGGTGGTAATATAGGTGTGGGATGCCAGCGAGTTCTCCAAGTAGGGTCAAATTTATGGCGGCCATTATCTCAGGCAACTTTTACGAATTATCATCTTTCTACACGTAGCTATAGTGCAAACCGGCCATGGTCACTTAAATGGGCTTAATTAATTGTGGTTCAACCATGGCAACTAATATATGCAAACGAAATAGAAACATTAAATGCGGTTGGCTTATATAGCGGAAGATTCCTTAGAAGGACGACAGATTTTGAAAAAGGGACCAGAGTTATAAATTCAACGTAGATATCATGTGAGAGCGCAACAGCAGCTCCGATATTCCAGACCTAACATCTCAAGTCTGGCTATATTCACCAACATGGCAGTCTTTGGTAAACGATATAGAATAAGAAACTGACTGCGAACGCCACCAAAATATAGCCTACGGACGCTATTGACCACACAAACTATTGTTGAGCATTTCCATGTTCACAGGGGCCTAGATTCCACGTGATGGAGCTGCGAACACCCTGATTCACGCTATCACCACGGTCAACCAAGGCACAGGAGAGCACGGAAGCAAGGGGTGAAGTCGCAAAATCTCCCGCGCCTGTGAAAGCGCGATTGCGAACTTCGGCGCTCTTAGCAGACGCTCAGCAGATGGGTCCCATTTATTGTGAGCTGATCCGACAGCATCCCACGGCGCGCGGCTCGACGCGGAAGGGAAGGATGTTTTCTGCTGTTCCAGCAGCAGTCGTAGTGCTCGAAAGGGGCACCAGAGAATAGTCAAAGGAAACAGCCGTGGGTGGAGGAGTAGCCTATCGCAAGCCCTGAGCCTGCTGTGTGTCAGGGGGAGACACAGAACTGACGAAAGACGCGCATTTCCATTATTGTCAACGAGCGACGAGGTGGACCCACGACTGGCACGACGTCATACGAGGGACATGAAATTGAGACTTTCAACCAGGCCATCGACAACGACACTTAGGGTCCTTAGGACCTTGGCAGTAAGCGCATCACGAGTCGGCAACAGTAGTCGCAGTCTGGAGGCGAGCTCAGAAAATGGCACCATGGCCGGCGCAAAAGAAAAAAAGCAGTAAAGCTCAGATGGTTCGGCCGAAGGAGACACAAGGGGATGACGATGGAATTAACAAACCTGGCCCCATGGCGAGCGATCCCAGGGCTGACCAACACGTTTCGCAGCTTCCAATCTCGCGTCGTGATCCTGGAAGCGCGATCACTTCCAGTGTAGGCTCGGCAGGGCGGACGCTAGTTATTCGCCGATGGTCGATAGTAGCTCCGCGGCTCGCGGACTTGATGCTCTGAAAGAAGCGCGTCTCCCTTTCCAATTTCCTGCCAGGACCGCGTCAAAGGGCGAGGCTGCGTCGCAGACGGAGAGCACGGTGTAGATCCGACGGGAGCTGAACTGCCGCAAAGAACAGACCCCAGAGCTTCTTTGCCGGCCGCCTCATCCCCAGTCACGTGCCTTCATTTCGGCGAAAAAACGGGCAGCCCAATGGAGCGCACGGAGTTCGCGAGCTGCCACGGCACGGCAAATTCTCCCGCTATGCGCCGTCTCATCAGCCCTTGGCCGTGACGGGTGTTCGGCCGGACTACTAATGGGTTGGCTGGACGAGTAGTAGTAGGACTGGCAGCAGCGCGCCAGTGCGAGCCACGGCCTCCTGTCCGTCAGTGCCCAATCAGCGACGCGGTGAGGCTCTCGTGGTCGAATGCAACCGTAGCTACGGCTAGTGCCGCAGGAGCCAGTCCAGAGCGGAAAACCCTAAGGGTGCGGCTTGCGGCGGCGGCACTTTGTTCGTGTCCATGGTCCGCGCCCGTGGTGTCGGCTTTGCGCACCACAGCTCTGGTGTGCGCAGGTGTGAGCTTGCAGCGTTTCGGCCTGCTGGGCGTATCTGGCGCAAAGCCAATACGAAGCGGATACGCGCAATCGGCGTGTGTCGGATAGGCGCCATTGTACCGCGTCAGCAGCGGCGCGCCGCCAATAGGCTCACCAACGATGCTCGTCTCCCAAGGCCAAGAGCGATGTGCAGGAGTGTAGGAGAAAACAGATGCGGTGCGATTGTTTCTTCCAGTCCGCCTGTCTTGGCCAAATGGATATATCTTGGCCCGCCGCAATAGGCTTTCTAGGCAGGAGGCAGGTGCGACGGTTTGCGCTGCTGAGTTACTGCGATCGACACGCTGGCTGCATCCTACCCAGCGTCACACTCGAAAGCTAGCCGTGAAATTGGCGACTCTGGAGCGGACGTCGACTCGAGGCATGGGGGCTGCATGGGCGTCCGCGAGCCCGAACGAGTTAATCCTCGCGACGCGCTCGCCGGTGTCTGGCGGCCGGCAGGGCTATCCGAAGCATCTCCGCGCAGCGCAGTCGCGCGGCACAGCTCGGTCGCGTCGCGCCCGTCTCGCGCCATCGTCGGCGTTGGCGGCCGAGGAGACATGCGAGCAACTGCCGTCGGTGAGCTGGTGGTGCTGGTGCTGGTGCCGGTGCTGGTGCTGCTGGCAGCTGAGGTTGCGCATTGATGCTCGCGGCTGTGGACAGACTGGCGCGCGCGCGTTGGGGGCGCGGCTTGCGCTGTGTCGCTCGCCAGGCGTCCTCCAATCTGAAGCCAGTCGTTCCAGGCCCCTCGACGTCCATGTTCGCTCGTCGCTCGCCCGTGGACCACTCGGCGATTGTGCTGTGTACGTACCTGCGTTGCGTTAATTGTCCTCGTCGCGCGTCGCTTGATTGTGCAAATAATGCCTCACGTCGCACTGAGACATTGTCAGGGCGCAGGCGTCGAAGAAGGCCGGCGTGCAGCAGTGACGGGGGAGCAGGAGCAGGAGCAGGAGCAGGAAAGCGATAGTGCGAAGCGAAGGCGACAGGTGCGGCCTCGTCCGCTGCCTTGCGGCTGAGTGGCTTTTTTTTTCTCCAGACCGACTCCCAGCCATGCAGGCAGTCATCAGGCTCGGCTCGGCCACCGTCAGCAACGACGGCGCAGGAACGCCTAGCTCGAGCCGCTCTGGCATCCCGCGCGCGCGCCTTGTGGCGACGGCGACTGGTGGTAGCTGGTGCGTAGGGCTGACCCGAGGACGCCCGAGCGTCGCATCCGGCGGAGGCGTGAGGGTGGTCGGGCTCGTCTGGTGGTTGGCTGCCAGGCCGTGGTTCCTTGCACCTCAAAATCCCTCACCTTGTCCGTCCGCTGCACCACCTGCGTCATCATCCCGCACTCCCCCATCCGTCAGCCCTACCGGCGAAAATGCGTCAATTGGGCCCCGAGTGATTCCCTTCCCTTCCGTGTGTCCGTCCCTCCCTTCCGCTGCACATCATTCGCCTGGTCTAGCCGGGTGGCGACCAACGGCCATGAGCGCCCTTGGCGATAGATAATCGCTGCAATGAGCCATTTTCTCCCCCATCTTTCCACAGCCCTTCCAGAATTTGCCGATGCCGGAGCTTCCGTGCTCGAATTCGCTCTCGTTCTTGGCCTAGCCTGCCGTCGAGCCTGGCCCTGCCACCTACTTCCTATTTCGCCGCGGAAGATACCATGGCAGACCGTGGGGAGGAGGCGGGACGAGGCGTTGGGCTAGCCTCACATCGGCCGCCAACGCCTCCTCCCCCACCGGAATCCACCCGGTCTCCCCGAACCTCATTATTGCCCGAATAGGAAGTCCGTTCGAGAGGGGGAAGATGATGAGTGGGCGCCGGCCGAGGCGGGCCGGGCCGGGTCTGAGACTGAGATTGAGCCGGCCTCGACCAAAAAGTACGTGATGCCTGGAGATCCGTGAGGCTTTTTGCCGCTTCCATGTCTTACCTCAGGCCGCCGTAGCAGGGTAGCCTCGTCTGTCGGCTGAACTTCCCAGAAGGCCGATGCCCCAGGGAGCCGTCGGGGTCTGGGGAAGTTTCGGTCGTGGGGCCAAAACCAGAGAAACCCTGCGTTTAACCGCCGTCGATGGAGTAGTGGCTTCCGAAACGCGGGACAGCGTGGCCAAGAGAAACTCGACGTCGCCGGTAGTTTCGACGTACCAGGTTTGAGGTTTCATCACTGTCGGAGACTTCTTCATCGGGCATTACATATGTCCTTCTTATACTCTTTATCTTGTCGTATACGTCTCGTCTATCTATAAGTCTTCTTGGCCGTAGCCTTGAAGAGCTTCTATCCCGTCCCACGGTATCCCAGCCTTAACACCAAACATCTCGAACAGCCGCCGTCTCAGACGGAAGAAATGGCCACAAAGAAGGCATTGAGCCTGCAAATCCCCCACAAGATGCATTGCACGGTGGCGCTGTTTAGGCCGTCTTGGCAAGAGACTTCTCGAGCTCCAGCAGGTTCTTGACGTTGTCAACGATCGTCTCTTCCAGGGTGTGAAACTTGATGCCAAGCTCGCGAGCCGCCTTGCTGTTATCAACGCCGTACATGTCGGCCAGAGGCGCGCCGGGGGTGCCCTCTGGCACACGGTCCCTCAGTTCGGGGAAGTGCTTGCGGATGACGTCGCAGACCTGCTGGTTGCTGTAGTTGCCCGACGTAATGAAGTAGCGCTGACCAGCAGCCTCCTCCTTCTGATACGCCTGCAGATGGGCCTCCGCGACGTCGCGCACGTCAGCGAAAGCAGGGAAGGCAGCATCGCCGGGCTCGTTCTTGTCACCCTTGATGAAGGTGTAGATCTCCGCCGAAGACGTGTTGAGCTTGCCGAAGTCATCGACGTAGTGCGCGTTAGGGCCGTAGATCATGGGCGGGCAGACGGTCGCCACGGTGAAGTTGGGCTTCTTCTCCTCGACGAACTTGAACGCAGCCTTCTCGGCAAAGACCTTGGACGCGCAGTACGCAATGGCGCCAATGGGAGTGTTGGCCGCATCCTCCCAGCTGACGGGGTTCCAGTCGGCTTCGGTGTACACGTGGCCGGGGCGCAGGCCCTTGGAGAGGTCGACAATGGACGCGAACGAGGCAGTGACGACGACGCGCTTCACACCGGGGTTGTATTTGTGGATCGCGTCGAGAATCTCAGTGGTGCCCTTAACGGCGGGATCAAGCAGATCCTTGACATTGTCCTCCACACTCAACTGGAAGGGGGATGCGGTGTGCACCACTCCGTCCACGCCCTTGACGGCCTCGTCGAAAGCGCCCGCCTCTGCCACATCCTTGACGATGGCAAAGGTCAACTGGCCCGACTCGGTGTACTTGGTGTGCGTCTTGCGGACCTTGTCCGCGGTAGCCTCCGAGCGGACGGTAGTGCGGACCTTGTATCCCTTCTCAAGGAACGAGTTCAGCACGTGGGCAGCCACGAAGCCCGATCCACCCGTTACGAGGATCGTCTGGTTGTTGCCGGGGGTGACGGCATTGGCAGCGGCGCTGGCGGCGTGCTTGACGGTGTCCATGGCGGCGGGACGTGCGTGGCTGGGAAATCGGGTGGCGGCTGGCGGCTGACGGCTGGCGGCTGCTGCAGGAAGGCCAAGCAGATTGCTGCAGGGGATGAAGATGGGCTCAAGAAGTCGCAAAAGAGGCAGAAGATCGTTCAGAAATCCTTCGGCCGCAACCCCTATTCCTGCCTTTATACGCAGAGCGCAGAGCTCCACAGCTTCTCGAACGCGGTTCCATCATTGCCAGTGATTAGTTTTTGCTCGAGCAACAGCGGATACCGCTCTCCTTCATCATGGTGTCGTCGAAAGACATGATGCAAGAAAAGAGGGGCCACGGCCGATTGCGGCTAGGGCCAAGAGGCCACAGCGGGCGAGGCGTGCAGGGCGGTGGGCGTTATCCCCGAGGCGCACGTGAGGGCCTGTGGGCAGCAATCACAGCGGCCAGGCGCGCCAAGGCGCAGGAGCAAGTCCGGGGGAGCTGTCTTGGAAAACGCGGAGGCACGGGAGGCAATCAAACGAGGCTGGAGGAGGCTGGAGCCGCAGCGAGATTAGATACGATGAGACCGTATGCCGGCTTGAGTGAGGGCGGTCCTCCACGAGTCGCCGGCGCTGAGGGCGGGAAATGAGGCCCTTGGGCCATGGCAGAGCATCGCGGGCGCCGTTTGCAGAAGCTCTCCCCGGTCGCCGTGCGCGCACGCCCGCATGCCCGCACGCCCGCCCGCCCGCCTCACCGCGCGCCAGACTGCTCTCTCTGGAAAAAAAAGGGCCGACTCGCGGCGTCTGCCATGCGCGGCTGTTGAAAGGCGGTCCCGTCGGCTTCGAGCTGGGAAAACTGTAAATCCGCGCGGGACGCGGGCGCCCGAAACACAATGGAAACCGTCCTCCCGACTAACGAACGTTTAAATTGGCCCTGGCCGCGAAGGCGCGTTTTGCGCAAAGTGGTTCGGCCGCGTCGCGCCGGTCTGGATCCCGGTTCCGCCAAAACTTTTACCAGGCAATGGATCGTCGGCGCGCAATTGACCGGTCGTGGTGTCGCAGGAGCCGTCACAGTCGTCGCGCGGGACGATGGAAGGCAGGAGGCGACTACCTCCCAGACAGGGAAGCTGGCGGTTGGGCGCCGGCGACGGTGAGTGGTGAGTGGTGAGCGGTGCGTGGTGACCGACGGACGCTGCGACCAGCGCCGCGGCAAAACACGGCGGGCGGTGAGCGCGTCGGCTTTGTGTCGCGTGGCACGGGCGGGTGCAGCGCGAAGTGGCAGCGCACACGAGCATCCATGGAGCTGGCGAGCACGGGCGGCCAGGACAGCCAGGCCCAGGACAGCCAGTGTCGGTCGGCCGAGCACACCGAAAAGGTGCCACGGCCCAGGAAAGCAGAGACAGCAAAGTTGCTGTCAACATCAGCAACGGCCCGCCGCGATATGGATGCCGGGACGCGATGCTGGCCCATGGGCCCCTGTCTAGCGCCAGGCCATCCCGAGTCGGCCGTTGGCGATCTCGCGGCGCTCGCTGCATCGAAGCATGCATAGAAGCACGGAGCCGCGCTGTCACTGGCTGGCCAGGCCCCGCCCGCGCAGTTCCCTAACCCGGGAAGGCCAGTCTTCCCCACCGGCCAGGTAGCAGCGCGGTGCGAGCTCTGGAGGAGCGGTCGCTGCTGGGGCAGGCACACGCTCCTCCAGGAGGAACCACCTCGCACCGAGCGCGCGAGCGGCCCCGTGTGCGCCTGGCTGCTTGACCGCGGTGGTCACCGCCAGTCCAACGTCAGAAAGTGCGTGCCTGTGCGAGGCATTTTCACGCCGGTAGGGCGGACGGCGGCCTGCCGCATTGGGGGGCGCGCGCACCAGGCGCATCTGCATGCTGGAAGAGCCGAGAGACAGCTGTTGTGCAGCATCCCGCAGCCCGGCGCCGGCAGCAGCGAGCAGCGTCCCTCTTGCGCGGGAGCGACCAGCGCTGGCCTGCGGCTTTGGGCCAAGTGCCGCGAGGCTCCAAACGCCCAGCGCTCCACAATTGTCATCTCCAGGCGGTCCCAACTCCCAGGCGGTCCCAGGCGGTCCACCGCTGGGCAATACCAGCCCCGGCACCCTGCAGATCCAGATGGCTGGCATCCGCAGCTGCGTCGCGCTGCTGGCGACGTGGAGAAGGGCTGTGTCGCGGGCGGCCAGGGAAGGCGACGCTGGGCGCGGCTTGGCCATGACACCGGGGGGATTGGCACGTCGCGCGCCCCGCGGAGCGCCATAGGGTGTGCGTAGGGTGCGTAGGGTGCGTAGCAGGTGGCGGCGGCGGCGGAAAAGATGTGCGCGGCAAGCGGCGGCGCTGTCGCTCGCGCGCTGATCTCGGCCGCAGGTGCGATGGACAGGCAAGAGGCTGCAGGAAGCGACTCCAGGTCCCCATACGACGTCAAATCGCGCAGCGCGGTGCTCAGGCGCCCACCAGCGCCAAAGCGGTTAAGCTCTGGGTGGGAATAAGTGCGCCCGCGCACGGCACCGTAGCTCGGCACGCTACCGCACGCTAGCCTGCCAAGCGTTGCTTGTCAGTGCGTGCCGCCTGCGCGCAGCTGCTGGTAGCTGGGGGAGCCGCAGTGAGGAATGGAGCTGGCTGCTCCAGCCCGGCCGCGACTCCGGGTGCGGCTGCGCCCGCGGCAGAGCCCCAGGGCGCCAGCGCGAGCAGACTTTTTTTTCCTCGCGCGCGCATTCGCCGGCCAAGCTCTGCGCGGCGCAGGATGGCGAAACCGCGTGTCGGCTGGGGGCTGCATGAGGCCCAGTCTGCTCGACCGCTTTTGTCGCGCGCCGACTCGCCGCTGTCGCTTATCGGGTTGACGTAACTGCTTAGACCGTGGGGTACGCTTCGGAGATGAGTCTCAGCGGCGCGAAAAATCGCGCGGCTGACTCCCGGCCCAGCGCCCTGCTCTGGCGGCCGAGGACTGAGGCGGCAAGGACGGCACGCACCACCTAAGAAGAATCGGTTCTTTCGTCACTGGCTAGCTCGGTGCGTGCCAGGGGTCCCGTGTCCGCGCTACCGCGACCAGGGCCCTCCGCCGGCCGAGCTGCGAAGACCTGCCCGACCATCCATAAAAACTCTCCCACGCCCCAGGCTCTTTGCTCGCTACTCTTGTTCGTCCCCTCGTGTCCTGATCGAGCGTTCAAGTTGTGCTGCGCCCGGCTCGCCGACCGCAATCCTCCGCAGCGACGGGCAACCACCTCCGTTCTGCTTTCTCCCTCTTTACTTTGGCCAACCAACAACACTCTCTGAGCCAATTCCACCCGAGCCCACGCGCTCACCCACCGCCACACCATGGGCAAGAAGGACATCGAAAAGGGCGACGCCGCCCAGCCCAAGCCCGACGAGTACGAGGGCCTGGACGAGTACGCCGCTCTCCAGAAGTTCATCACCACCTACCGCGACCCCAAGGCCGCCCACGATGAGGAGGGCCACGAGGAGGAGGGCGAGACCAAGAAGGCGCCCTGGTACGCGCCTTGGAAGAAGTCCAAGGCCGGTCCCGGCGGCGACGTGACCGTTCCTCCTGCCTGGCTCGAGGCCGACATCCAGACCGGTATCTCTGAGGGCGACGTCCAGTCGCGCCGCAAGAAGCACGGCTGGAACGAGATCGCCACCGAGAAGGAGAACCTGTTCCTCAAGTTCCTTGGTTTCTTCCAGGGTCCCGTCCTCTACAGTAAGTTCCCGCCGCATGTACCATTTGCCGACCACGTGATCGCTGACACCCGCCGTAGCTATGGAAGTCGCTGTTCTGCTCGCCGCCGGTCTCCGTAACTGGATTGATTTCGGTGTCATCATCGGTATTCTCGTGCTCAACGCCATCGTCGGTTGGTACCAGGAGAAGCAGGCTGCCGATGTCGTCGCTTCGCTCAAGGGTGATATTGCCATGCGCTGCACCGTCGTTCGCGACGGCCGTGAGCAGAACATCCTCGCCCGCGAGGTCGTCCCCGGTGACATTGTCGTCCTCGAGGAGGGCCAGACCGTCCCTGCCGATATCCGCCTGATCTGCGACTACACCAGCCCCCAGGACTTCGAGCGCTACAAGGAGCTCCGCGACACCGACAAGTTCAAGGAGGATGACCCTGAGGAGGAAGAGGACATGGAGGACGAGTCTGACAAGAACCACAAGTTCGGCCAGCCCCTCGTTGCCTGCGATCAGTCCGCCATCACTGGTGAATCCCTCGCCGTCGACAAGTTCATGGGCGATGTCTGCTACTACACCACCGGCTGCAAGCGCGGCAAGGCCTACGGCGTTGCCCTCACCTCGGCCAAGCAGTCTTTCGTCGGTCGCACCGCCTCCCTCGTTGCTGGCGCCAAGGACTCCGGTCACTTCAAGGCCATCATGGACTCCATTGGAACCTCGCTGCTCGTTCTCGTCGTCTTCTTCATCCTCGTTGCTTGGATTGGTGGTTTCTTCCGCTCGCTCAAGATCGCGACTCCCGAGGACAGCTCCAACAACTTGCTCCACTACGCTCTGATTCTCTTCATCGTCGGTGTCCCCGTCGGTCTTCCCGTCGTTACCACCACCACCCTCGCCGTCGGTGCCGCCTACCTCGCCAAGGAGAAGGCTATTGTCCAGAAGCTCACTGCCATCGAGTCCCTCGCTGGTGTCGACGTTCTCTGCTCTGACAAGACCGGTACCCTCACTGCCAACCAGCTCTCTCTCCGTGAGCCCTACGTCGCTGAGGGCCAGGATGTCAACTGGATGATGGCCTGCGCTGCTCTCGCCTCTTCGCACAACATCAAGTCGCTCGACCCCATCGACAAGGTCACCATTCTCTCGCTCAAGCGCTACCCCAAGGCCCGTGAGATCCTTCAGCAGCCCTGGAGGACTGAGAAGTTCACTCCCTTCGACCCCGTCTCCAAGCGCATTACCTCCATCTGCTGGCTCAACGGTGACAAGTACGTCTGCGCCAAGGGTGCCCCCAAGGCCATCGTCAACCTCGCCAACTGCTCCAAGGAGGTCGCCGATCTCTACCGCGACAAGGCTACCGAGTTCGCTCGCCGTGGTTTCCGTTCGCTCGGTGT